CACAATACGTCTTTCTTGCAAGCTGCCACAGCAATTGGACACCCCTCACTACTACCCCACCGCATTGGGTACAAACTGCTCTGTCCTTCCTTCGCAGGGAGGCGAGCAGGCACAACCGCACCGCACGCTGCAAGGGTCTGCTTCTCGGAATACTGTCCCTCGCCCTACCCACGATGCTCTTCGCCAATTTCCTGTTGGCCAGCGTTGGGCAGGAAGTGTTGGCATCGGTGCTGGGCCGGGAGACCCTGGATACCGTGCGCGTGGGGCTGGTGCGTGTTACGGACGGCTGACGGCACTTTTTTAAGCGTCGCGTTGCACATAACATGTTGGCGCAAGGCTTCGGTAATTAAGAAGCCAAATAAGTTACACATGTGACCATGAAATGTAATCTTTTGTCGGCACGTGTGTGGTTGTTGCGGATGCAGGCGCCATTGGCGGTGATTTGGGATTGGATCCACGAGGAGAACCACACGTTCTTCATTCTGGGTGTCGTCGTGTTCTCGCTCATTCTGTTGTTCATCGCCAAGTATATCTGCAGGTATGGTGATCGCAGGGTTCTCGCCAATGCTCCTTCTCAGCTGTTGCCCTATGCCCATCCATCTGTTCGTTCAGTCTCTCCTTCCATTAGCGGGAACATTTGAGCCTGTGATATCCATTTGCGGTGTAACCCGTGCACTTCTAAAAACAAAAATCTCCACGCCTGTTCAAGATTGCTGCTTACGTATTCGGTCGGTTTCTCGAGTGGCAGTGCATGTGACGGCACGGTAACCTCTGGGCGACCGGCTGTCGAGTTTGTCGTGCAATGCGCCTGTACGCGTCTCCTCTCGTGTGCTCTCGCGTGTTGTCGTGCAGGTCACAAGTCACCCTCAGCAGTCGCGAGCGACGGCAGTTGGAAGAGAAACGCACGTACGTGCAGACCGTCGTCAAGCAGAAGAAGGTAAAGCATTGAGCGTGTCCTGAAAGTACCGTGAAGTAAAAGAACAGAAATAGAAAAAGAGGAAGATTTGAAAGAACGAAAATTTGTCCTTCAGAAAGTGTAGATATGTGCTGTTACCTCGTACAGTGAGAGCCCGTCCCCCTGTTATTTTGACGTTTGGATTTCTTCCCCATTTCAAAATGTTTCCTAGTTTGAGGCTTTGGTGAGGACATAAAAATATTTGCTGTTTTAATTGGATGTTAAGGTTCTCAAGTTGCGTTGGTTGGATAGCCTCGCAGGTCCGTCGGTTCACAGTTAATTGTGAAAGCGTTTGTTTTGAGCGTTATTGATACAAAGTGTATTTTATTTAAATATAATGGTCACACCTCTTGCCTGTTGTTAAAGTATTACAAGTTATTGCTGTTGTGGGACTTGCGACCAAATCACCTCGACTGCGTCTGATCCATTAAAACGCGGGAGGCTGTGCGTTGTATGTAAATTCATGCAAATGTGCAGTCATCGTTGAGCTGTTTGTTCCGAGTGACGACATGGAGCCAATGCGTCTCCCCCACTCGACAGAGGAAGCTGTACGAAGATTACCTCCGGCAGAGCGTCGCAGACCACGACATGGACTGAGGGAGGAAGGCGTGTGACATCGCGACCCGAAAGGGACCGCCGCAGCCTCTCGCACTACCTCGCCGTGACCTCTGCCGGTGTACATTGTGTGTTCGGATCAAGCTCGTTGCATGCCCCCCCCCTTCCCAAGACCCCTCCAGCAGGGTATCATTGGGCAGCTAGAAAAATTCCCACCCCCTTTATCTCGTCTTCCCTAGCCGTGACAATGCTGTGTAACAATTGGACGTGTAGATTTTCATGGCCATCCGTAATGCAAGTGAAGATAATGTAACGTTAAAGTTTTGGCGAGATGCGACGTATGCACACGGCAAGATGGTGGGTCAAGGAATCATTCCGTATGCTGTATCGTACCGCGCAGCTCAAGAAAGCCGTCGTCGGCCGCTCAGAAACCACCTTTATAACAGGGTCACGTGTTCCGCGTTGCGAGGAAAGTGTTCCCTGATGGAAGAACCGCGTTATAGCGATAAAGCGTTGTGTGAACACGCATTAAGCGAGGAATTATCGGACCTGGAATGCTGCAATAATGTCTTTTTCGCGCAAACACTATTCTTTTATTCGAATCGCGAGGAAGATTTTGATGTGGTTAGTTGGTGCTCAATAAACAGATGGCATTTGTGTGCATATGTACGAGATGCACATGGGTGGGTCTAGGGTCTGCAGTTCTGGATTTTCACTGCCGCACACTTTTCTACATCGCATTTGATTAGAAAAATACGCACATTTCTTAGGTATTGGTTTGTGTGTAGGCGGACTGCCCATTTGCTGATGGAGGTCTGTTTTCGTGATTCCGATGGAGACCTGTATGGGTGGATCAACTACGCCAGGCAGGAACATGCCGTCCATGACACATGCCTTGCCCTAAATGTTTAGTTTTAACACTCATAACTGTCGTAACTGTTTACACTTGTGACGGTATATGACGTTACGGAACCGTGGCCAAAATGTATTTTTCTCACTAATAATGGTTGACTAACTTTTAAAAAAGTGTTTTTTCTTCAAATGAGTGACATATCGTGATCTTGGATGTTGACTCCAGACATTCCCTGGGAATGCAGTAAGTCTAAGTGCAGCTCTTTCGATCGATACCAGGTTGAGCCAATTTTCTACGGTGGGTTTTTTGACGTCGCAGATTGATAGTTATTATTTTTTTTACAACCTAGTAACTTAATACACGTCCGCTGTTTAATACTGACCAGTTGCTGTTAAGCGCGTGGTGTTTGATAGCAGCCACGAATTGAGAAACAGATCTGCGCGTTATTCATATGATCATTATGGCGTTACCCGGGATACCAAATAATACAAAATTACCGAGGCAATTAAATATTTTATTTCTGGGACACTTTTTTCCCGGGGTGTACCTAACTCCACTACGTTCGAAAACCGGTGCTACTCCACGATGTCGAAACACCAAATGGCATAAAAAATCCGTGATCGAAAAATGCAACTTTGAATAGTGCATCGTGTACAGCTCGTCGAGATGAGTCGATTGCCGCATCGCCGACCAACAAACTAAAAATGACCGCATCACGGACATTGTGCGAGAGCCCGGGGTACTGCCATAAAGTTCATATCCTCTCTGCAACGGCCCCGGATGACCTATTGATCTGTAATAAAACAAAAAACACGCAATCATGTCTGTCGCGTGCTGTATTGTACTGAGCAGGGTAATGTCGGAGAGGGCTGTTGAGGTTGGTGGGCATGTTTATGCTGTTATTCTATTCTGGTGGATGTGTAAGCGAGTGCAGTGATATTTCCCGCACGGAAAGTTAAGAAATCCACGTATTCGCCGTTTTAAGGAGATTGCAAATGATAATCGGATTGTTCACAAAGTCTGCTTTTTTGCCCCGGAGCAGACCTTATGAAGTGGATAAAAAAAGTTTCGTGCGACCAACGGAGGTTGGGGGGGCAATGTAAAGATGCCAAACGTCTTGGTTTTACCAGTCCTGCTACAGTTTCGGAAAGGCCGTCCCTGTATTTGCAAAAGGTGCGATTTTTTTCCCCCAGTTTAAAATGTTCAGCCATCGAGAGGCTCGATTCGTGATGTCGGCAAAGTGGAGGTGTTTCTAAAGTATTATTGGTTCTTTCGGTAAAGTCACGTAGAAGGGAAATATTTTATTTGTTTATTTTATTACGTAAATTTTTTATTTTATGTCCCTTCGACGTGACTTTACCGAAAGAACCAAAAATATGAATCCTTGCAGTCACGAAAGCTTGAAATCGAAAAATGTCTTTCTAAAGTGTTTTTTGGCGGAGTTGACTGGGCCGTCATCAGAAGTGGCAAGCCCCCACTTGGTTTTGGCCTGGGATAGTGATTGGGCTCTGCCAACCTCTCGTCCTTTAGGCCGGAGGAAGTGATCCGTGGAACTGTTTCAGATCCTGTACGATGTTTTTCTTCACAGAACAAGATTAGTTACGGCCCAATTGCGTAACTGTTTCGATTTTATGGCCCAGCAAAAAGTTACAGTAATTGTTTTAATGGTGTTTAAGATTGTGTGTAATTTATCATCCGTCGTGATCATTCCACTGCTGGATGACAGCACCTCAAACCAAGCCGGTGCTTATATCCCCCGCGGTGCAACATTCCACTTAAATGTATTCGCTACTGACTTCCCGACATTATCTCGGATGTGTTTCCATTCCTGGGCTGCCACTCCCGCTCATCATTCTTAACCAACACTAAGTGACGGTGACGTCACAACGGCGCCTGTGCCAGGCCAGGTGCACTTTGAGTCCACACACCCACACCCTTCTTGCCCATTTTTCTTTTGACTATCCATAACAATTGAAAGTCGCGACGCTTGCCTGCTTACGCTCTCGAATCCGTGTCTCCCAGTGGTCTTCGTCGTCTCAACAGAACTCCCAAAGCGTGCAATTTTGTCCACGGTTCTTGGCGAAACTTTAAAAAAAGTTTTGTTCCGCCTAACGTCATGGGACTCCCCACCCCCTTGGCCAATTGGGGAGGGTTGGTGGGGGGATGGGGGTGTTCAAGTTCAAGTTCATTTATTAGGCATAGCCCTGTGAGCCATTCGGCTCTTGAATCGGGTGCAACCGCAACAAACAAAAAACTAAAACATGAACAAGAAAACATCTTAAAGTGAATATGTGACTAAGTGCAAATAGAAAATCCAAGAAAAGACAGCAAAATATTGCAGAAAAAGCACCGTACACCAACACTGTGCAAAACTCAGTGGGATGCAAGTCAAACAACAACAACCACAAGACAACTTAGATTAAGGCCATCAGTCTAACTCCGTACTATTGATGGTGGGGGGGGATTGGCGATGGGGGGGGGGGGGGAACGGTGGTGGGGGGGGCTGGGATGGGGGGGGGATTGGGGGGGGGGCTGGGATTGGGGGGGGGGATTGGGGGGGGGATTGGGGGGGATGGGATGGGGGGGGATTGGGGGGGGGGGATTGGGGGGGGGGCTGGGATGGGGGGGGGGGCTACTACGCCTCCGCCCCCTGCGCCGTCACCGACAATGGCCGCGCATCACGACCAAAACAAACCGAGGCGAATTTACATTTCGACCCAATATTAGAGCAAAAAAACCGAGTGGACCAAACGGACCGCCATGTCCACCACCAACGTGGCGCCTAACGTCGACTTTGACCACAGCTGCTCGGATTGCGTCGAGTATCTGACGCTGAATTTCGGGCCCTTCGAAACGGTGCATCGCTGGCGGCGCCTGCCGCCCTGTGACGAGTTCGTCGGGGCGAGGTGAGCAGGCGAGGCCGAGGCTCCGTGTCCGGTGTTAGGCCGCACGTGTAACGTCGCTGCGATTAAATAGATACAATTCACGCGGCTTTTGATTTATTGAACCTCGCTCCTCTTGCTTGCGTGGTATGCTCTTGGGAGATAAGGAGTTTGAAGCTCCGTTAACGAGGAAAAGCTAAAATATATATATACTTTAAAGCGATATACTGTACTGTTATTGGTGTCTGCATTGATATAATCGGTGACATCGTTACAGGGGGCAGTAACAGGCAATGATTTGTAGCCGGTGCTTGTGGTTTAGTAATCGTTACATTTTCTTACGTCCCCTGCCAGGAGGAGCAAACACACCGTTGTCGCCTACAAAGATGCCATCTACGTGTTTGGAGGAGACAATGGGTAAAGGTCTTTGCCCACTTTTTCTTATCACTACGCGTCGAAATCTTGTCAACGATGAGGGGGAAAACCCCCCACAGAATACTACAGCAGTCGTGCACGGCCGGACAACCATAAAAGATAAGCGTTATGGTTTCCCCGCCTATAGTATTCATGTTAGCCAAGCCCATGGGTCCTCGTAGCGTGTGTGTGTGTGGAAGTGGTTTCCAGAGGCAGACTTTGAGTCCGGATGAGATGGAAACCGGCTGTCTTTTGCTCAAATCTGGTTTTGTATGTGGCAAATGCACTTCCTCCGAGAACTGCTGACGGGTTTTGCATATGCATCGAGGATGCGTGCTTTGTACGGCTCTGTTGTCAATCCACTGCTGGATGAGGGCCCACTCCACGCGGTGCGGATCGTGGAGGTTATTTCACCAAACTTAGCTGTGCTGGTCTGTGCGGGTTAAAGACGGGTGGATAGACAGGGCAGCGTGAGGAGTACAGGTGAAGCAGTTTGGCGGCACTGCCCTGTGATGCCCACAGCAGGTCTTGGCTTGACCCAATTGCATTTCCCAACCAAAGGCAAACGTGAGAATGACTCCCCGCTCAAACGAGCCGAGGGACGCGGTTCTACACTGCCAGCAATTACGCTCCTGCAGTGATAGGCAATCAGTCCATTCATCGGGGGGAAATTATTTGTTGAGTTCCTATCCAAAGCGGTGCTCTGCAAATCCGGTGACCTGAGTTTTGATCCCAGGCCACGTCTCACTTGAATGGTGAGTGATATCTGACCTCGGTCTTGGGGTACCCCTGCCTTCAACCCACACTGACCAGGGTGGTTAAATTTGGTCAAATAACCAACACGAATAACACAGTGTGGTGAGGCCTTCACGCGGCAATGGATTTATAGAGGGCTGTGGATTAAGGTATGACGTTTTAATTGCACATGTCATTCCGTTGGTGGGTTATGGTCCGGGTCACCATTTATTTTTGTCTTTTCATGCAGGAAGAATATGCTCAACGACCTGCTGAGGTTTGATGTTAAGGACTGCTCCTGGGGGAGGTGAGTCTCTTTCGTGTGTTTGTAATATGACTGCAGTAGTCAGAATCACAAGACGAACCCTACACAGCAGGGGTTGGGAACATCCATCCCTTGACGACATGAGCACTATCATGTAGATTCTATTTAGCCATTACTGCAAGCCTCTTAGCTGCACTAATTGGGTACTAATTATTTGGTCATGTTGCATTGACAGTTGAGCACAAGCGTAAATAACACATTTGTAGATAACACTGCCTTAAAAGTCCTTTCTCGAGAGCAGACGTGCTAATAAGAAGGATCAGTGGCAGAAACGTCGTATAGTATGTATTATGTATGTTTTCTTTTAAAGTAGTGTCATGTGGAATGTGTTGAGTGCTCTGATAATTGGGTACTAGAGGGGAGTCTTCTCGACCTGGCAACACCGCGTTTCTAATTCTAGTGAGCTCAGTCATTTCTGACACCGCAAGTGCCTCTTGTGACAGTCGTGACAGAGATTCGTGCTAATGCATAGCCACAAAAAAGGTTTTTGAAAGTCCTATTCTGGCCCCATAAAAGGCTCACCACCGCTGCTCTACTTGAATATATGAATGTAGACCGTGTCATAGAATTCCATTAGGAGTGATCTTTTTTTGCTCTAAGGCTGTGGAAAAAAATGGCAAACCGTTAGTTTAATAATGAAAAAAAATCACAGACATGGGTTTGTTTCGCCTCTAAAAAATGAAATTGAGGAAATAAAGTAAAAAAACACAGCATGGAAAATTATGGTCAAATCCTCCACCCCCCTCCCCCCCATGACCCAGACAGCATGGGGAGGCATTCATCCAGCAGTAGATTTACATAGGGCTGTACATGCATGTTCGTGTGCATTGCAGGGCATTCACGATGGGTGTCCCGCCTGCCCCACGCTACCACCACTCGGCGGTCGTACACGGAAGCAGCATGTTCGTCTTCGGTGGGCCGCACATTCTCACCTCCCGCTCGCGCTGTGAATGTGTTCACGCTCTCATGACACCAGTGTTGCTCACACTGTTGTTGTGTCCCGGCTTTATTTTCCAGTGTTTTGAAATGATTCGACTTATAGTGATTAATTATGAATGTTTAATTGCGGGCATTTGTTCACGTTTCAGGCGGCTACACGGGCGATATTTACTCCAACTCCAACCTCAAGAACAAGAATGACATGTTTGAGTACAAGTTCGCCACCGGGCAGTGGACCGAGTGGAAAGTGGAAGGCCGGTGAGTCGGCAGGGCCTGGTGAACACCGTTAATGTTTACATGAGAATTCAGAATAGGTAAAGTTAAAGGTGCTGCCCTGCAATTATCTGCTGACGCCACTGTTGGTGGAAGGGCCTCAACAACAGACCCTTCCGCTTGAGTGAGCCCCTGTAGAGGATGTTTTGGCCTACTCTTCCACATTGTCCAGACAGTTTGATTGAGATGTGAGTACGCACACGTTATCCCACCACACACGACCTGCCGATCAACTAACTGGTCTCCCCATTGACACTGCTGGTTGGACAGAGGCGGGCTATTCAAGAAACTTGCCACACTGGAAAATCCAACCACCGACCTCTGGATTCTAATTCCATTGTGCTAGCCATTACACTACGGCAGCATCCCTGGCCAATGAATAATATTCTTATTGAACAAACGGATTGTTATGCTGCGCGCGGAATGAGCGGCATTTGAGCGACGCTGTGCGGCGCGTGCAGGCTCCCCGTAGCTCGCTCCGCACATGGCGCCACCGTCTACGAGGACAAGCTGTGGATCTTTGCCGGATACGACGGCAATGCACGGTAAGTGATGTCGGGGGGTGTGAGAGAGTGAGAGATAGAAAGGAGTCGAGACATTTATGGGAAGGATCCTCCACTAATGGACTCTATGAGCTCACATTGAAGTTTAAGAGTCATCAAAATGTGAATTTTTTTCACAAATATACCAATGCAATAAAAAGTTTATTTTTATTGCATTGGAATGTGTGATTAGTTCTCCTCTGCTGCCCCATAGTTTGGAATTTCCTTCGTCGGCTATCTGCTTTCTGCCCCCAGCGTCTATTCAAGTGAAGGCGTACGCCCTTTTTTTTCCTCTCTGCCACTTGACTGAGTGCCTGTCTGCCCCCTTTTTTGCATAATATAAATAGTCCCGACTATTTCTGTTCAGTATCTTAAGACGCCGTCGCATTTAGAAGCGACGCTATTTAAATCCAAATTGTGTTGCATTCCATTTTAACCTAAGCATTGGGAAGTAAAGTGCTGGTGTGTGCACTTTCGGTTTATGACTGCAGGTTGAACGACATGTGGACGATATGCCTGCTCAATCGGGAAGCGGCCTGTTGGGAAGAGGTAAGGCTCACGGTCTGTGCATCCAGAAAATGGTTCTTGTTTTTGGTTGTAAGGTTTTGAGGGTCCTGCAGTAGGGGGTGTTGATTGCTATGTATATTCCAATGGAGTCATTTGCAGGTCATTTTTTGGAGTAATTTTGCAACTTTTGACAGTGACGCCGGCATACAATGACCTACTCTTGCAGCAACATTTTTCTAAATATTAAATGAGATTTTTTAGAATAAATAAGGTTTATTTTTCGTGCACACGTGTCTTTGCCATGTGCGGTAGTGTAGTGGTTAACACGATGTGCAACGAACCCGGCAACCTGAGTTCGATTCCCGCTCACAGCCAAGATTAATGCCGAATATCTGAACCGGTCCCCTGGAGCTTCCCAAGGTCGACTCAGCCTTAAAATGAATACTTGGTGCGGTCTGTAAACATAAGCATTGGAGAGGCAACGTCGTCTGGGTGTAGGGGCTGGCCACCCATCCCCTCGTGTGCCGTGTGCGAGCCTTAATAGGTGCTTGCTAACGGCATTTGTGTCTCCGTGCGTAACGCAGATTGAGCAGAGCGGGGAGATCCCACCGTCGTGCTGCAACTTCCCCGTGGCCGTGTGCCGCGACCGCATGTTCGTCTTCTCCGGGCAGAGTGGCGCCAAGATCACCAATAGCCTCTTCCAGTTCCACTTCACACAGCGCATGTACGTCGGCCCTCCTCTGTCCCTCCGTCCCTCGCTATCATCGCCGCGCCCCTCAGCAGCTGCAGCCCCACGGCCACAGCGGCGTCGCCTGCGAATTCATTTAACTCGTAGCACCGTTTCCGTGCTCGGCTGCCACGAACCTTTTTAAATCGTGCGACTGTAGCACGGCCAGCCTTTTATATTTTTCCAAGTTATTTGCCAAAACGGTCGCCAGTGACAAACTCCTCGATGGGAAAATTATTAACGATTTCCCTTGTTCCCCCCCTTCCCCTATACCTGCATCTCGCCTCCCCCCCCCACCCCCTGCTGCCGACCCCTGCCGACCCCCAGCTGGAGCCGCATCCCCACGGAGCACCTTCTGCGTGGGTCGCCCCCACCACCCCAGCGCCGTTACGGCCACACGATGGTGACATTTGACCGGCACCTGTACGTGTTTGGCGGCGCTGCCGACAACACGCTGCCCAACGAGCTGCACAGTTATGACACAGACTCGCGCAGCTGGGAGGTGGTGCAGGCCAACCCGGACAGCGAGGTGATCGACGCGATGCTTGTGAGCATTGCTGGGCACATGGGTACGGGTAGACTAGTTAGCACGGGCAGCCGAGCGACTGGGTACAAATATGGGGGAAGTTGATACAGGGGTTCCATTTCACTGCTTGCACAAGGGCCCTTGCCAACCATGCTGTGCTACTGCTAGGATTCCTCAAAGCGGTGTTTTTCAACTCCACTGCTTCCCTTGTCTAACAACTATCAGGTGGGTGCAGTGTGCAGTTGCTGTAAAGTTTGTGTACAAGTAGAAAAGATTGGTGGTCGCAAAAAAGATTCTATCACGGTCAAGCTGCCTGGATTGGAAAGCGAGGATCTCATTGGTGCCAACTCGGCGCTCTGACCTCTGTGGCAGCTGGCCGTGTCTGGGCCGCGTCTCTTTACTGCGCGACCTCACTGTAAGACCTCACTGTAAGACCTCACTGTGTGCACAGCTGCCGAGCGGGCGGGTGTTCCACGCGGCGGCCGTCATCGGGGACGCCATGTACATCTTCGGCGGCACGGTGGACAACAATACGCGCAGCGGAGAGATGTACCGCTTCCAGGTGGCTCCCGCCCCCCTGCCCCATATTCCACCCCTCCACCGCACCCTCCCGCTCACATCCCCATGACGATCGTCTTGGTGTCTGGAGGAAGCTAGGCTTCTCATTCGCTCATCTAAATAAATATTCTCATGAACGGGTTCACAGCACGCCAGTCCGCAGTCCCGTGCATTGCTTCCCTGTCCAGTCTCAGAATAACTACAAGCTCGCTCTCACTGTCTGGATCTTCCACAAAGCTCATGGTCCACCCTAAATCGCATCTGCACAAATCATGGCAGATGCGGATACCTGATGCGCAAATGTAAAATTAAAAACTACGGTCATTCAGAATTGACCGTACAACGTATAATGACGTCATGCCCGATCCACAAGTACGAAGGAGACATTACAGCGATACACTCCGCTGCTCCAGATACGGTTATCTGGTTTGACTACATGAATGTGAAGTTGTGCTTGTTGCTCGCATCTGCATCAGGCACACGACAAGAAGAAGACTGTCTTCAAGATCATCCCTGCCTACCTCTGTATCTTAGCCTGCCTCCGTATGAACTCTGTCTTGCCTCTCCATTCTCAATCTATCGCCATGCATTGTTTTTTTTCTAGGGCGCTGTAGCACTGCCTTCTACAACTGGCACTGACCAGTGTGAGTGCGGTCAAATTACCTTCATGACCCACTTGGCTTGGGAAGGCCTTCATCCAGCAGTGAATTTGTCCTGCCAATAAAAAAAACACACATTGAATGGCCTATGGCCGTAATACCAGATCGCTTGAGGCCACTGACGGTCTGATAAAGTGGAACGCTTCCCCCCCTCCCCCACCTGACGAGCAGCGTTGATCTCTTTGCCCGCGCAGTTCTCCTCCTACCCCAAGTGCACCCTGCACGAGGATTACGGGCGGCTCTGGGAGAACCGGCAGTTTTGCGACGTCGAGTTCATCGTGGGGGAGGTGAAGGATGCACAGGCACACGCACGCACCAGCGCACACGCAAGAACACATGTAGACACGCACCAGTACATCGAATGCCCGTCTGCACACTGAACTTGGATTATTGTGAGTTTTCCCTTGTTGAATGTGGATTTTTATTATCATGTTTTAGTTTTATTTATAGCATAGCCGTTCATACAAAATTGTTACAATCTTATTCTTAGGTTTTTTCGGTTAAGTCACGTAAGTAAAACATCAAAATAAAAATAAAATAAAAATAAAAAAATAAAAAATCACGACGTTTCGGAGGCAACACAAGTCTCCGTCATCAGGTGGGACCGTCACAGCCGAATTAGCTGCATCAAGTGAAGCAATGATTCAAGATGTAATCCCTTATAAGCAAGTTGAAGGGAGGTGGAGAGGGGGGGGAGAGCTTATCAGACTGTGGTAGCCAATGAATGGAAACGTATCGGGAGGGAGGAGGAGCGGTGATCAAAGACTGCACGCAGTGCTCAACACAATGAATGATACGTTTCCATTCATTGTGTTGAGCACTGCGTGCAGTCTTTGATCACCGCTCCTCCTCCCTCCCGATACGTTTCCATTCATTGGCTACCACAGTCTGATAAGCTCTCCCCCCCCCTCTCCACCTCCCTTCAACTTGCTTATAAGGGATTACATCTTGAATCATTGCTTCACTTGATGCAGCTAATTCGGCTGTGACGGTCCCACCTGATGACGGAGACTTGTGTTGCCTCCGAAACGTCGTGATTTTTATTTTTTTATTTTATTTTTATTTTGATGTTTTACTTACGTGACTTAACCGAAAAAACCTAAGAATATGAATCTTTGCAGTCACGAAAGCTTCAAATCTAGAATTGTTACAATCTGGTAAGCAGCAGCCAGGCAGGGAGTCTGCACTTCCAAAAAATCCCAAGCGCTTTAGTCCTCTATGTATTAAGATGATAATTGCAGACAATGAGTGATTATACGTGGAGGCAACTGGAGTGCTTGAAACGACGGCACGGCAAACTCAGCTCGCTCGTGGTGCTCCCATTCCACCCCCCCGCCCCAACAGAAAGAGGAGCGAGTGAGGGCCCACATCGCCATTGTGACGGCACGCAGCAGCTGGCTGAGGAAGAAGATCGTGCAGGCGAGGGAGCTCGCAAAGCAGGCAAGCCAACGCCCGCGGCTTCACGAGCACATGGTGGTGATGGTGGTTATGGCGATCCATCACCATTGCTGTTAGCATCATCGGTCTCTACCCTGTTGTGGTGGTTATGGCTGTCACTGCTGTGGAAGATTATAAGGATGATGTGATGGTGGTTTAGGACATTAATGATCACAGTGATGACTCGTCCTGTGTGTGATGGATGATGGTGAAGTTAATGATGTCTATCATCCTGCTCTGATATTGACGATGGCATTTACATTGATGATAATGGTTATTTTCCTGTCATGGTCACGGTTAATGGTGAGGTTGATGACGATTAAGGTGACTGTTTTCTTCTCCGGTGGCCATTACCGTCTACCTGCTGTGGAAGGGGATGGCAACAATGACGACGATGATCGTGGTGATTGGCGGCGACGGCGGCCGATATCCTTCTCTTCCGCTTTCTCCCCTGGCGGCCGGCAGAAGCAGAACGAGGAGAGCAAGGGCGAGAAGGAGAGCCTGACGCTGTCGCTGCGCGAGGCGGCCGGCTGCCGACCGTCGCCCGAGTCGCTCACATCGCCCGCCCTGCGCGTGGCCGTGCGCAATGCCGAGGCGCAGCCCTTCGAGATGCTGTTGCAGTTCCTCTACACGGACCGCATACAGTACCCGCGCAAAGGTTTCCTTCTATTCGCTCGTTTTAAAAATAATCGTTCTGTACGTGCGCACGGAATAGAATTCAATTTAAAATTATTTTTGTTATTTCACCAGGTAAGGCCCACTGAGCTACGTAGCTCTTTTTCAGAAGCGACCTGGCCACAAATTATAGCTCGACGAAGTGGCTTATCATGTGGAAATTTATAGCGGCCAAATACTTCAAACGCATGTTTATAAATGTGGAGGGTACAATCGGAGGAGCCGGAGAAAAATCCTTCCATGCGACCACGGGGGGAACACGCAAACTCTAAATATCAGGTGTCAGGGCCGGGATCGAACCCACAAACTCCTGTATACTGTAGCGAAATGTAATACAGTGAATTATTTCCGATTAAGAAACACGTCGTGATTGGTTTGTTGAAACAGCGCAGCCGCTGTAGATTCCACAAGTGCCACACAAGGGTGAAAAAATCAACGATTTGGATCGGATGGTGACCCAAAGCATTACGATAGAATCGTCGAGAGACTGAACTGTTATATCCATAAGCAACAGGCAACCCACATCTTTCTTGCAAAACACCCCCCATACTTAGCTTCTACAGACTCGCAATGCTAAAATAAACGTCACCGAACTGAGCAGCTCGATGACTGCGTGCAAGGTGCCGACCGTCCACCGCGTTGCGCCCTTCCACCCCCTCGCCGTCCCCGCTCGCTCGTCGCCCTACGTTGACCCCACGGCACCGCGTGACCTCACCAGGCCACGTGCAAGACGTCTTGCTGATGAGCGACGTGTACCGGCTGGCGCTGTGCTTTGCGCTGGCGCGGCTCGAGCAGCTGTGCCTGCAGTACATCCAGGCGTCCGTGGACCTGGGCAACGTCCTGGCCGTGCTGGAGAATGCCAACATGCTGCAGCTCGACATGCTCAAGGTACGGCGGCGTCGGCGTCGCCGGAGCGCCATGTCGGTGGGTAGTGGCGTTGTAAATGGGGAGGCCCTCATCCAGCAGTGGATTGACAAAAAACGACTGTGGATTTGACACATCTTAATCAATTGGTGATCCAGCGCTCGCTGAATCACTCGTGGCCACCTGGATTCCAACCCAGGACCTTACTGGTGCTGTCTCAGTGCTCTCTGACCTCTGAGACTAAGGCGGCCGGGCGTGGTGCTGGCCACCCACCCTGTCGTGTGCCGTACCGGCCTTCATAGGTGCTACTCGCTAACAGCACTTGCCCCAACAGACCGTTAAGGCTGTACGAGAGATCTTTGTCTCGCCTGATCTTTGAGCAACCCATCTACCTTGGTTGTGTTTTTCGCTGTGTGCCACCCGGTTAGCTCTGAGGCCACCTGTTTTTAACGCTTACCTCGTTCAAATCAAATGACCTTCCCTCTCTTCGCTTGCGTCCCCCCCCCTCCCCCGCACAGGAGTACTGCCTAAAGTTCGTGGTGAAGGACTCCCATTTCAGCCAGGTGATCATGAGCCGAGAGTTTGAGAGCCTGTTTCCGGCGCTCATCGTGCAGATCGTCCGGCGCAAGGAACATCCTCCGCCGCGCAGCAGCCAGCCCGAGCAGCCCATCGACATCGGTGAGGACGCGCCCATGTGGTTGCACGGGGGATGAGTGCGTGCATGTGTACGTGCGTTATTTATTCCCTGTCTCTCGCGGTTAGCCTAGCGGTCAGCGCGCTGCGCTACGAACCCGGTAACCCAAGTTCGATTCCCGCTCACGGTCAACACCAGTGACGATTATCCGAACCGGTCCTGGGCCTCCCCTAGGACGACTCCGCCTCAGATGAGTACCTGGTGCGGTGTGTAAACATTACCACTTGGGAGACAAATGTGGCCAGGCGTGGTGCTGGCCACCCACCTCCTTGTGTGCTGTGCCGGCCTTCATAGGTGCTCGCTGGACAGCACTTGACCCAACAGTGTCTTAAGGCTATACGAGGGATCTTTGTCTTTGTACGTTATTTATTCCCTGGCTCTCACTCTTCACCACGGTTTGCTGGCCGGCTTGGCCTTCGTCATCTCTGCTCTCAGGAACGTCCCTGGTGCAGGACATGAAGAGCTACCTGGAGGGGGGCGGCCTTGAGTTCTGTGACATCACGCTGCTGCTGGATGGACAGCCGTCGCCGGCGCACAAGGCCATCCTTGCCGCACGCTCCAGGTGGCCCATGCTGCTGCATGCATTAACCTGTGATTGTGTTCCGGTTGCCGCTGAAGCAAACTTGCACGCTGGCTCGAAGCTGTGACCTTGCATTTGACCCTCAAGTGAACATCCATTATAATACAATGCCAGTATTTGCTCACATGACGACCCACGCTGATCTTTGTTCTAAAAGGTCAAAGGAAAATCCTCCCTGTAGCTTTCAACACCCTAACCACACCACCAGGGGATGGTGTGGTTAGGGTCAAGGCCAGGCACCTTTGTCTCCCCAGTGCTGATGTTTACAGATTGCACCAGGTACTCATTTAATTATGCGTCGACCTAGGAGAGGCCCAGGACCAGTTATGGTGCCACTCGGCACTAATTTTAGCTGTGGTTGGGAATTGAACTCGGGTTACCGGGTTAGTAGTGCGCCATACACTTCGGCAATGATCCCGCTCCACCCACGCACCCATTATCCCACACACGCTAACGTATCCAATTTCTTATACACAATACACACGAATGCATACCCTTTAGGCAACACATAAAACTTGTCGATGAAAGGCTCCGCTGTTCTCCAACGCTTTCAACCGCTCCGTCCTACTGGGCGAGCTGCTGTGAACACGGACGTCGAGGCAGCTCGGTCGCGCACGTTCCTCATTTGCCGACCCGCCGCCCTGTCCCCCGTCTCGCCGGTGCCCTGCGAACAGCTACTTCGAGGCGATGTTTCGCTCCTTCATGCCGGAGGACGGCAAGGTGAACATCTCCATCGGCGAGATGGTGCCCAGCCGGCAGGCCTTCGCCTCCATGCTGCGCTACATTTACTACGGCGACGTCAACATGCCGCCGGAGGACTCTCTGTATCCTCGTGTGTGAGTGAGCGAGTGAGCGCCGATGTTCAGGGTGATTCGGACGTGGTCGGTCATCTGCTGGGTGACCGTCTGTCATGTTCCTGCGAAATAGCAACACCTGCGCACCAGATGATTCCATCAATCGCAATTAACGTCCTCCCAGGCACATTCCTTCCCTTGGATCAACAATGTAAGACTCCTTTAAAGCATTTTGGAGTTTAAATTGTGCTCTTTGTAATTTCAATCGGTGAATTACTGGACTACAATTTGACTTGCGATTGAGTTTAACGTTTCAGGCAATTATAAATATGCCTTTTAGTGTAATTTATAAAAGCCACCAACAAAATTACTCTTTTGTAGAGGGAAACAATTGGCTGTTTGAAAATAAAAACAGCGATGTTGGCAATGAGGGACGTTTGAACCTTGGGATGCGTACCGCTTGCGGTTGACCCTTGACCCTCAGCCACTGCACAGCTACTTGTTCTCGGCACCGTACTACTACGGCTTCACCAACAACCGGTTGCAGGCATACTGCAAGCAGAACCTGGAGATGAACGTCACCTTCCAGAATGTGCTGCAGGTGAGTGCGTGAGCAAAGCCAGTTTGGTAAATGGCATTCGTGCCTCCTGTTGGCCTACTTATTGAGCGTGTGTAAATGTCAGCTGGACTGTTTCTCGTAAATGATTGCTCATGCATTATAGATGCCGTTCAGTTGAGATAAAAGTTGCAAATATTTTCATTCAATAATTCAGCACACTAGGTGGAAACGATAGAAGTTTTGTTCTGCCACTTCAAAAAAATCACAACTACAAAGAGCTCGAGCGTGTGCCTACGTTGGCTGTGCTTGGCATGTACCACACCAGCTGTGGGTAACGTAACTTTAAGGCACCTCCTCAGATCCTGGAGGCGGCCGACAAGACGCAGGCAGTCGACATGAAGAAGCACTGCCTACACATCATCGTGCACCACTTCACCAAGGTGGGTCGCCCCCCAGGGCATGAGCTGCGGTGGTGCCGACATCGGCAGCAGCAGCAGCAGCACCGCGGTCCCCTAACCCGTCCCCACCCGGTCGCTAGCGCCGTACGGCTAACGCCGCCGTTCAACACCGTCATCACTTGCGTGGTGCCAAGCGATTGCCGTGGCCCCCCTGCCGCGGGGGTCACGGGGGCACTTCTTGTCGCCCCACCGGACGGGGGCGCCGTCACCAAGGCGGCGCTGGGTGGAAGGGCACTGGTGGAGCTCCTGAAGGACAGCGTCGCCTCGTGTCTCGCGCGCGTCAAATGTGCCACGCTGCGCTTTCTGCGCCAGTTGCTGGCAGTGGGGGCTATGGCGCCACTCAGACCAGGTGGCTCTCCCACCAGCCACGTGTGACCGAGTTAACCCATCCCGAGTTATGCATGGCACTGCGCTGCACTTTCACCGGCCTGCACTTTAAGGCACAAACCTTGTATGACATTTATTTCACCATTAGTGCTGAGCTCGTTTCCTTTTCAGCACTTGCTCACTATTTTGTTTTGAGCACGACTTGTAAACTTTTGGTTCAGTTTTGCCGTTTCTTGAGTTTGCCCGTTCATCATGCTTCTCGTATATTTGTTTTCTTGTGTTGCGTTAAGGTGTCCAAGTTGCCCAAACTCCGTTCGTTGAGTCGGGAGTTGCTGCTGGACGTGATCGATTCGCTAGCGGAGCACGTCACGGAGAGGCAGTGTGTGGACATCGCGTGTCCCGACATATAGTTCCACCAGCACGTACCGACACACATGACCGAGCACACCACCGTGCGCGTGTAACCGTACTGCGCTTAGCTCACCCCGCACGCGCACACAAACGTGCACATACCCTCGTTGCTATGGGTCGTGCACTCAGAAAGCGGTACAGCGCTACATGGTCGTTCCACAACTGCACTTACTTTGTCTACGGGCCAGAGAACAAATTGGTACCACCTAATGTAGTAAAACTTTAGTTATTAATATGACCTTACTCATTTCACCGGAGTGGTTCTACCTTTTTTTAGCCAACAACCGTGAATTATGTGATGAACATTTCAAATAAGTTTGTTTCTAAAATAATGAATTCATATTATCCATATAAACAGAAGGCCAATAACAGTGATAACCATTTCAAATGAGTGGGGTTATCAAATAATTAATTCATATTCACCATATAAATAACTCGGTACCTCAGAAGGTTTTGCAATCTCAGGCGGTACCAACAATTTAAGTATCTGGTGTGGGCTCATCGACCAGCAAGCTGTTAACCCATGTCATGCGGCACTAAGCATGTCGGAGCTCACCTACTCATGCCTGGGACATCCACCCTCACACTAACACGAGCATTTAGGTCTAATCTAACTTATTACATTTGTACAAACCCATCGCTGTTTCTGCTGTACTAGTCTTACCCTCCACCGTCTGAAGCACTTTTAATAGACAAAGTATACACACGGTGTAAAATGTATATGAGCGGATTGCGTTCAGGATGCGCAGCGAACTTTATAAGCTTACGAGCAGAATGGCCTCAATGGGAACAATATTTACGTACGTTTCAGTGGTAAGTCTTGGAAATTGATGTCGATGTTTTTTTTTGTTCCTTTGATAAATGTAAAACTTTTATTAAAATATTTAAGCGAGATCCGATAAGGTACATTGGTTTTGGTGAAGACACATTTTCACAGTTTTTTTTCCCCAATGTCTGCATTTTTCTGGCAAACAAGGCAACGCATGCAGCGCACACGAAACGTAAACACACGCACGCTCGCAAACGTGTGAACTCCCTCACACCTGAACACACATGCACACACTGGCTGTGCGACTCTAGCACAGCCACACACGCGAGTGCATAAGTAGTGACTGGACATGGCAAACAAAACCGATATTTTGAAATCAAAGAACAAACCAAAACCCTTTTTCACACAATCAAAACAAAAAAGCCAGCTTACATCAGTGCATAATAATAACAACAGATGGACGGCTTCGCAGAGCTATGACAGAGATGTCCAAAATAGACCCTAAAGTGTTAAGTGTGTCCCTGCGCACACGCACACGCGCGCGCCCACATACGTGCAAGTTTTTTGGGATGGAAGCAGCCCCTGTGCTTTTTGGCTCGTGTTATATTCCTTACAGATAGGAGAGCCCGGCCTGTCCAAATCGTAGCTTTGGAATGGAAAAAAAAACTGTGGTACGGGATGGGTGAGCCCCTCCGCTTCCGCAGGAGATGGGGTGGGCGAGCGGTTATGAATGGCACGTGGTTGACGCCTGTTGCTGGCCGGGGTTATCCTGCCTGGCTTCTGAGCCGGTCCTTAACGATTTAACCGCTCAACATTTACCCAGCATTAGTGGCATCTGATTGGGCAGTCGCACTTACATTTGTAAGTATGACTATGTAGGCACGGATCAGCTATGATGCTCGATCGACCAAATCGGGTGTCTTAAGGATATACATTTTGATTGAATTCCCTTCAAGTTAACGCTTTAAACTAATTGAGGCAGAACGGGATGGTAAAAATGCAACGGGACAAAACATGCCCAAATGAATCATTACATGTCTAATGAATAGCCAGCTTAACTGTTCCAATAGTGTCAAAGCCCTGTTATATATAAGGAAAATTTTCAACAATCACACGCTGATCGTTTCGCAGTAGTAGAGCCTGGGATCTACTGCCAACTGAGCAGCCATGTCACAGGTAGTTTGTGGTGTAGTCGAGGGGTGGGTCAGTGGGACCTGAGCTAGGAATCCTTGTATACGAACAGAATGTCCTCGTCTGTGCCGTAACTCTTCCTTGAGTCGTTGAAGTTCTTCACAGTGCAGCTGCACATACCTGTGTGAATCGCAAACGCAGATGTCACTCTCGTCACATTGTGTCCACGCAACTAGACATCACAAAATAAGACGCAATTATTTAAACAGATGTCTGAATGCGACTGCATCTCAAGATACTGCAAAGGTGACAAACTTCCTTTGGGTAGAGGAGGGGTTGGGTCAGCGCAGGGAAACATGGAGAGGAGCGAGCAAAAGCACGACCTCATCTCATTCTTGACTTGGGTTATGAGCATGCGTCCCTAGGTCTGTGTTTCTCAAACTCCAGTCCTCTCTTCCACTCTCGGTTCAGATTACCATAACTACTACCGTTAGACGACAAACATTGGGTAATCGGCGGGTGGGGGCAGGTCACGAGGGGCGGAATTTTGAGAAACATCGTCTTAGGTTTTGGTTCTTTCGGTAAAGTCACGTAGAATAGAAATAATAAAATAATATAAATATAAAATAATATACATATATTTTTATTATTTCCCTAAGACGATTTTGATTTAAAGCTTTCGTGACTGCAAATATATTGTTTTATATTTGTATTATTTCCCTTCTACGTGACTTTACCGAAAGAACCAAGAATATGAATCCCTGCAGTCACGAAAGCTTTAAATCAAAATCGTCTTAGGTTGTAATGCACACGTTCGGTACTGGTGGCGTCCAGGAAGCTCAATTAGCTTGGGCTCACGGTCTGAGAAGGCGGGGTTGTTGTAGAAGATGGCACGTGCGGAGCGGCTGTAACCACACAGGGTAACAAAGTGGCCCTGGTACTCTTGGCGCCGTTGGCACAACACGCAGCAGCCGGCGCCCAGCGCAGGCAAGCAGCAGCAGCAGCCGGAGACGAGGCTCGACGACCAGCCGGCACGTCGCTCGGCACCCCCGTCCACGTCGTCGCCAACGTCGCCGGCCTCCGAATACGGGCTTCCGCCGGACACCGCCACCGCTGCCGTCGTGCCGCCCGCGTCGGCGGACGGGGGGCACAGGTCGCAGGAGAGCACGGACGCGTCCGTGAGGACAATGGCGATGTGGCCGCCCGCTAAGTGGCGCTCCACCTCTCCTACTGACACCGACCTGATGCAAGAACCGGCGGCGCACCGTGAAAAGCACGTACCCACAATGACAATGTGCGGTAGTTAACACTCAATGACAACGTGTTAAATGGTAGTGTGCGTGTACATTATGGTAGGGGTGGAGGGGACCTTTTTGTTAACTTGGGCTGAATGGAACTTTCAGACCCCTTGACGGGTCGCACATTAACACACATCTCGGTCACTTCTGTCACTGCAAGAGCCGCTTGCAGTGATATAAGTAGCTGCCAGTGCTAAAATTAGAACCACATGTTTGCCAGGAAAAAAATATTTCTCTCTAGTACCTGATAAGTGCCGCTAAGTTGCTTACAGCGATGGAGAAATGTTGTTTTCGTGCAATTTCGAATTGGTATATCTCGTGCGGCGACGAGTCATCTGAAATTAAGTCGCAGGCAAATTGAGCCTCTGAGCCATAGGTTCCCGACCCATGCATTGTGATCAAGCTAAGGAGCTGTATTCTGCAAATAATGACTTGTTTTGAATGTACATGAAAACTGATGTACGAGTGTCAAAGAGAACTTTATTGAAACCTTTTCTCCACCACCACTCCATTCGAGGCAGCCATCTGAAAGAGCCGATTCACCCTCTCTTCATCCGTCTCAAAGTGCCGGCGGTAAAAGCTCTGCAAAATAGCACGTGACATTTCGATGGTGATAAGAGCCATGGATCCAATGGTTGTCAACGCCACTTCGTCAAAGTGTCTCGTGTCAATGCTTCTCTCCCCAGACCAATTGTGAATTGACTTGTCTTTACATTTGTATTGTATTGTTCTTTTTAAAAGTGGTCACTTAAAGATCACTTTAAGTGACCACTTTTATCCACACAAACTAGGGGACACTGCACTTTGCAAATAGGCTTCAAGTGATGGGACAAAGACTAATTCAAGGCAAGATGGTAAGTCAAGGCTCGGTCCCAGGAAAGCAAGGCCATCCACGACCCATAAGACTTTGTATTGACGATGCAGTCGTTGAGACGGGGCTCAGTATGGGACAGTGCAACAACATGGATGGGGCGTGAGCATAGCTTTCAGGGAACAAGACAAGAGGCCGCAGGTGAGGGAGAAGCTGGGAGGAGCTCTCGCCTGGTTCCGGTAACCGCGGTCTACGCCAACCGTCTGCGTGCAGAAGCGGTGCCGCACATTGAGTGCCACCAGCAGGTAGGCCAGGTCGATGGTCCACACACTGTCACGCAGGTGAAGCCGCTCGCACGCACCCTGGAACTCCTCCTCGCCCACTCCGCGCACGTACCTACACCAAACATTTTCCCAGGGGACCCTCGGTGAGTCTCAGGAATCGTCTGTCAAAAGAGTTTTGACGAATTCCCCTTCAGTACATATGTGAGGGGGAGTGGTGGCACAGTCGGTTGTGTTCTGTAGTATGAACTCGGCGACCGAAGTTCAATTCCCAGCCACAGCGAACATTACTGGTGAGTGATCTTCAGACCAGTCCCTGCCCCCTGCCCCCATTCACAAAGCCACACTGACCAGCATGGTGGAGTATGTTCAACGCCCACAACCGACAAAGCATGAGGAAACATTCATTCAGTAGTTGTTTGACAAAGGGGCTGTGTGATCTACAGTATAGGCATGTGGGAGAAACCAAGGTGCCTGGAGACACCATATATGAGAGGACAACATTCAATATGCACTGAAAGACAATTGTCTAGGCAATGTAAATCTCAAATAGGTCAAAGTAGCATGGCACCCATTCCCATTAGCAGCCCTGAGTTAGTGGTAGTAGATATTACACATTACCACAATCAAGAGCTAATCTCTGTATAGGACAATAATGGTTAAGTGCCAAAAAGTGATACTCATTTTTTTATCAACTCCACTGAGAAAATGATAGGTGAGTCAACCGCAGACCGGGATTTGAACTCGCAACTTTGTGAATGCGAGTCCAGCCCTGCGACCAGACAGCCACCCATCCTGATGAAACCAAAACTACAACCGCAGGAGATCTGAAAAGGGACCGCGATCCGCCGTGCACGCACTGAGTGGCCATGCGGGCGCAGGCGAGGCCACAGTCCCAGTGGAAGACCTGCTGGATTTTCGGCACAGGCAGCCGAACAAAGTCATCTGTGAACGACAAAGACAATGGGCAATTCCTAATGCAAAAATTACGTTTCAGATTGTGCAACCCTTTCCATGTTAGACAATGGTCGACGGAGGCAGACTTCACAGAGCTACCTCTGACGTAACTTTAAGTGACCTCTGGTCCAAATCGTTGGGCGTAACAAACCGATATTTTTAATTCTCACATAACTGGAATTTATCAGAATTATGCGTGGAACATTTTTTATGTCATGGGTGTTTGTTTTTTTATTGCAGCCATTGGTGATAGTGCTGAGACCATGAACTCGCTACACTAGATAGAACACCGGGCATAATCACAAGCAACTGCCTGGATTCAAAACCCCGGGACCGCAGCGGTGCCAGATTCAACGCTGACATCTGAGCCACCTGGCCACCAAAGCAGGGTCACTTCGTTAGCAGAAGCCACCTCGACCGTGGAACGACTCGCCTGGCGTCCCCATCTCGTTACCTTGAGACCCGTGTCCTCCAGGTACTGTTACAGTTCTTGAGCTAATATTGACCGACCTTGAGAGAAACTCTGTGGGGGAGTGTGACTTGCAGAATTTCCCCACTGCGGGTGACGAGTAGCGGACGTTAAAATTTGCCGCTGTCAAGGACAATAATTCCACGTCATTAAATGTCCCGCGGCTAAGCCGAGCACAATAATAAACGGGAGTGTGAAGGCTGTAGCATACGAGCACGTATCAACCTCACTACAGTTATTATTTACGCCGCTTTATAACAGCCTCGAGTTACAAATTATATGTAATAGGATAAAGTTTTGACGAATGGCTCTGCTTCTGATGACTTCGTTCTTTGGTATTTAATGTGTTTTTTTCCCCCTAAAATGTATTCTAACCCTAATGTATCATGCAAATGACAGTATATATTAATTTAAAAACTTTTTTAAGGAACCAGATTGTAAAATGTGCTCTCCAACACCAAGTCGTGCCTAGATGCCCTCCACTCTTAAAGGGTCGTTGCCCACAATGTAAGATTTTATTTTTAATGTTTTACGGCTGTGCAAAATTGTTCGTGATGTACGCGCTACTGCAAATAAATAATCGTCCGCACCACCTGATCTACACAGGCTTTGATTATATAAGGACATAATGGGTTTATGTCCAAATCTACTTAAACGACATTGAACCAACTCGGATAAAAAGCTCAAAAAGCAGCCCAGGAATGTGGCTTGTCGCAGCTGGACCAGGTAAGGGCACAGCAACACACAACTACATGGGGATGACAGCCGAGACATGGATAAACACCTGGCGTGCAACAAGGGCAGTACTTGAGATATATGAAAAGGTCTGGAGATAGATGAGGGCGCAGTGACAGGCGGGGAAAAGACCAGCTGGTATCAGAGTAGCTCTGAGATAAATACACGATCAAGGAAGCATGTCAAGCACAGAGACACAGACAGCACCAGCCAGAGACACGGTCTGAACGAGGAAGACAGCACGACAGAGCCACAGACTACCAGGTAGAGACACGGGGCTGTACCAGAGGCAGACAATAGTAAAGACAGCATCAGACAGAGAGAGATATAACCAGTACTAGAGAGACACGGGCAATACCAGAGACAGAGTACCAGTGAGAGACACCAGCAACACGAGATGTACGGCCTGTCCCACAGAGACACGGACTGCACAAGAGAGACACGGACTGTACCACAGAGACACGGACTGTACCACAGAGACACTGACATTTATCGGAGAGAGGCAGGCAGTACCCGAGAGAGACACTGTTTGTATGAGACACAGACAAGACGAAGGACACGTGGACAGAACTCTAGAGTGAGACAACACAGACAGCCCACGAGTGAGACAGACACAACACAGACAGCCCACGAGTGAGTGAGACAGACACACAACACACACAGCCCACGAGTGAGACAGACACACAACACACACAGCCCACGAGTGAGTGAGACACAACACACACAGCCCACACAGCCCACGAGTGAGACACACAACACACACAGCCCACGAGTGAGACAGACACACAACACACACAGCCCACGAGTGAGACACACAACACACACAGCCCACGAGTGAGACACACAACACACACAGCCCACGAGTGAGACAGACACACAACACACACAGCCCACGAGTGAGACACACAGCCCACACAGCCCACGAGTGAGTGAGACACACAACACACACAGCCCACGAGTGAGACACACAGCCCACACAGCCCACGAGTGAGTGAGACACACAACACACACAGCCCACGAGTGAGTGAGACACACAACACACACAGCCCACGAGTGAGTGAGACACACAACACACACAGCCCACAAGTGAGTGAGACAGACACAGCCCACACAGCCCACGAGGGAGACAGACACACAACACGCACAGCCCACAAGTGAGTGAGACAGACACAACACACAGCCCACGAGTGAGTGAGACACACAACACGCACAGCCCACACAGCCCACGAGTGAGTGAGACAGACACAACACAGCCCACGAGTGAGTGAGACACACAACACGCACAGCCCACGAGTGAGTGAGACAGACACAACACAGCCCACGAGTGAGTGAGACACACAACACACACAGCCCACGAGTGAGACAGACACACAACACACACAGCCCACGAGTGAGTGAGACACACAACACGCACAGCCCACGAGTGAGTGAGACACACAACACACACAGCCCACGAGTGAGACACACAACACGCACAGCCCACGAGTGAGACAGACACACAACACACACAGCCCACGAGTGAGTGAGACACACAACACACACAGCCCACGAGTGAGACACACAACACGCACAGCCCACGAGTGAGACAGACACACAACACACACAGCCCACGAGTGAGTGAGACACACAACACACACAGCCCACGAGTGAGTGAGTGAGATACTCAACACACACAGCCCACGAGTGAGTGAGACACACAACACACACAGCCCACGAGTGAGACACACAACACACACAGCCCACGAGTGAGTGAGACACACAACACACACAGCCCACGAGTGAGTGAGTGAGATACTCAACACACACAGCCCACGAGTGAGACACACAACACACACAGCCCACGAGTGAGTGAGACACACAACACACACAGCCCACGAGTGAGTGAGTGAGACAGACACAACACACACAGCCCACGAGTGAGTGAGACACACAACATACACAGCTCACGAGTGAGACACACAACACACACAGCCCACGAGTGAGTGAGACACACAACACACACAGCCCACGAGTGAGTGAGACACACAACACACAATACAACACACCACACAACACACCACAGACAGCACATCACAAAACAGCCCACGTGGCCCGCACAAGCACCAGGGGCCCTGGCAGGCCGCCCCTGCGAAGGCCACGAAGCCCGTGGGGGGGGGAGGCCACGGCCAACGCACCGGTCTCGTCCCGCGCTTCGCCCTCTTTCATGTCGCCTCGCCGCCCCCGGGCTCCGATCTCTGTCTGGGCTCTGGGCTGGGGGAGAGGAGGAGGAGAAGAAGGGGCTGGGGGAGAGGAGGAGGAGGAGACGGCGGCGCTGGGACGAGGGGAGCGAGGCCTTCCGGACTTCCCGGGGCTGAGGCTCCGCGCTGGGTCGTCGCGGGCCGCCGCTCTTCATCCCGGCCCCGCGGTCTCGGTGCCCCGGGAGCTTTGCCCGGACGGCCACGATTCGCTTCCTACGCCTCGACCAACTTTGTCTCTCTCTCTCTCTTCACACAACCACCACCACCACCCCCCCACCCCCAGGTCGTCTATAGACGTCGCATGCGGTCACCGGAGGCGGCCTGCGGTGCGAAGGAGACTTCCGCCCCGTGTCTAATGGACACGTTTTTTCAGTTTTTTTAGTTTTTCATTTACAGTAAAAGCTTGGATTGCGAGCAACTTGGTCTGCGAGTGTTTTGCAAGATGAGCTATTTTTTAAAAATAAATATTAATTTGATGAACGAGCGAGGTCTTGCAATACGAGTAGTACGTTTTGTCTGCCGAGCGTCACGTGATCACAACTGATATACGAGTGCTTTGATATACGAGTGCTTTGGATTACAATTATGCTATTCTTAGGTTTTTTCGGTAAAGTCACGTAGGTAAAAACATCAAATTAATAAAATAATTTTGATGTTTATTAATTTTGATGTTTTTACCTACGTGACTTTACCGAAACAACCTAAGAATATGAATCCTTGCAGTCACGAAAGCTTCAAATCTGGAATACAATTATGCTCGCAATCCAAGGTTTTACTGTATTTGGGTAGAGCCCTGTGAGCCATTCGGCTCTTGAATCGGGTGCAACCGCAACAAAACAAAAACATGAACGAGAAAACATCTTAAAGTGAATATGTGGCTAAGTGCAAACTGAAAATCTAAGAAAAGACAAAACAAATTGCAGAAAAAACACCGTACACCAACGCTGTGTGCACAAATCCCAGTGGGATGCAAGTCAAACAATAACAACCACAAGACAACTTAGATTAAGACCATCAGTCTAACTCCGTACTACAACAAACAAACATGGCATTCATTATCAGAGTTGTCTTTTTGTTTGCATTTTGACCGCAAGTGTTGTGGTTAATGCAAACATGATCCCTTGTATAAAGGTGTCAGTTTTGTTGCCAGTTAAAATGGTAAAACCCTATTACTATAAGCTGTCAACAACTTATCAGTGCCCTACCTTATAACAGACCAACTCAGACCTTTTTGGTCACCAAGTGCCCCTTATAAATCTCAACGTTAATCCTATAAAGTCCCATCACAAGGGAGAAACACAAACAAATAGACAATAACTTTTTTACACGTTTGAAACGGTTGTACGCCGTATGAACCTCAAAACTCAATTTCCCTGTACAAGAATACGGAGTACACTGTATGGGTTGACAGGTATGCAAACAAAATCATTAACAGCCTAATAATGTAAGCGAGGAAAGCCACCACACGTTTCAAATAACAACGACTCTTTGTCTATAAAACAATACCGTAGATATTTTATTTTAAGGCCACAGTGTTGACGAATTAATTGCTACACAATGACGTCACGCGTCACAACTTAAGTCGGCGACGTCATTGTGTATTTAAGAAGTGACGCCACGTTTCAAAACTAAACGAGGTGACGTCATTTGTCTGTATTTAGTTAGTGACGTCACGCGGCCGATCGACGTCACGCGCCTCGCCGCCTCCGCCGTTGAGTTCGCTCCGCTTCCAATCTCCCGCTTCGTTTCGTCGCCGCCGCCGCCATGTCGATCGGCGTCCCCATCAAAGTGCTTCACGAGGCCGAGGGCCACATCGTGACGTGCGAGACGAACACGGGCGAGGTGTACCGCGGCAAGCTCGTGGAGGCCGAGGACAACATGAACTGCCAGGTGCGAAAGCGGGGCCCCAGCGCCTAGGCAAGGCGCGGGCTGCGCGCGGCGTGCTGAAACCCGCTAGGCCCCGACCAATGAATGAACGAAATCGAGTGGCGCGTGGTGGTTGTGTTGTTGCGTCTCTCTTCGAGTTGCCTTTAGTCAGCCATCAGCCATGATCGATCCACTGCTGGATGAAAGGGCCTGTCTTGCCGGTACGCCTTAGTCACGTTTGGTTCGCGCACAGCGCTACGCTGATTTGTCTTTGAGTTCGATTCCAGGCCGCAGATCAAAGTTGTGACTTATGAAGAAGTGGTAGCCGGTCCTTGGGTGCGTCTCTTCATCAAGCACGAATTTGACCAGCGTAGTGAAGTCCGATTGGGTAGTCCACCACGGCCGAAACGGCGTAGGAAGACCATCCATCCCATGCATCTTGAAGCACGTACATTATTCAGCTGTGATAGTTACCCAACAGTGTTTAATGTGAACACACTGCACGCAATAATTTATTACGGTCTAGCACTCTAGCCACTGCTACACGAATGGCTTTCAAAACGGTAATTAATTTAAAGTTACAGTTTACAATAGCGCGGTTAGCTACGTACAGTTCGAAAAAAGTTCGCATACAGTACGTGCATACAAGGATCGCAAATGTTCCTATTTGTCAGACTGGAATTTGTTATGGTGTTTAACGTGTTTCTACTAAAACCCTAACCGACTCGGCTACTTGATAAAAATATACTTTACGTACTCAATACATGTACACCGATAATACGTACAGAAACTCGTCACGATTGTACACTGTACATACTGTCTTTGTCCAGAAAAATATAACGCAGCCTGTTATACGGAAGTTCTGATTTTCCATAGCGGTGTTGTGCTTGCACACCCCTGCAATTCCAGAAAACTTAATATGCAGTACTTGCATATACTATACTAAGTACAAATACTCCACATACAGATACACTACAAACGCCCCATCATTAACGTCACACTCCGTGAACGAAGTTCACGCAGGTACTCTAACCAATGATTACGATCATATTTAACAGTGCTTAAGAGGGACGGTTTAAAGACAGACTTAACATGATAGTAAACGTCTAAAGGTTCTATGATTTGAGGCCTGACTTAAAACCAGACGTAGAAGTGGTCTAATTTAAAATCGAAGTTGGTGCCATAATTGAGTACATTTTACCAAAACTGTCATCAGTGGCAAGCCAGATAGTTGCGTTCATGCGAGTGATCAGTTCATTAATCCGACGTAGTGTTTACCATTGGACCAACGTTAAATGTCAGCCCTCCATTGCGTTAATGAATTGATCACTGCCAACCTCGGACCAGCATTGCATGTCTACCATATTTTAAAATTAAGGTTTGAAACTTAACACGTGGCTTAATTCGATTTAAGAAATGCATCGGAGGTGTTGTGTGGTTAAATAAATATCTGTGCAGAGATGATTTGCCATTTGAGAGTTTAGATACATTTAATCCACTGCCTTCTGATGACACTCGCAGTTGACCTCTGATCATTGGGTTCTCATATATTTGTACCTGCTCTGAAACTCCCTCCAACTTGAATTGTTTAGCTCTGTCGGGTGGTGGAGGGCTATAGCACTAATTGACATAACTACACGATTTAACCCAAAATATACCAAATATGGTAATCGTAAACATTGGAAATGTCATTTGAACACGTAGGCTTTCGCAACCAATTTCCATAATAGGTGTTTTTAGGTTAGATAGCGTGAATATATAAATGTGTCGTTAAAACCCGCCACCACCCGACATAGCCAACTAGTAAGGGTTGTCACGTAAACAGAACGTGCCAATTCGTCACTAGTACAGCACACCGGTGTGTTGGAGAGCCAAGCCACAACATTTACAATCTGAGTATGACGCTTTGCCATTAACCACACATTTATATATTTACGCGATCTAACCCAAAAAACCTCATGGATTCGAAATGTCTCCTGTAAATGGACACTGATACACAACGATTAGTCCGTGCGAATGATCTATTTTGTAGACATATGCCTACACACCCTACATACAACACAATCCAGGTTTCTTTTGTAAGCGGACATGCCTACATTTGTCTGAACTTTGAGGTACAACCTATTAGTATCTGCACACATTGACTTGGGGGGGGGGGGGGGGAGAAGTGTCGATAATTTTCTCAGCAGGAGCTAGTGGAACAAACTCGTTAATGTAATTCTAGATTTGAAGCTTTCGTGAATGCAAGGATTCATACTCTTAGTTCTTTCGGTAAAGTCACGTAGGTAAAAAATGAAATTAAAATTAATAAAAATAAAACAATAAAAATCACGACGTTTCGGAGGCAACACAAGTCTCCGTCATCAGGTGGGACCGTCACAGCCAGATTTGCTGCATCAAGTGAGGGAGGGATTCAAGATGTAAGCTCTTAAGTACCAGTTAAGGGGGGAGGGAGGGGAGGGGCTTATCAGAATGTGGTAGCCAATGAATGGAACGTATCGGGAACGTTACATCGTTAATGTAAATTTAATAGTGCGCGCCGCGTGATGTGCCCAGATCTCAAACGTGACTGTGACATTCCGGGATGGACGCGTGGCCCAGCTCGAGCACGTCTACATCCGCGGCAGCAAAATACGCTTCCTCATATTACCGGACATGCTCAAGAACGCGCCCATGTTAAAGTCTGTCAAAAACAAAAACCCATCGGCGGGAGCTGGACGTGGCAAGGCAGCCATCCTCAAGGCACAGGGTAAGACTTGTGGCGGTGGTCTGGTGGTGTCTTGATTTTAAGTGCTGTTTGCATTGTTCATTTGGCGTTGTGTAATTTGAGAACCTGAGTCAGAATTTATATGGTCATTCGATCCAAGGATTGTTTTTGTAGTTTTGTCAGTAACTTATGCAAATATAATTAAAACTTTCTAGTCCTGTATTGCATAATTTAACTGTTATGGTGCTTGTTAAATAGATTATGTTTTTGCCAATAAGTGTCCAAAAATGTTCCTAGCGAGAACAAGTTTGGAAATATAAGACCCATGCGAACCATGTAGGATTTACATTTTAATTTGTTTTAATTTCCTAGTTTTCATTCGGTGGCAAATGACGATTTTCTCCATTGCAGTGATCTGTCAATGTGGCTGAACGTTTATTGTAAGAGTGTGTAGCGTGGTGTCGGCGTGATTGGAGTGTGTACGTGTTGTGACATAATCGGTACAGGTGTTTTAACTACTATCACGTTTAATACGCCGTCTATTCTCTTTCTCAGTGGCAAGAGGCCGAGGTCGTGGTGGCTTCAGTCGCGGAAACATCTTCCAAAAACGACGATAGATGGGAGGGCTGACGGGGGACCTAGAGGCGAAAAATCTACTAAAATTGATGTGATTTTGTAGAATTGCAGTCTTTGGATGTCTTGTTTTATACAACATTATTTCTGTAAACAAACGTTTTGGATGATGGTAACTTCATAGCCACACTTAAGGTGTCTTGAGTTTCAACATTAAACATTATTTTGAAATTAAAGCTTAGTTTATCACCAGCATGGTTGACTTCGTACTGTGCAAAAGACGTTCAACATACATACCGTGATGGTATATCATTTTTCAATAAAAGTTAGCCAAACTGGCTGTTCCCGTTTGTATGTTAATTTCAATTAAAGTGTCATTGTACAAAGGACTTTGTCAGTGTTAATGCGCAGTGTACCATTTGCCATTGCTGAATGAAAGCTGGTATTTTTGTAAAACTTGTTAAGTCGACTATTACATATTAAACAAATTGGGGAAAGGCAACGATAAAACGCAAACCAAACTGAAATGGCCCCAGTTATAGGTCAGTGTGTGGCCTTGTCTTGATCACTGGTGGAAATGGGATCAGAATAAGGACAAAAGGCCGATTTGTATTCAAACTAAATACCGTTCATCTGGTGGGACTGAATGAATGCAGCGCTTTAATTTAAAACTATTCATTGGTGAACACACATTTTGTAGTGTCGGTATTTTAACCTCGTGGAATGTGTAGGGTGGTGAGATTGCATTTATTGACATGGTTTGGCCCAGATATGCGTTACGAGGTGGAGTGTGCCCCTTTTTAATGAGTAATTCAACTTTTTATATCGTTGAGTTATATTGGTATTACTGACTTTGTTGCTGGGTTGTTTCTATTATAAACCTTCATGTGCCGATTTAAAGACTGGCAATCCGAAAACAATTTTAAAAAATAGCAAAGCGATACGAAAAAATGTGAACAAGCAGCAAAATCTGTGATGGGAAAGCGAGTATCGCGATTAAGTGATTTCATATGGTGACATCACGGCGATGCTAATGATACAACACGCTCGGTGCGCATAACATGAATAAAAACGAGTTACGTTCGCACCTTTTAACTGACGGCATAACACAAGCAGAAAACCCATTCACATCTCGTCATTTTATCTTGAGTGCTCAAGAATTGTCACCGGTGTCTCGAATGTGTTCCTTAACGGACATTGGCAATAGCGACCACGGTTAGTTCAAACCCATACCAATTAATTTAGTTATTTTCATTTATTTTATTTTTTTTACTTACGCGACTTTACCGAAAAAACCTAAGTATGAATCCTTGCAGTCATGAAAGCTTCAAATCTAGAACCATACCTGTCCCATTTTTTTTATCAGTGCCCCTAACTTGTTACAGACCAATTCAGACCGTATTGGTCACCCCGTGCCCCTTACACGTGTCAACGTTCATCCTGCAAAGTCCCATCACGAGAGAAACAATATACTCTTTGGTTCTTTCGGTAAGTCACGTAGTTAGAAATAAAATCAAATCACGTTTCGATCGCAACACAAGCCTGATTAGCCTGATGACCGCTTGTGTTGCGATCGAAACCTGATAATTGTTTTTTTTTTACCCTTTTATCTGGCAACAAAACTGACACCTTTTTTTTACAAGGAGTCATGTTTGCATTGACCACAATACCTGCGGTCGGAATGTAAACAAAAACACAACTCTGATAATGTATGCACTGTCCTTGAAGTTGATTGATCCACACCGAGACAGCTTTCCTTAGAGCCTAGTCTCACATTGCTGAGAACCAAAGAGTATTGATTCCTGCAGTCACGAAAGCTTCAAATCGAGATAGAAACAAAACATTTTTGCGCCCGTATTGAAACGGCTGTACGCGGTATGAACCTGAAAACTAAATTTCCCTCCCAAGAACACGGAGCGAAACCACGTGGTGTGACACGGCATGCGAACCTCTGGGCTGCATCGGGTGAATTACTCTGAAATCGAGCGTGGCTTTATCAGCTGATTCTGCGTGAACTTGCTAACTGGCGTCGCGAGCGTTGAACTGGACAGGCGGATGGGTTATCGCATCGCAGGGACCGGGAGGGATATCAAGTTCGCCGTGACTCCTAGGGAGGCTTTCATCCACCAGCGGTGGATTTGACCCACGACTTGATGACGAAGAAGCAGGCGGCGAATGTGCGGTTTGCGAACGTGGCCGCCGCTGTTCGCGAAGACGAATGTCGCCGCGGCGTAATAGGGCGACGCGTTTACCTTCATCACCATGACAACCGCGCATGCGCACGGGGACGCGTGCAGCAGCCACTGCTTTAAGTGGCATTACGCGCGTGTCGGCGTAATTTTCACGAAGTTTTTAATCATTTTTATTGTTTATATATCGATCTAAACGAATGCGAGTGTAATCATACGTTCGTAAGTCGAAGTAGGGCCTACGGGGAGTTGTCGAGACCTCGGGCGCTCGGATAGTTTGGGGCGCCAGCCACGCAGGGCGACTGCCGAATGTGGATTTGGGTTTTGTAAAGTTGTAAAAAAGTTTAATTTTTGATTTAAAGCTTTCGCGACTGCAGCGATTCATATTCTTGGTTCTTTCGGTAAAGTCGCTTAGAAGGGAAATGCTAAAATAATATAAATATAAAACAATAAAAATCCACAGCAAGAAAATTTGAAAAAATTGTGTTCAGTCTGGTCGGTCTGATATCGCTGGATAACAACAAAGCGTCATGTTTAAGGCCAAGGTACTGGTGGTGGGTCCTGTCAAGGTAAGTACAGTACTACACGATCTCGTAATACAGTACATACTATAGTTTCGCAAATAATGATTTGCACTTATTGAGCGCTTAAAGTGCCACCGAAACTCAAAGCGTTTTGCAGAGGTCACGTACTCAACGATTTCATTTGGTCGCATACACCGTGAAGGTGATGTTATAGCGGGTGCAGGGAAATGCTTGAGTCGTCAGCTCCACAATACAATAGAATGTCGAACAAATAACACAAATTGAAAAGAAATATTTAAAAAATCACGAACTAAGCTACAGTAATATACAACGTAAATGCATTCACTTTACGGCCAGAATGCGCCTAATCTTTGAAGTTTCTTGGCTGTGGAATATTAGTTGAACGGGTGACCCACTGACCCACCATGCACAGACAGATTGCCATCGGGCTTGGTGGGCAGAGCAGAACGAGTCATTGTTGGCTGTACTTCTGTGCGCCCACGTATATGACAACCCGCACGAACCAAGGCATCGCTCATTGGTTGCAGTTTCACGGTTGGAATCCAGCAGCCGCCCTGATTATTATTGCTGGGGTACATATTAACAATACTAATCATTACTAATCATACTACTACTACTACCACCACGCGCCGCCTTCTTCACAGTGGACATTCAAGATGCCCTGGCGTCGTTCGCAAAAGCCGGCCACATTGTACCGGCATCACGGTACAAATTGGCCGTGTTCATCTTCTTGGTTCTTTCGGTAAAGTCACGTAGAATGGAAATAATAAAAATAAACATAATAAAATAATTCTCACGACGTTTCGGCCACAACGCAAGCAGCCGTCCTCAGGTGGAGAGCAGGTCTGTCGAGTAGCGACTATTTAAGCAGGGATGGAGGGGGGAAGGGCGCCTTGACAAAATAATTTGCATGCTTTATTTTTATTATTTTATTATTTCCATTCTACGTGACTTTACCGAAAAAACCAAGAAGATGAATCCCTGCAGTCACGAAAGCTTTAAATCGAAAATTGGCCGTGTTGTGAAATGACGTGCACATTATAATGCGTCGTGATCATTGCCGCGGACTGGCAGACTGATGCCCCAGGTCACCCTAGCAAATGAGACTGTCCTGGTCAATTGAGTTCCCACACGGTTAAACGAAATGAACTTAGAACTTGAACGCACGGTGAAATATGGTCAGATAGCCCAGGTGTGGAGAGGCCCGCATCCAGCAACGGATTGACAAAACGTGCTCTGTGTGTAACATGTATGTTCCCTTGATGACATCACCTGCAACGGAGACCCATGTAAGATGTTGTGTCTCGTGCCCCTGTGTCTTCTCCTACGCCAGAGCGGCAAGACGACCCTGGCAAACTTCTTAGGCGATGCCACGGAGGCGGTGGGCGGTGAATACAGCCCCACGCAGGGCGTGCGGTGAGTTTCAGAACTCTCCTCCTGCCTTGTTTACTATGCCTGTAATCGGTCACGAGAGCTGGGCTATCCGAATATTTGAAGGCATCGATTACTCGGCTAAGCGGATAACGTGAAAATAGCAGGGAGAAAAACGTCTCACATCTGTTCAACAGTGTGCCACTCGGCGAGAAGTAATGAGCAGAGTTTTGGGACGTCATCAAAATCAAAAGTAAACAAGAAAACCTTCACTATAATTGGGGTTTAATTTCAGCTGGGGCTTTACGGGTTGGTGACCCGAAGAATATGTATGCGCTTGGCACACCACATCCACTAGACCTCGCTATGGCTCTGGCTGCGGCTGCTAGTCATGTGCTACCTCCCTGTTCTTTCAGCTAACTACAGAGTATGGTAGCCATGACTGCAATAATCTGTAGTGAGATTGTCGATTGCCTGTCTGTGATGTTGTTATGTTATCAAACATGCAGCATCCTGGAGTTTGAGAGCGGCACGGTGGACGTGAGTGGGAGGGTGGTGACCTGTGAGGTGGAGCTGTGGGACTGCAGTGGAGACATGAAGTGAGTCCGACAGCCCCACTGTATGGGCAAACCTCACACGGACTAGGTTACTGGAGGCCGAGGGGACGACCTCCATCATCAAGACTCAGGAATCGGAAGGGAGCTCACTTGGTGCCACCAGGAGGGGCCCCTCGGAAGGAAGCTTGCATGGAGGTGCTGCCAGGAGGGACGGGACTCCTAGGAAGGGAGTCTCGTCAAGGAACATGAACCAGTCACGCGAACTCCGGTCATTCTCGCAGCGGCTTTTGGCTAGCCATGGAACAAAGACAGCCACTGAATCACGCGTGTTCAGATGCGCTTCTGCGGCCACCTGCAATGCTCTTCCTTCCGATATTAGGAAGCCACTGGAGCTATGCAGTTTTAAATCGAGATTGAAAACTCGTTTCTTTAGAACTGCTTTTTGTGTTTTGTTGGTTGTCTTTCCCCACACTTCCAATTAGCACAGTTGGCTACGTACGGTGAGAAATAAGTTCAAAGAAGCTTGCCAGGAGGGACCCTGGGTGTTGGCGCTTTAGGATAGGATGCTACTCTACACCCTGCCTCGGCGTACACTCCCACACTTGACTTGATGCGTGGGGTGCCCGATTGGCTTTGGGTGAAGTGGCTGCAATGCTCGTGCCACCAGGTTCGAGGCCTGCTGGCCGGCGCTGCAGAGGGACGTGAGCGGCGTGATGCTGGTGTTCGACGCGGAGCAGGCGAGCCATGCGCGCGAGCTGGAGGCGTGGCACACCGCCTTCGTCCTGCAGCCACGCCTGCAGGAATCGCAGTGCTTGCTGGTCGCGCACCGCAAGCCTGGTAGTGACGCCAGCCGCCCTTTGCCAGGCCTCGGTGAGCGTGCCACTCCACCTGGATGTTACGGTGGTGGTGGTGATAATAATGACGCATCGCACCTTACAAGCCAGTGCTTTGCATGTAGAGGTTGGTGGATCATGCTACGATTATCGAGTGTGTAAAACACTGTGGACTGTAGAAGGCAGAACAGCAGAAGCTCTGCTTGCCTCTGGTATTTATCTTCTGTTTGAATGCACCAAATATCCATAGTAGTGTTCTCCTGGGAAAGTCTCGAGACTTTTCTGGGCAAAGAACTCTCTTCATCTTGAGCTGTTTGTGCACTGCTGGATGTTGCCATCTCTTGCGGTCCTATGGTACTCCTTCAGATGAACTGTTTTAATCACTCAATATCTGCAGCAGTTGTTCCTGCCTGGCACATCCTCTACTTTGGAAAAGGTCTTCCATATTATTTATGCAGGTCACATTGAGGTGCTTTATATATACAAGTATTCATTTTTTCTCGTAATACAATCCATTCCTCATATTGATGGAATTGCATGAAGATTAAAATGCGATGTATAATGATCATAAAAATTGTTGAGGGACAAACCATAATTTCCTCTTTCAATGGTCGCATTAGTCTGAACTCTCCTGCACATTCACACACCCTCCTCCTCCTCTGTCTGCCCTGCTCCCTGTTACCCAACAACAGGGGTGGCCCTCTCCAAGCTCCCGCTGGTGATATCCGATCTGGAGGAAGTACCAGAGAGCCTGAGTGAGGAGTTCCGCGCCTTCCTGGGGCGGCTCGTGAGCAGCATGTCCGACAGCCGTGACCGGGAGGAGCTGTCTATCGTGGGCTCGTGAAAAATATCTACTAAAATTTTCTTTGGCAAAACCAGCCCCCTCCCTCTTGGGTTGCCAGGCCTCCAGATGTACACAAAACCCAGGACTAATGGGAAGAAGAATTTCAAAAATAACTTGTTAAATTCATTGTCTTGAGTGGTGTATTATTGCACAACTGACAAAATCCGAGTCTTATAATGTCCCAGGAAGACGGATAGATATCCCAGGACCAACTATCTCACAAAAAGAGGTGCTGGGAAAAATCAGGACAGGTGGCAACCCTACGCCCACTCCCGCAACTGAGCGCACACCTCTCATTGCTACAGTCTAAAACAGCAACTTTCATTTGTAACGTAACCAACATCGTCGAAAACGAAGTTACATGAAAAGGATGGGAGGGAATGGGACACTTGCTGGAAGAAATACATTGAATATCAGAATTAAATTAACAGTAATGTTTTGCTTTTGTGTTGACAATGGGAGTGTGAAAGCTGATTCAAATGACACTACTGAGGCACTGTCAAAGGGTGTATTTTTAAGTGTGTACTTTAAAAAATGTGCTTTGGTGTCATTTTCTCGAACAGACCGATCTACTTGTGATGCGTATGTCAGACAGTTTTGATTTTTAGTGATGACGTTCATGATTGCTGTTTTGTCTTGTTCAAAATTATATATAAAGAGAAAATCTTTTTTTCAGCTTTGTTGTCGTGTTCAGTTTGTAAACGCATATCGCATGTCTGTAATTTTGCGCTACCAAATTAACACATTAAACGAGTGTAAGCAACATTCCTTGCATGGCAGAGTGGTAACTGCGAGAAAGAATGTCTTGTGGCCCGGGAAAGCCTCAGGCCTCGGAGAAGGGGCGTGTGTCTTTGACACTTGACCAACTGGTCTTGAATTGAAAACTGTCGTCTCCTTAGAGTTCATTTCAATGTTGAGCCGACGCACGCCTGTGTGTGTTTGTGTGTGGTCCAAACTAAATCAAATTCAGTGCAGCTTTTTGTCGAGTCTGCACAGCCGCAGTCACCTGACGTCAAGGTTTGTGTGTGCCAGTGCGTACATTGTCTTCTTTTATTCCTCGCCGATCCAATGAAGTCCAAGATGAGGATATTCATGTTGATCAGCCTCTCTTGTTGGATTACTGGTAATTCTGTGGACGGACGTGAGTAAAATGCACATAGACCTTAAACGTTTCGTAATCTGTGACGCCACCAGTGATTGCACTCACCATTCACGTGCATCTGTCCGATATGTGTTCAGGTTGTATCTTGTGTGGTTGTTCTGCGTGGTGTCTGACGACGTTTTGCTGCATGTGCTGGAGAGGGTAATTTAAATCTGGGGGGGGGGATATATAATGGAAGAATTGGTTAGAGTGTAGTACCGGATGGCTTTAGCACATGGAGCAAAGCGTTGGACATCATGCCAAGAACAACACTGAACAACCCTTAACCATCGGATAGCTATGGAGCATAACTGTGAAAACGTACGTAGTAGTAGTAACATTTGTGCGTCTTGTGTTTACAGAGACAGCGGCTGCTGCAGAGGACTGCCCATACCCGAAAATCTGTTCCAGCTCTGGTAACGTGCTTTGGTTCAAGAGCCCTTGCCTTGAATTCCCAGGGGCACTGGAGCCCAAGTCAAAACTTGACAGTTGTGTTCGTTGCGGGACACTTCATTGTAGACGAGAAAACCCTGAACCCATCGCATGCCACCTGCCGATCGTCTAACCGGTGGACTCATTTGTACTGCCAGGCAGGCAGAGGAAGGCACATTTAATGAATATTACAACTGTGGTGCATGTGAACTGAACTTTCACCTCGGCAGCAATCATTTGAATGTATTTACCTCGAAGCAATGAACTCTGTACGTTTGTTTTTCTGTACATTGCCCACAGAGCCGCTGAACCCCGTGGTCGTGTGCGGCCCCTCCGAGATGACGGTGCTGCTCAGGCGCTGCGTGCTGGAGGCCCTGGGCCACACCGGCGCCGACCTACAGCTGGCGAACCCGGCTTGTGCACCGAGCGCAACCTGCTATGCCGGCGAACCCTACGTGCGCTTCTTGGTGCCGCACGACAACCCCTGCGGCAGCACCCTGAGTGTAAGGCGAAGGGGGGTGCGGCAGGGAGGGCTTAGTGGTACTACAGAGGGGGCTGTGTCGCAATCGGCTCGCGCACGCTAAAGGCCACTTCACCATCGTCAATCGTTGTTTTGGCCGTGGTCGATCCACTATTGACTGAAGGCCTCCCCAAACCACTGCCATTTCTCTTCAAGATCGTGATGTCATGAAGGCCAAAAGCTGTTGATGCCACCACACCTCGGCTGTTATAGGCTGCTGAAAGCCTATGTTGACAGTGCAGCAGAATCCAATGCTGGATGATACTAGTCACATCTACGCTCCACGCCTTCAACCCGCACTGAACCAGCGTGAATTACGGTCAAATAACCCTCATGACCCACGTGGTGTGTGAGGAGGCCCTCATCTAGCAGTGGAGTGATGATGGCTGTACATTATCGGGCATTGACGTAGCGCGTTCTCAGCTTGTTGCAGAGGTTCGCAGTTTGAATCCGGCAGGCCGCCCTGGTTAATATTGCGGGTGACAGTGGATGTTAAAGATCCGTTGCCGTCCATCGAAACGAGTAGGCCATTGTGTGCCGGCATCATGGTCCAAATTAAATTGCAAGAAAATAACTCAATTCGGATTACACAGAAGCGTCGCCCCCTACTTTCAAGCTACCAGACGATGTGAAACAAAGCACCTTAATGGTAGCTTTGCTCTATAAGAATGGTGCGAATACCAAATGCCGTGGGTTATACATTTTTCGAGACAACCGTTTTTCTGTGCTGCCCCTTTTTCCAGGAAACAAACGCATCCATCGTCTTCAGAAACGCCGTGGTGAGCGTGGAGGACGTGGGCGAGTCGTGGCGAGCCAAACGCATCCATCTCGAGTTCTCCTGCTCCTATCCAGCGGTCGCCTCGCTGAAGCTCGGGTCCCCTTCCAACACTGTCCAGCCAGGATCTGTGCCACAGGTCAATTTGGGCATTGTGCCAACAGTACAATCGGTGCCCGGAACGACCACGAAATCGACTGGTCAGTTACCTGCTTCAAGGCAGAATCCCACATCGGTTCTGAGTCAAAACAACCAACCGGTGCCTGGAACGACCACGAAATCAGCTGGCCAGTTACCGGCTTCGAGGCAGAATCCCACATCAGCTCCGAAACAAAACAATCAACCCGTGCCCGGAACAACCACGAAATCGGCCGGCCAGTTAACTGCTTCGAGGCAGAATCCCACATCAGCTCCGAAACAAAACACCCAACCGGTGTTTGGACAGGCCAGCCAACTTGGATCTGGACAAAATAACACAGCCAGTCCTGGAAAAACCTTCCAAGTCAGTTCCACAAGGGCCGCACAGGCCCAGTTTGGTGGCATAGTTCCAAAGAACGCTCTCGTGCTCGCCTTAAATGGACGGTAAGTTTAAATGCAATTTGAGAATAACTAGTTTAACACGTAGGCTTTCGCGACCAATATCTATAAGAGGTTTTTGGGTTAGATCGCGTAAATGTCGTTAAAAACCGCCACCACCCGACACATCCAACTAGTAAGGGTTGTCACGTAAACAGAACATGCCATGTTCTATATTTATTGACGCGATCTAACCCAAAAACCTCTTATGGACGAGAATAACTGTATGGGTAATTGTGAATGGAGATTCTGCTCATGTAGGTTTTAGTGGTTGTGCTGTATAGTTCTCTGATGTGTTTTCAGGATGTACCGCATTGTTGTTTGGCGTGATGTCCGATGTTTTGCTCCACGTGCGGGGAGCTTCCTTCAATCTGAAGAAACTTAGAAAGTACATGGAGTGAAACATCGGGCATCATGACAAACAACATGCGGTGCAACCTGAAAAAGCGTAGGAGAATGAAGAACTGAGAGGTGTTTGTGTAAGAAGGGGAGGTGGCTGGGGAGCGGTAGTGTAGTGAAATGGTTCGTGAGCTGAGCTGCGAACCTGGCGACCCGAGGTAGATTCCCGCTCATGGCCGACACCAGTGAAGATCTGAACTGATCCTGGGCCTTCCTAAGATCAACTCGGCTTGAAATGAGTAGCTGGTGCGGTGTGTAAACATTTCCATTATAGGGAGACGAAAGTGGCCAGGTGGTGCTGATCATCCAGCCGTTCGTGTGCAGTGTCGGGCTTGATAGGTGCTCGCAAACAGCACTTGCCCCAAGTCTGTTAAGGGGGGGGGGGGTCTTTGTCGCTGTCTCATTCTGCTTCTCTTCTCGCACTGCTCGGCTTTGAAATTCCCACCCATCGTCTCTTTTCCAAAAGTTCTTAATTTAAGATAATCCCTTGCGATGGAACAACACTGTCCCATGCACCTTACTTCATTCAAGGGATGCATTAACTCTCATCTGTTATACCATCAATGGTGCTAATTCATGCTGGCCCGCTGATCTGGGCCTTTGTTCAGTAGATTTTTATGAAGGTTCTTGTCTTGTTCTTCCCAGCTCGTGTAGAAGCACTCATGATCCCGGCGCCCTGGTGCTCCTGGCGAGCGTTCTGTCCACACTCATCTTCGTAGGTAAGGAATTGCACTGCACATGCAGTGTTACAGTGGCTGTTGTGGCCACGTGAGATGTATTGGTCAAGAGTACCTTCCAGTATTTAGCAATACAGCAAATAAGTTCACAAACCCATCTGTGCAGAGCTTACCATTTTTATCCGCTGGTATGCGTGCGTTTCCTCCCATAAGCAAAGCAATTATTTTAAAGTGATTGGCCAAACATCTCCAAGTAGGAATCTCCTGAAGAAGTCTTAAGACTGAGGCTTTTCTGGATGAATAAATGGCATTGTTTTACTACTTTAATAATAGTATAAACATCTTTATTTAAAAGATACCTTTTGTTTATTTTACAGTACAAAAATGAAGCTTCAAGTGGACAAAAAACACTGGAACAGTTCTCCTTATAAAGCATCCTCATTTGACGATACCGATTTGGTTTATATAAGCGCACACACACAAAACTTAATTTTTTCCATCACCAGTAGATTTGTGTAAACCGTGACAATTAACCTTTAAACATATAATGTAAACGATTTATCCCAATATCTCAATACCCGCATAATAAAAAAAAAATACAGAAATTATAATTTTTTTATTCAAAAATTAGGGCGACGGTTGATAGTCACGTAAATATCGCATGCCAAGGGGCTGCCAGGAGCCCCGCCAACACAAACAGCAGGACCAGGATCATTCCCTGGGCTATTGCGTATCCGTTTGGGTGGCCTGGTGTAGGAAAAGCACAATCATGGTGAGATACAATTAGACCTGAGCTTATAACACTGGAACACAATTGTCAAATATTACTGCATGCATAATTATAAAGCACATTGATGGCCAGTGTTCCCTTTTGAACAATACGAGAGTGGGCCCTCTAAAAGTCCAGAAAATAATTGCAATTCGTGAGGTTTACATTATAGATCGCCCAACCCACATAAGAGGCACTGGGTGTTTTTTTTTTAATGTCACATATAAGCAATCTGCTGCCCTGGTGTAAAGGACAGCACATTTGACTTCCAACACAGAGGTCGCCGGTTCAATCTCTTGTCACGACAGTTTAAACAATGGTGCAACGTTTCATAAAATCCCACAACCTGTCCAGCTAGCAGTCTAAACGTGTGCACCACCACGGTCAATTCAACAAGTCGATTGTGGTGGGTTAAAGTGTGGGTACTTTTGATACGCAAGCCATTTGATATCCTCTATATAGTGGCTCTCTTGAGCTCACCCTAATGGAGGCGCATCCGCCAGCTGTAGCGTGGGAACGCAATTGCAGGGCTGCACCTTTACTTTACATCTAAGACCTTACCAAATGTGTGTGTGTGTGAGCGCGCACGCAAGCGAGCATGTGCTTCACGCATTGTATTCGTATACTGATGCACCAGCCTGGGGTGAAAATTGCAGCTGTGGGCATTTCAAATCTGAAGCTGAATAAATTGACGCACGGGACAGGGTCGTGCCTACCTTTATACGTGGTGATGAACGGGAGGGCGAGCTCTGGCCAGCACACGTCGTTTCGGCTGCAGTCAAACTCTGTGTAGTTGAGTTGAAACCTGGCGTGGGGGAGAAAGACGTGGTGGTCCTGGATTCCCATTTTGATGAAACGGCCGAAACACATTCTCTCCGTTGGTAATTTCTCCAAATTTATGGTAATAAAAACATCTGCAAAATTGTGCAAATAATCTACGAAATATACATTTCATTTGAATGAGAATACGGCAAACAAAAAAAAGCAGCCAAAAAACCTAAAATGCTGTACGTAACAAGGAGTATAAGTAACAAGCTGTTTTGGAACAGAGGATACCTCGCTAACCGGATGCTAACCCGACCTCCAACCCTAACCAAATAACCACCCTCAACACCCTACTCGTTACCCTACATCTAGCACTATCCCAGGATGGCCTGATTTTCAGTTTTGTTGTCACACACACATCCTTTGTCAAATAAAGAGAAACTGTATTAAAAAAAACTTTTACTTTTCACATCTGACCATTGCATCACCTCTTCGGGGTCGATAAAATATATTCCACTTTGGGGAATTCTACTCAGAGACTGGCCATCTCCATCGCAAGGTGGAATTTTAATAGCTGTTTCAGCACCACCAAATTGATATGACCATCACCCAATGCTTGTTTAAGCGTGGGGACACATTGGACACCCTTGTCTAAATGCTACTTGCTCTTCTCGTGTTAACGTTTTACCATTTTCTCCGAGACCGCATTCAGACATACAGCTACCTATCTTCCTGAATGGCTGGGTGGAGTGAGGAGATGGGAGATGAATGAGGGTAGTGGAGAAACGACCCCAGTACCTGGTCTGCGACGATGTCAGTGTTGTGGCCACGCGGATAAACTGCACGGAGCTGGTGACTTGGAAGGACTGCACAAACGACGTGTTCACGCACGCCGCCCCTTCGGCGCCAATACACGACAGCTGCCACGTCACGTTGCTCACACTGGGGGTCAGAACACACTGGGGGTCAGAACACATCGTGCGAGGACGCGCGAGTAACACTGCTCCGCTGCACCATGCTCACACGAGCCCTCCGTGGGCTGCAAAGTGGCCATCAAGTGAATGTAAACCAGTCTGTGCACACCTTTGAGTTTTATTACCATGTATGCATGCATACGTCTTTTTTGCCAGGTAATGTGGATTCCACCTATAAGCAAAATGGTCTTTAAAATGTAAGGACTCGCCTGACAGTATTCAGACCCAGTGAGACCATTCTGGATAAATAACGTATTATTTACGTGTTTTTTACCTCCGGCAATCTCACATCCGCACCTCTGATCAGCATGATTGGCTACATACAGTGCGAAAGAAGTTCAACATACATGCACAGCTGTATGATGGCAAGGCTATTAGCTGTGTGGGTTATAAACGAGGCTGTAATAGCTTAAGGCAGCAGGGGAAGCACTGGGCTGGCGGGTAAGGGTGCGGTGCGATCGATTACCTGACATTCACAGCAACTATTTCCATCTGGGGCTCCCTCTCCACGTTTCCCACCATGGCGGTGAGCACGCGGATGTGCAGGCGAGCCGGCACTTCTGCACACATTCCAGGCCTCCCGGTTGACTTTGTTAAGTTTTCGATTTTCGGGACTACAGAATGGAGGTCACAAATAATCGTCTCTGCGTTACCATGGAACACAGGTGAAGCTGGTCTCCAAGCGCCGTGCTGCTGTTGCCTCGGACCTGAGTGGGTCGCTCTGTGGTGAAGTGAATCGGATTCGTGCATACAACCATTTCTCTCGTGAAGCCTCATCTGCAGGGTGCCACCTGCATCACTTATAACAAGGCTGCATTTCATCTTGGGCACATATTTCGCCTCAACCCTACCACATCAAACTATTCTGCAGTTTTCTCATCACGAGCTGACAGTTTAAGCCTAATAGGCGATGCCGTGGAGATGTAATTAGTAAGTGCAAAATGAATGAAAGGTCAGCGAAGGTAGTATTTCACTGCGCAAATCTAGAATATGCAATCAATGTACAGATAATATGGGTAAAAAAACTCCTTACCCACACCCATAAACATATAACTGCAATATGCAGTTCGCTGACTCCCAATTTAATCTCAGATCTATTTCAAGATCACCCTCTCTATCTTCAAATCAACTTCTTGGTTTTTTCGGTAAAATCACGTAGAATGGAAATAATAAAAATAAAACACAATAAAATAATTCTCACAACGTTTCGGCCACAATGCAAGCAGCCGTCCTCAGGTGAAGAGCAGGTCTGTCAAAAAGACAGACCTCTTTCTGACAGACCTGTTCTTCACCTGAGGACGGCTGCTTGCGTTGTGGCCGAAACGTCGTGAGAATTATTTGATTATGTTTATTTTTATTATTTTATTATTTCCATTCTACGTGACTTTACCGAAAGAACCAAGAAGATGAATCCCTGCAGTCACGAAAGATTTAAATCGAAATATCTTCAAATCCTTGACACACTCGCCCTTGCTGACCCCTCTGTTATCACTCGACTCCCCTCCACGCATTACTACTCCAGCAACAAAGGCCTTTGGTCAATGTCACCAGTCAACCTTCCCTCAGTGGGAAGTTGCTCATTCTCCTCTGCTGCCCCTCCCCCCCCACAGTCTGGAACTCTTTCCCCAGCCATCCATGTTGTCAACTCCCTTCCCCTGTTCAAGGCTTGGCCCAAAACCTTCCCGTTCTCCACGATAAAATATGAGCACCGTTTCTGTACAACATCCTGAGGTGCGGTCACATTTAAATGCTCTATAAATGCAAAGTGTAATTGTATTGTATCATCATCAGTGCCACGGAGTTCAGAGAGTGCAGCAACATACTCTTGTTGTCTATGGTGACCCAATCAGTGTGGGTGTCGTTGGGGTTGGGGTTGGAGTTGCCACGTCGGCCAACCAAATTTGCAGAAAGCAGGCGATTCCATCCCTGCAGGATATTATGCCTACAACAAACAACACAATTGTTACGATGGCATCTCTCATTGGGCACTTTATCAATCATTCACATAAAGAGGTTCTGTATCAACAACGTCATGAATTACACATTTAATTAATACTTCCATTTTCATCTCATTTGCTGCGTGGTTACGTTGTGGGCAGCAGAAGAAGTGTGACATATTAAACCATATTTGTACTGTACTATGCTCCTGTATCTCTACTGTCCACCTTAACTAACCCGCACCGACCAGCATGGTGAAGTATGGTCAAGTAACTGCCACGATCTGAATATCGTGGGGACGCCCTCATCCAGCAGTGGATTGACAAAAGGTCTATCCATACACATTGCTGAGTAGAGATCACATTCATCACCATTTGTTACTGTCTATCACCATAAATAATCACAGTTGGGTGATCGTTGCAGCATTTAATAATCATGGTAATATGCGCGAGACATCAAATAATCCACAATTAGCATGCACCTGATGTTGGTGCAATTATTCAGCTCGGTCAATCCAAGGCGGAGGAGGCACCCGGATATGGAGTTCTCGCCGAACTTCACCTGCGTCGTTTGGGCCTCAGCGCACAGGCTGGAGCCCACTGATATCACAGCAGAGGAGAGTGCGTTATGTCATCGCCCAATACGAACTCCACTGATATCACAGCAGAGGAGAGTGCGTTATGTCATTGCACAATATGAACTCCACTGATATCACAGCAGAGGAGAGTGCGTTATGTCATCGCACAATACGAACTCCACTGATATCACAGCAGAGGAGAGTGCGTTATGTCATCGCACAATATGAACTCCACTGATATCACAGCAGAGGAGAGTGCGTTATGTCATCGCACAATACGAACTCCACTGATATCACAGCAGAGGAGAGTGCGTTATGTCATCGCACAATACGAACTCCACTGATATCACAGCAGAGGAGAGTGCGTTATGTCATCGCACAATACGAACTCCACTGATATATGATATGAGATACGCGAAGCGTTTCCTCAATGAGCAGCGTTTTAACATGGGCCTCACGATCAGTCCAAAGCCTCCACTGCTCTTGATATTGGGTTGTACCGGGCATACATCGGACAGCAATTCGACACGACCGGCAAAATCTGGTACAATTGCTCAATATTTACATTGTTACATCAGGGGGGAACCAGTAAGAGGCACTCACCTGGGTACCAAATGTGGAGTCCCTCAGTTAGGTTGACACTCCCGTTGTTGTTGGAAACAGCCGTCAACAGCGGCTTGCCCACTAGGTATCCTTTGGAGGGAAGGAATGATAACAGTGAAACATTTTAACTGATTAGTCGCTGAAAAAACATAAATGTGTTCTGTAAAAGTTCAACCTTCAATTAAATCAATTTCACAAATATGCGTAAGCACCCACCCGGGTTTCCAGATCGAGGTGTAATAATCTGCGATCCGTTGACAGGATTTATAAACTGCACCGAGAATTCCTGTACCAGCGAGGCTGGAATGCAGAATAATCACAACATTCAAAAGGTGACATTGAAATAATGAGTGCAAACAAAATTAGTGCATTGAAAACTCTCATTGAAGGTGTCCATACGGTAAATATGGTGCGTGAGGATTTGCTGACCGTCGTTCGCAAGACTGACGTTCGCCAAAGTTATCTTGGCATGAATGTGACGCACCGAGAAGTTCTTCCAAGTCACCTCGTAAGTCACAGCCACCACCGCGTCAATGCACGTTTCGTTGGATTTGCGGACCTGCAAGCATGCTATAACTGGATGACAGGGACAAGACGGTCATGAATGATACTGCATGTGCATCGATCACCCACATGTGCTGGCACACCTTTTTAATCCAATGCTTTAGAGGAAAAGGTAAATGGTTGATGGATCACATGGATTTGTAATCCAGATGACAATATCAATGCTTTGTGCCTCTGTGGACCTGCCACAGTAGTTGCTACACATCTGCGATTGGCGCAACACCTGACCAATCCATTGCATTCAATTTAAATCCAGTCATAGATTCCTTTGAGATGAAACACGTGGCAAGGGGAGGGGATGTAGGTCCTGCCCTTTTTTCAATCATGAATGCAAGTTTGGTAATATTTTTGTTGGCTAGATGGATGTCCATATTGCTATTTTATTTGTATATCTACTTGTGTATCAAATCACAACTTAGCCAATACAGTAAAACCTTGGATTGCGAGTAACTTAGTCTGCGAGTGTTTTGCAAGACGAGCAAATTTTTTAAATATTAATTTGATAAACGAGCGAGGTCTTGCAATACGTGTAGTACGTATACGCTTTGTCTGCCGAGCGTCACGTGATCACAACTGATATACGAGTGCTTTGATATACGAGTGCTTTGGATTACAAACACGTTTCTGGAACAAATTATGCTCGCAATCCAAGGTTTTACTGTACATCAACAATATATCAACATGATGGAAATGGTGGCTTCTGCGTGGTGTCAGCCTTGCGCATACATCCGAGTACCAACCTCTTTGTTGAGTGCTCTGTATGATGCCCTCGGGGATAAAAGACACATTTGTTGGACTGAGCTGCATGGAGGCTCCCAGCACTGACAAAGAGCACGTCTTTGTGTCCACATCTGTCAACGGCAAACACCACAATCAGAAACACGCACATTTGTAAACGGCATTCACCTCTGTATGTTTTCTACCCCGAGTGTGAAACATTTTATTTTCCAGCACTATGCAGCTAACGAACAATCAAACCCGTTACTTTGCGTATTTTTTTGTTGTGAATTCAATAGCTGGCTCCTTCAAATAGAGGAATTATGGGTCGACTGCTCAAAGAATGGGACCCAGGCCTTTCTAGCACGTGCGGTGACAGCATGTTGCCTTGGAATAAAAGTTGCAGTGACTTTCTTTTACCTTTGGAGTAGGCGTCAATGCTGAGCGAGCTGTTATTTGTACACAGCAGCTGAAGTGGTGGACGCAGCACACAGCGAGAGGTGACGTCCTTCAGGAAGGAAACGGGGGCTTTCTGCAAGCAGTGACCAGCCAGCGTGGCCTGGCCAATGAAACCAGAATCAAACAATCTCTCAAAACATTTTATTTGTTCCCCTAATTACTTGAAAGCACAGGTAGCACGCATTTGTGAGCACATGAGGAACATTAGTTGCTGGTGTTGTGGGTTGCTGTTTGTAAATTGTATTTTTTTTTTATTTAAGTAGAGACTAGTGCATTTCATGCGATTCACATGAACTCGATCAGATTGTCTTGTAAAACTCAAGCTTGTGTGAGTTGAGCGCAATGTACATTTTGAGCATTACCTGCGGCAAGGTCAAGAGACGATTCTGGACGCATGTTGGGCTGCCCTGCTTCATGTTGCCGTTTGACGATAAGCAGGGGGCGTTTGTCTGGCCTGTTCTCTCCTTGGCAAACGAAGGGCTCACAGGAATCTGGTCCAACTTTGTCTTCAGTGCATCTAACGTCCTGTTGGGTTGATGGAATGCATGTTTGTCGTCAGCCTCATGCCTGCATTAGTGGCACCACCACTAGAACATTGCAATATTATGGATGGGCGTCTCAATTGCTGATTCTCAAGATGCTCTTTGTGGGTCATTTGTTGACTATATTTCACCACACTGGACAGTGTTGGTCGGTAAAGGTGGGCACATAGATGCAGAGGCATACGAGTACAATACAACAATGCATTTTTCTGCACTTATTCCGCTGCCCAATACCTAGCCCCGCAAGCCCCAATGACAACCTTGTGCAGTGGTCACCCATCCAAGCACAATCCAGGCTCAACCGTGCTTTAGCTTTGAAGATCTGTTGAGATCGAGCACATTCTAGGATGGCTTGGTTATAGGCCAGTCTTAACAAGTTTCTTGGTTTACGTTATGTCCCATGCTAGGAATCTGGAGGGTGAGGCGCAGGCTCACATTAGGACGGGACTGTCGGTGTGGAAGAGGCCGAGCATGGGGCTGTTGGCGGCGGGCGACTGCACACACAGGAACGGGAACCAGTCCGGGGCATTGCGTGCCTGCTGCTCCGAGCACAGGTGCTCAAATGGCGGCGACACAAGCCCCCCAAACACTCCCGGCAAGCACGATGAAAGCAATCCGCCGTTTCCCATTGTGCAAGTCTGTCGCATGGGGAACAAGAGAGTGGCAATAATTATTTAATGCAAGATAAACATCCATCAGGGAGTTGTATGTACATTTGAGAGAATGTGTGTGGTCCGTTGATGAACTGTAAGAGAGAGGCAGTCAGTCACAGAGGGAAAAAGGTCTAAAACTGATGCAGGGAGGGTGTGGACAGCACTGATGGCTAGAAGGCGGTTTCCGACTGTGGGGGGAGCAAAGGAGAAGTACTTGGTTGGTGTAGTAGAAAGTGCATGGAAGGGAGCAGAGTGAAATGACATGGGAGAGGTAAGAGAGTAGGTGGAGAGGTATCGTGAAGTGAGAGGTATGAGGAGGTGTGGACGGGATTAGCGAGATGAGAGTAGGCAGGTTAGAGTGTGGAGTGGAGCAGAGAGATGAGAGGGGAGAAGAGAGGTAGGCAGGATCCTGCAGCCATTCACATTATCCCAGTGGGGGCGGGGAGGGTCACGCACATGATCACAGCAGCAGCCGACGTCACAGGCCTTCTGGGTGAGGTCGCAGGGGCACATGCTCAGCGGGACGTACGCTGGGTTGGGCAGCCCCGTCACCAGGGCTGTAGTGCAACATAGGGTGTGTTGTAAGGTTGCAGCAAAGCCTCGCTAGTTACTCATCACAGAAAATCGCGTATCATATGCTACCCTGTTCAACCACACTTTGGGTTAAATTACACCGGCATCCAAGTTAGAATTCCAACTTGTAACATGCAATTTTCGCTCTCCAAGAGAATGACCCAGAAGCGTGAGAAACCACAGACGAGCAGGAAGGCAGCCAGGCGGTGAACTGTTGCCAACAATGCCCAAGCTCTGCGGTCGCCTATATATCTATTAATGTTTTACATGTGGGAGGAAATCGAAGCACCCAAAGAAAACCCACACGTGCAAGGGAGCAACACTTTTATCCCATTTAGATGGAACAGGTGGAGTCCACATTTGCTCTACTGCCTTCTGGCAAACCAGGGCACAGCATCTCAACACCCTCCGGCCCTCACCTCCACAGTGCTGGATTACAGGCGTACGCCACCACTGCCTGACAAGTTATAGATATGCATCTATCCGTTTTATGAATTGTCACAATGGTCATGATTTCATTCATAAACCAGTTCTACGTGTTTTTTCTGTACATGTAGAATCTACAGTGATTTTAATCTAAGTAATAAACAATGGAATAAAGAATATAATTGTGTCAGTGTTGCTAAAATAAATATTAACTGTGTGGGTGCTATGCATCAAACACACATGGAGCATGCATTGTGAGTCTAAGCATACATTTTGATCAATAAATTGATTAACCATCACATTCCAAACAAACTCGACCAGGCAGTGAACACTTCCAACCAATAACATGGTCCCACTCTATGCCTGTTGGTAAAAGCGCGACCAGGACTGGTTCAGTCACCACTCGACACTGTTATTAGCCATGGTCAGGAATCGAATTTAGGTCACCATGTTAAAAGCACAGTGTGCTAACAACTGTCACTGTTCCTTTGTTTAACAACTACCAGGGGGTGAACTGTTACATGTCTATTGGCTGTGCATGAAGGGGGTGCGGGGTGGAATTTAGTATTATCTGCGATGTGTTGCGTACAGATGTTTCCATCGATTCGTGCTTCCAAGGGCCTGATGGACACCTGCACCAGGAGGGTGGCAGTCTTGTCGCTCTGACAGCATCTCACTGCCAACGCCTCTTCCACTACAACCTTGGGGTCCGTTGGAATCCGTGTCAGCGTCAGCGGAACCTGATAAAAGGATAACGCAATCCCTTTTACACCTTTCCCACTGGCACACCCGAACAGAACCAGCACAGGTCACTCATGGTTCCAGTTAATATAGCACTGGCTATTTGCCATGCCAAGCCAACGCCAAACTATGATACACTGATTCTAGATTTGAAGTTTTCGTGACTGCAATGATCATACTCTTTGGTTCTTTCAGTAAAGCCACGTAGGTGAAAATAAAACAAAATAAAATGTTGTCTTTTTTATTTTATTTTGTTTTATTTTCACCTACGTGACTTTACCGAAACAACCAAAGAGTATGATACACTGGCCGCACAAGACATCTGAATTTGGCTTGGAGTCAAGCGGGGCCAGCAGCGGGGACGATGAGATTTTTGCATGTGACATCATTCAGTACCGAGAGGACACAGCATCATCTACAGGAGTCTTGCCTCATTCATTGTGTGTGACAGCGACACGGCACGGCTCGGATGCTGCAGTTGAAAAACCACCTGGCCCCGGTGCAGCTCGGTTGTGTACCGTAGTGGAAAAGATGTAATTGGTGCTTGTTACTTTTCCATAGAACAGCTGGGCTTGAAGCCTCTATTAAGGTAACTGGTCTGGGAGATTTAAACATTGGCAAGATGACTGCTTTGCTACTTAAATATGCAACCCAGTATACATACCCAGTCTATGTGTGGAGAGCTGTCCAACATTAGTTTACAACTTTGTTGTTAAAATTGATAGCCAAGTATGTTGTGACTTCACTGTGATGTGACTTTCACATGCTTAAATAAAATGCCAATGCAGTGACGACAATGGTTGGTGTGTCTTCAAGAACTCTTAGAATTTTTATTTGCATCGTCCTTAAACACTGACAGTGCCTGATGTTCATAAGCGAGTACCACTTTATGGAGGAAGCAAACGGAAGTCGTTCTATGGATAGATCCCCTCGTTCCTGCTTTCACAACTTAACTTTCCACCACCGGTTCGGGGCTGCAAACAGGAGATAAGCACTACTTAAATGCTCGCTTGAGTTTGTATAAAAGTACACAAATTTACTGTCAGAATAATACTATTTGAGTATTTATGAACTGGTGGATATGCTAGAACAAAACATGCTGTTGAAGTAATACAAACCACTGGAGAATTTTGTGGATCGTATGTGACGGTCCAGTTTTCTGATGCATTGTAGTCACATGAAGGCGAGCTGCTGTTACTCGCCTCTGAAAAATAACAGAACCACCGGGAGAGAATGCTCGAATACAATTCTCGCACTGTGAAAGGTGAAAAATTATACTGATTCAATTTGCTCGAATGCGACCACTGTACAATACTTGTTCACGCACCATTCAAGAGGTGCAAGCCGCATGTCCACGATGTTGCTGCATCCGCATTCACAAGCATTACATCCGCAGTGTAGTTTGTCATCAGAATGCTTCGCGGTTGGAATTCCAGCGCTGTTAAAACACACACACACATAAACGTCTTTGGTTTATCTTCATAGCAGTACGGTGTTAAGTTGCGTTCTCATTCATTAAAGCGATGCGGCTTTTTTGACACATACAGTACAAACTTTATTTGAAGCTTTCGTGACTGCAGGAATTACTCTTTGGTTATTTCGGTATAGTCACGTAGAAAGAAAATAAATTAAATCTTACTTTCCGGTGTGTCCTGTAATCTGGATAATGCGGTAGTTTGTTTTTAGTCTACCTCATGTCCACGTTTATCTGATCCGCATACACTTCAGTGATGATAAGTAAATTTTGTATAGAACGCATGCTCACTCTGACCGAGTGCCAAGTGGATGCATGCAGACACGCACACATCTTCCATGTAATGGCATACCTGACAACCCCTTATCAGTGCCTACATTATAACCAATTCAGACCATATTGATCACCCCGTGGCCTTATAAATCTCAACGTTCACCCTACAAAGTCACATCACAAGGGAGAAACACAAACAACTAAGACACTTTTTGTGCCCGTGTTGAAACGGCTGTACGCCGTATGGATCTGAAAATGTCCCTGTACAAGAATACGGGTAAACAGTATGGGTTGACAGATATGCAATGGAATAGACTAGGTGCATTTGATGTTAGTGAGCACCTCATGTAAGTCGACACTGCGGGTCGTGGTGTGGGGAGGAGAAATGACCATACTTCACCGCGCTGGGTTAGTACGCGTCGGTGAAGGCGCGGAGCACAAATGCGTGAGCACAAGTGCAGTACAACGGCGGATTTTTGCTGCACTGGATGTATACGAGGCAACGCTGCTAAATTACATATCAGAGTTACATTAACTACTGCACAATAAAAACCATAGCAACAGCATCGTCACCTCTCACCGAGGCCCGGTCGCACAGAAGCAGCAACAACAGCATCGCGATTCCCCCGAAAATCGCCCTGCGAGACATCCCGAGTGCGATATCTCTCACTCTTAATGTCACTTTTTGTAAAATAAACAAATAAACTCCGTAAATAAGAATAACAACAACAATAAACTCCCCCGTCTCCGTGCGTCCACGTGCGCTTCGCCGAGTCGCCAAGGAAAATGCGAAGGCTTCCCTAGCAACCACTTAGGCCGCGCGAGCACGTGACCGACGATTCGAGCCGCTGGATTGGTGGACGGGCGGCGAGTGGGCGGGGTCGGGACCCCCCCCCCCCCTAAATGCACCAATCGCGTCGAGAGACGCCTCGGGGTGACTGGCCAATGAGACGGCGGCGTCGCGGTAACCATGGCGACCGGACTGAGCAGCACGCGACAGAGTGTGGACCCCCGGTGCGCGGCAGAAGATGTCGGGCACGACGATGAACTTATAACGCCAAAGTCGTCGGCGCAACGTAACATTTAATCAATCGACGTTAATTGTTTGATGCGATGACTGTTATTGATCGTAGGTCGCTCGAGCCGGGTCCGTCTGTGGTGTTTTTTTAATTGTTAAAATGGCAAACAGAGCACAGATGAGGTTAAATTTCGATTTAAAGCTTTCGTGACTGCAGGGATTCATCTTCTTGGTTCTTTCGGTAAAGTCACGTAGAAGGGAAGTAATAAAATAAAATAAAAATTTTATTATGTTTTATTTTTATTATTTTATTACTTCCCTTCTACGTGACTTTACCGAGAGAACCAAGAACACAGATGAGGTTGTTGAGTTAAAGTCAGAGGGATTTTAAACAAATCTAATTACACGTTTACAGCCCCGAGCCTGTGGTGTAAACTCCACATTCCTATAGCGGGGTCGAGTCTGTCCATACAACAAACAACCACTGCGGACTTCCCCACAAAGTGGTACCTGTTGTTTTATCGACCACCGAAGGGATGATGGGTTGAGTCAACCACCCCATCCGTGGAAATTGAACTCGCAACCTTCGACGGCTGAGCTGTTGTACAGTACCATTGTAGCAAACGTTTCGGGAAATGGCCCTTCTTCATGGTACCTTAAATGTGTTGACCGCTTTTTTGTTTGTTTGTTAAATGTGCCAGTGCACCACTGCCAAAGCGGAATCGCTAAAGGATGTGTATAGTTGTACCGTCATTGTAATAATTAGTTGTCAGACTCGCCTCGTGATTTTTCAGGTTAAGATTTCAATGTACTGCCCAGTGGTACGTGAGCGATATTTAAAATAGCGACCTCGTGAACGAAAGGTCACGGACGTGTTCTTTATTGTTCGTGATTTTGCTCAACTTGGATGAATGAGGAATGTGCTTTTCAGATATCGATATGGTGTATTAGCATGTGGCGTAGCCAGGATCACGTTAAGCCGCGTTTTTCTCAGCATTGTTTTCACGCTGCACCAGGTACTCATTTGAGGCTGACTCAATCCAGGGGATGTCTAGGACAAATTTCACTTCACTGTCATAATAACCACTCACTGCATCAACTCTCCCTTACTTTGTCTTACACACACAAACCCATTCGCAGACGGGTGCACGTTGACTGACGGCTGATCAAAAACGACATCGGGGCGAGGCACCAGGAGAGCGAGCAAGCGATCGGCAAGGGAGAGGGTTGACCATGGCAGCGGACGACCCGCGGCTGGGTTGGACCTGTGAGCGGCTGCTGGCGCTGCTCGGATTGAGCGAGGACCCCTTACCCAGGAACATCGGTAGGCTCCATCCCGCACCGTCGAATGCAGGCGAGGAGACGTACGTGTGGACACCACCATCGGGAAAGGATGCTTTCGAGGAGCTGCTGACACGGGGTCGCGGGGAGCACGAGCAGACCATCCTGAAGTTCTTCAACGAGACGGCGGACGAGGAGCGACCCACAACACTCTTCTTTTTTCACGTGCAGCAGGAGGAGCAGCGGGAAGTTCACCATCAGTCGTTGGTGCGTGATGCTCTCCACTGGTCCTCTCTTGAGTGGCGATGCATTATTTACGTGTACAGGTCATACGGAAGGAGACTGTTTCGTAGAGTGGTTCACATGAGCCCTGGTTCAAGGAATGAAATGGGTGCCGCTTTACAATTTCTCTCATTTTTGTAGCCCGGAACCTGAGCCTCTTTGGTCCATGGGCCTTGCTAGGGTTGCCACCTCTGAGGCAGAAAAACAACCTGGGAGATATGGAAATAAGAATATCTCAAAATACTGAAATGCATGGCCTTGATTGATATCCCCTACTACAAACTCAAATTCATGGTGATCATGCATCCAAGAACTATTCAGGCTCCACCCTGCTTAGCTTTGGAGATCTGATGAGATTGGGTATATTCCAGGCGGTTTGACGACAAGTAGAGTTGACCCTAATGGTTAGAAAATTGATCCACACGTAATGCAACTGCACATTGGGGGCACTTAGCTCCATACTGCTCGGTTTGGCGGTGCTTGTTTTGGCTGTAAAGTGTTGCGTTCTTTCTGCGCACTCCACGATACACAGAGGAGGTGGAGGAGGATGGGGCTGAGCAAGGAGAGGCACAGGAGGATGAGGCACCCAGGAACCGGTCCTTCCCGAGGATCCGCGTGATTCTCCACATCCCGAGACTGGTCAGAAAAGAGTCAACACCTTGTACCAGTGATTGAAGCTCACCTTCAGCCCTGTGCTTACTCAATCATAAGGGACATCATAGACAAACAAAGGAGACGATGATTTTATACTCGTAGGAGGGGTGAAGAGACATTTCCCAATAGCGTCCTGTATGGTAACATCAGTGGAACAATGACTAGAGCACATCTAAGGACGAAATTAACAATTTAAAAACAAAAGAAAATTGTCTGAAACTGGAAATTACACCCCAAGCAGTGGGTAATGTAGAAAATTGTCTGGAACTGAGAATAACACTCACAGGAGTGGATAGGCTATAGCCAGAGACAGACGCTTTTGGAAGTTTAGCTGCCAGGTCAAGCCAACCTGATGGTGTGTGTAATGCATTAAATGAGGTACTGTATCTCAGATTCAGAATATTTATTTACACGAGAGAATCCGATGAGCTATGCAGCTCTTTTTCACAGATGTCCAGGAGGGGCGTGGAAGAACGTTACAACCACAAAAGTCCACGTACATGTCATTGACAAGAAGATACTTTTATTGTTATCATATTTCAATTATATGGTATACTTCATATATTAGCACTTTTTACACAGTGTCATGACCTAAAGATATATCCGTTTTTTTAAGTAGCATTCATCTTGATAATAGGGTTTTCCCTTTTATGGCAATAAAACAGGTGTTAAGATGTTAAAACACCAAACTGAAACCTTTGTAAGGAATCATGTCTGCATTAACCACATATACTTGTGGTGAACATGCAAACAAAAAAAACATGTTCTCACAGTATGTGCGTTGTCTTTGAAACTGATTTATCCAGAAAAGACCCACTGACTCTCAATACTCATTTACAGGAGGGTCTTGCATTGGACTGTTTTTATGGTTACTTTTTAGGCAATGGTTTTTGATAATATCCAGAAATACTTCATGACGATTTTTAAAGTTGACGCGAGTTAATTTAAGATGTTGAACGTGTCGATGAGTCCTGGTGTTGGCACAACAAAAACAGTACCACTCAGGTGCAGTGCGCAGCGTAAATATTGACGCGATTGTGCGTGCCCACGTTTGCCTGGTATTGGCAGTTGTCAATGGAAAAAATGAGGATAGACCAGAGCAGCCCAGCGAGAATGGGGTGGGCGTCCTCATAACCAGCGGCCGCAACACAGCCCTGGGCACGATCTCACAGGATGGCAAGGAAGCACCCGAGGAAGTGGTGGAAAAGAAGTACATAACGGTGAGCAACTTGTGGCATAATGGTGTGTGTTGTTGCATTTGGCACTGGTGTAACCACACATGCACACAGAATAATTGCAGTGCTTTAATTTGATCTTTGTATGCTCATCGAACGATAGTCACTTGTTCACGATTTACTCCGCATGATTGCAGCTGTTGTAATAAATTCATCTGTACTACACCGTCTTCTCTCACCACTTTCCTATGTCCCCCCCCTCCCTCCATCCACCCTGCAGAAGACAGTAGTGGAGACATACTTACACACGGTGCTGTACACGAGCCTGAACTATGTGCCGGACACATTTGCCGACAATCAGGCCGTCTACTTTTTACGGGACGCCAAAGGTATGTCTGGGCCATTGTAACATCATTGTTCTAGGCTGTTGGAATTGACACGTTTTCTCGACTCTTTGAGTTGGTGGTCAAAATGACAAAATGCCCACACATTCATTCTTTTGGGCTGGTGGTCTGGGTTGTTACATCTACTCGAGGCATTTTTTAAAATATAAATAATGCGCATCCATCCTGTGTTGTCATGTTCCCACGTAAATCTTGGAAGAAAGTTTGGGATTCAGATCAGACCAACTTCCGTCTCAACTACAAATTAGTTACACTTGTACATAGTTCTCAGCTCTTCAGATGGCCTTGGATCAGGCTTAATAAATAGATGTGTGGCTACCTCCTATTATCACGGTTTACTTCGTTTGGTGCAAAATAAGTTCAACATGCATACGGTGAATTTTGCATGGTGATTTGGCATCATCTTGGTATATGAGCCCCACGTGCTCAACAAACAGCCCTCCGCATTGTCGAGGACTGCCCTTTTATGGCGGCCAGAAAGTTGTAATGAAAAGGTTGATTCAACTCGATGACGTGGCAATCAAAGCGCTTGAGTGATTTGTCTATCGATCTTCGGTAGCAAATGCAAGAAGCCACGCTATGATTTGAGCTCGTATTAATGACCGGGCCGCTCCGTGCATTCCTCCCGTCTCTCTTAGAACGCCTGGATGAGCCGAGCGATATGCAGGAGGCCGCGTGTGAGCTTCCCCCGCCTCGTGGAGGTGGGGCTGCTGGGTGCCGGGTCACTGGCCTCCCTGCACGAGACACTCACGCAGGTAACCGCTACACCTTATAGCATAATAAGGGTAAGTAGTTGATGTCCTTTCCCCCTCCCCACACCTCCCATTAGCACGATTGGCTACGAATGGTGTGAAAGAAGTTCAACAAAGAAACAACAAACAACGTGAACAGGTCTAGGATCTGCCCATCATCAACCCACACTGAGCAGCGTGGTGAAGTTTAGTCATATAACCTCTGTAATAAGGCACAGCGTGGTTAACAGATGTGTTACATTTTAATTCGTGTATTAATCCGTTCGTACAATTTCACGTAAAATAAAACTCAAATCCAGTTCAGTGAATTACAGTACATTCATTATTCTACAATGTCCTGAACAGAGATCAATTTGGACAGCATATTTCAAACACGGCAGACCACAATTGCTTTCTGTTAGAACCTCCTGCTCAGACCTCATCACGACGGGAGACCGTACTGCGTTGCGTGTCGGCCCAGGTGTTCGCGCCTCTGCTCGCCTACTCGCGGTACCGGCAGGGAGAGGGGTGGCGCGGCAATGCCACAGAGGGGACCGTCGAGCCGCACTCCCGTGCTGACCATCCGAGACGAGTTCCTCATGAGCCTGGCCTAAGTTTGCTCAGCAAGTGCAGCAGACGGTGCACCAGCTGCAGGGTGAGTCCGTCTGTCCGTCGCTCATTCGTTCACTTGCTCACTGATGGCGCAGTTGTTAGCGTACTCTGCTTTGAACCTGGTGACCCAGCCAGGACTATCTTCAGTGGTGAGTGATATCTCAACCAGTCCCAGACCCTGCCACACTTCGTCAACCCGCACTGATAGTGTGGTGAAGTATGGTCAAACGAAATTCTTCATGATTGGCATGACATAGGGAGGCCTTCATCCAGCAGTGGATTGACAAAGGACTGTGAGAGGATATTAGGACAGTGTGTCCTAATTCTTGAGCATTATAAGTAAGTTTTCGTGTAATAAACAATGGCTTTATTTATATTGGATATACACATGATTTAGTATGCAAGGTTTGATGAAATGGTATAAGCCAAAGAAAAATCAGCAGGACTTTAGAAATATGTATCTTGTAAGAATGATGACTAAACCTGTTGAATTTGCACTGCCAAAACAATTTGTGAATTCCTTCAGGTAAACCTTAGCTATTTCATTGACTTAAATTTTGATTTAAAGCTTTTGTGACTGCAGGGATTCATATTCTTGGTTCTTTCGGTAAAGTCATGTAGAAGGGATTTTTTTTTATTGTTTAATATTTGTAGTATTTTATTATTTCCCTTCTATGTGACTTTTCCGAAAGAACCAAGAATATATATATTTCATTGACTGTTCGCCAATGACTGGTCACCGAATGAACACACGCATACCAAGATGCAGCAGACACAGGGTATGGGAATGTGTGCGTTCGCAGGCAAGGTGCGGCTCGAGATGCCGGAGATGGAACAGGGACGGAGTCCCAGAGAGCTGGCAGGTGACCCTGTGGTGGTGGCGAGCCTGGAGAGAGCTGTCACTGGCTGGCAAACCCAGATCTCTGGCCTGTTGGAGAGCCTGCTGGGCAAGACGCCGCAGGCAAGCTGGGTGAAAATGACTAAAACCTAAAACCTCAACTCAAAAGTCACACGTGCATGTGGAATGAGGTACAGTTTGTATACAGTAATATAATCCCTGGGAAACACTATCATCGCATTGTTCTGTGCTCTAAAATAAAACAAGTAAATCATCTATGGGTAATTTTTTGCCAGCATAAAAATGATGGGAAAATATATCAGGTGTTAAGATGTTCAGCCACCAAATAGGTACCTATTGCAAGGCATCAAGTCCGCATTAACCACACATACTTGTGGCAAAATATTCAAACAAACATGCTCTGATAATATATGGATTGTCTTTGAAACTGAGTGGCCTACACCAGAGACAGCCTTCTTTATTGCATCGTTCATGCAAATTGCATCTCGCAACCGCTGAGGAGTGGCAGCTTCAATCTCGGTAGAGGACCGTGATGGGGCGAGTAGACTGGTTCAATGAGAAGTGGGGTGGCGGGCGGGGGGGCAGCAGCAGCAACTCCTCCTGGCGCAAGCACTAACAGCACTGTCATGGACAGGGCAAGGGCCCCCTGGCCGAAGTGGACTTCTGGCGCGAGCGCTGCGCAGTGCTGAGCGCCGTGTGCGAGCAACTGCGTTCGCCAGCTGCCCTGGCCGTGCTCGCCGCCCTGGGCCACGCCGAGCCCGTGGCGCTGCAGAATTTCCAGCTGACGGCGTCCGAACTGGCGGCACTGCAGGTGGAGGCCAAGGACAACGTGCGCTTCCTCTCCACGTTGGAGCGCCACTTTAAGGTGAGCGGGCGAGCGGGCAGGTGCGGGCGAGAGGCTGGTGGTGCCGTAGTGCAGCAATAAGGAACCTACAGCCCATGGCTGGACGTGGCCCACAACTTAATTTCATATGGCCCGCGACCACATATATATATCCACCACTGCCAGCATTTCAGTCACACTAATCACGTCTTGGAGGAAGGGGAATACTTTAGCCTAGCAAACACCAATTTTCAAATGTTATTGTGCTCTGTTGAATATACTGCTTAGGTTTTCGTGGTTGTGCTGTTAATCACTTGGATACAGGTGGAGTGACACATTGGACTGCATTCCAAACAGCTCCTGGTACAACCCAAAAAAACATCGAAGAGCGATGTTGAATATCCTCGCGGCAGTAGATCTCACACAACCCACAGTGTCTAACAGCAGATTGCTCGAAGTCTAACCGTGCGGAGGGGCTTCCTGCTTGATGGTAATGTTAACGGTGGCATTGCGGCGTGTGACGGGGGGCAGAACCTGGCGCACGGGAGCGGCTTTGGCGTGCTGCTGGAGACGGTGCCGTGCATGATGGGCGCCCTCCGCATGGTGTGGATCATCTCGCGCCACTACAACAAGGACGAGCGCATGGTGCCACTCATGGAACGCATCGCCTGGGAGATCGGCGAGCGTGTGCGGCGCGTGCTCAACGTGCGCGACCTCTTCAGGTGAGTCCCCCGGGGCCCATCTCTCGTCGTTTCGTGCACTGCCTGTTAACCCCCCCCAACCCTGCCGCCCCCGCAATGTGTGTTTGTGCGTGTGTGTGAGATATTTTTGGTCAAAGATCCTTGTATTGGCACGGTGGAGAGCGCAGGTGGTGCATCTGTTAGTCATCTCAGTCAGTTTACCCGTCACACCGCACCTCCGATTAGCACGGTTGGCTACGTAAGGTGCGAAAGAAGTTCTACATTCATACAACACCTCCTGCCAGTGAGCTTTCGACACTTCACATATGGCCTGACCCCTTTTGTGATTTTTCGTAACATTATGAGCACTTCTTCTTGGTTCTTTCGGTAAAGTCACGTAGAAGGGAAGTAATAAAATAATAAAAATAAAACATAATAAAACAATTCTCACGACGTTTCGGCCACAACGCAAGCAGCCGTCCTCAGGTGAAAACCAGGTCCGTCGAGGCGACAGAGTCTGAATGAAACAGCACACGAGCTTGGTGCATATATATAAGCTGGGCGCATTGACAAAGGAATTTGCATATCAAAAGGAATTTAGCATATTTATAAATTCCTTTTGATATGCAAATTCCTTTGTCAATGCGCCCAGCTTATATATATGCACCAAGCTCGTGTGCTGTTTCATTCAGACTCTGTCGCCTCGACGGACCTGGTTTTCACCTGAGGACGGCTGCTTGCGTTGTGGCCGAAACGTCGTGAGAATTGTTTTATTATGTTTTATTTTTATTATTTTATTACTTCCCTTCTACGTGACTTTACCGAAAGAACCAAGAAGATGAATCCCTGCAGTCACGAAAGCTTTAAATCGAAATTATGAGCACTTATTTTCCTTGGATTTATTAGAAATATTTTCGTTGACTGCACCTACGATGGTGCTCCTAATTCATACCACATTCTGTACCCTGGCCTATGGTGATGACAGTTTGATTCCTGGCCATCATCATCATCATCATCATCGTAATTTTTCAGTTGAAAGTGGTTTCTGAACCTGCCTTGGGCCTCCCCTTGGTTGCCTCAACTTTCAAATATCCATTTACCTTTAGTTTTGGCCAGGTGTTGAGTTTACAACAGGCTCCAATTCCAAAGATATTCTGCATCTTCCCCTGGTCTATTGAGGCCTAAATGTGCAATAATTAATCCGAAAATATTCGTCGTATTGTCCCAAAGTGCGGAACGAACAGAAATAATGCCCTTTTCCGCATCAAGGTTTTGAGTTTGCGTGCCCTGCTCTTCACCATCCCTCGATCCCGCTTCGCCCTGCTGCTTCTCCTCCTCCACTCCCCCCCACCTCTACTGGCCACCCCCTGTCTCCGAGCGAGGACTGCGAGTTGGCTATGTCGCGAGCGCTGGAGGCTCGCCGCGTGCTGGAGCTCTGGCGGGAGTCCTACCTGGAGGTGCGTGCTCGCATCGAGGCGTCGGGCCGAGACCAGCGCTGGGAGTTTGACCGCCGCCTGCTGTTCGAGAGCACCGACTTCATGGCGTCCATCTGCCAGGACCTGCACGATGTCGTACAGGCACGTCGCTTATCACCGCTTGGTTCTTTTGAGCGCCGACCCGGATTGTAGATGCGTAAATGATTCACGCGCTCACCATCACAATTGTTTGACTTGTGACGATGACCCCACTACCAGGGTGCTCTGTTTCAATCTTCTGCAGAAACTGTGGGCAGCACATAACCGACGTTGAGGCAATTGTCCTTCTTGATAGCGTATATAATATTTGACCTTAAAATGTATGGAGTGAGCTTACTGGACATTTGTGAAGAAGAGCTTTATAGGTCACCAGATTCCTCCAGTCTAAAATAAAGATTGTGATCCTGGAGAGCAATAATGACGTGCTCATTGTATGTATGTAGAACTTCTTTCACACCGTACGTAGCCAACCATGCTAATCAGATGTGCAGGGGAAGGACAATAAACTAAATACAAAAAGCAGTTCTAAAGAAATTAGTTTTCAATTCACCCAGCCCTTGCTGCCTAGCCACTACATACCTGACGCCACCCACGGCCTCACAAGGATGGCAATTGTATTATATATCAATGAAAACACGCACATGTTCAAATGTTTGTTCGACGAATAGTTTTGCATTTGTGTGCCGGATGATGGACAGGTGTTGGAGGAGTTCTACAACATCTTCGGGCCGGAGCTGAAGGCGGTAACGGGAGACGCCCGGCGTATCGACGAGGTGGTGCAGCGCGTGGACGCGCTCGCCGTGCCCTTCCGCGACCTGCCCTTCGACCCCTTTCGACCTTCGACACACGCACTCGTGGCGGCTCGTCATGGAGGCCTTCCGCAGCCAAGTCAGGGTGAGCTTCGCTCCGTCAGCTCACTCTTGCAAGTGCGACTATCCTGGTCTCTTGAGAACATACCGTTCTCACCTGTTTAAACACCCGGTTAAACAAAACACCTGGTTTATTAAAAAGTAACCTTAATGACAATTTAATCTTTTAAAAATGTATATAAGCAGAACTCTGTTCTGTGCCCCCACATATAGAAGACATGTGAATAACACGAGTGGGTTGATAGACAGTTGAGCAATGTGAGGAATAACGAGGGAGCATCTACAGTATCTGCCTTTCGCGGTGGCAAATTATGCCGTGGGGGGGGGGGGGATTGCCGTGGTCACGCAGGCAATCGAGGAGGAGGCTAAGAGCTTCATAGACGAGTCGTTCCGGAGTCTGCGCTCCGCCGAGGCGGCCTTCGACATGCTCCAGCGGTTCCGGCACATCCGTCGCTCGCGCCGCGCTATCAACAACCAGATGATGCACAAGTTCAACGACATTCTGGATCAGTACTGCAAAGAGGTGGGGCTTCCGCACAGACACCATTCTCATGCCCACTGAAGACCAGCCCGCCAGTGTTAATAATGAAACAATTATTGGTAAGGAAAGATATAACCCAAAAAATGCTTCTCCAACTGTAGTTTCTTCTTCTTCCAGATGCTTCAACAGCCAATCATGTGACCTTTGAACCTTTTAAAAAGGGCACTTTTTGGGTTCGATGCCTCGTGCGCCGTGTCAGACTTAAATGGTGCTGGATGAAGGCACTTGCCTCGACGGTCTATTAACAGCCACACGGGGGTTCTTTGTGTTTGTTTTTGTGTGCGCATCCACGCGCGTGCGTGCGCCCCTTTGTGTATGGCGGCACCAGCTGGAGGTCGTGCAGGCGCTGTTCACGAAGCACGCATCTGAGCCACCCGTGGGTAAGAGCGAGCCGCCCGCAGCCGGCGCCATCCTGTGGGCAAGGTCGCTGTTCCAACGCGCCAAACGACCCATCGTGCGCTTCCAGGAGGCGGAGGGGATGCTGGCCACCGAGCAGGGCAAGGAGGTACGTGTGCCCGCAGCACCTGCCCGCATTGTCGTAGCGCGATTGGCATGGGCCCTGGCGCACGGAATAAAATTGCGCCCCCCATACAGTCTCAACCCTTACCCCTCACGGCCCCTGCAGCCCTTGAGACCTGGTGCAAGTTGCACAGCCTGCACATTCGATAGCTACGCCACTGCCTGTCCTGCCCGAGTATTTTTAAGTATCCATGCCCTTCGTTTTTGGTTCAATTTCGTCATGGATTAAAGGAAGATGCATCCCAATAGACGAATGCCTCTAATCTTGCAGACATTTTTCAGGTTCGAGTCTTTTTTTGCTTAACCAGGTGAGAACTCAAGAGACCAAGAGAGTCAAATTTTTGCAAGAGTGACCTGGACTGAGAGTGTGCGTCCTGGGTGACAAGACAGCATGGATTTATTTACGTAGTGCTGTCCAAACGCGATCACACGCGACTCCGTCTAAACGCGACTGCGTCGTGGCCCCGCTGCAGGTGAGGAGGCGGTACGTGGAGTTTGCGCGAGTGGTGAAGGAGTACGAGGACTCTCGTCACGAGCAGTGGCGCCGCGACACGGAGCAGGCCCTGCCGGCACTCCTGCGCCGGAACCTGCTGTGCCGTGTGACCGTCGACTCCGCCGAGCAAGGGACAACCATCATCGAGAGCAGCAGCAGTGTAAGACGTGCCTTGGGGGTTTATCTTTTTGCAATTTGAAGTTTGTCCTGGAAACACTTGGAGTCAGTTTCGATTATCTACTGGGATTGCCCGGATAAAAAAAAAAACAACGCGGATAACGCTTCCTCCTTTACACTCAAACTTTCTCCTTCACCTCCACATCTCTTTCCATTTCCAACCCCCTTCTCCACACTTCTACCCCTGGCCTGGCTGCTGTTGATGCCGCGTGCAGGAGTACGGCGAGGACTGCCCGCCGCGAGGAGCCCGCTATGCCGTCAATTTCGCCCCGGAGCTGCTAGAAGAGATGGCCGAGTCCAAGCGCATGGAGGCGCTGGGCTACACGGTGCCGGAGTTGGCGCGCAATGTCACGCTGCAGGAAGACAAGTACCACAGGTGAGTGGTGCGACGCAGCAGGAGAATTCAAAGGGTGTATGGCCTGAGGGAGGCGGCGGTGCAGGGCTGCAGGGATTGGGAAGGGGCCGGGTTGGGCAGATTTCTCCTGGTCTCAGATCCGAGGGAGACTCATAAAATCTATAAGGGGCATAGGAGGGGTTGTTATCTGGCATTTTGTTCTCGGTATCCAAACATTTACGGGGACACTGCAACAGAGAAGTTGGCACAAACATGTTAATTGCATTCACTTAATACGCGTGTAGTATGTGCGCACCTGTGCACCATGTGGTGTGTGAATGTGTGTGCATGTGGCGGGTGGTGGTATAGTGGTTATGACACTGCGCTGCGAACCTGGTAACCTGAGTTCGATTATATTATTAATCATGGACAATATTAGTTACAAGTTATAGCAGAACTTGGCCTGGGTCTCCCCTTGGCCGACTCACCCTTAAATGGGTACCTGGTGCAGTGTGTAAAGATCAACACTCGGAAGAGGAAGCTGGCTGGGTGTGGCGATGACCACACCACTCTCTCGTATACCCTTGCTCCCGTGGTTTATGAAACTCAATGGGGTGATCTTTGTCTCCGTGCGCAGATTCATCTGTGTGAAAGTGTTGGTCTCTGTGGTCGGTGTGTGCAGGTACGTGGAAGGCCTGAAGAGGCTACTGGGCAGCCTGCAGGTGGTGCTGAGCAGCGCGAGCGAAGCAGAGACACAGCTGCTGGACGAACACCTTCATGCCCTGTGGAAGGTGCTGCTGCCCGGCTACCGCAGGCTCAACTGGAACTCTCTCGGTAAGCCAATCTCCTCATCGATGTCATCACCGTCATCGTGTTGATTATCATCTATCACCATTGCCATCGACTTCATTGTGGTCATCTCCGTTCTAATTGTCATCATAATTATATCGTCGTTGTTGTAGTTGTTATTATCGTCGTCATGATGAGAATGTACATATGTTGAATTCTTTGGCACCGTATGTAGCCAACCGTGATAATCGGAGGTGTGGGATCATCATTGTGATTGCCAACATCACCGTCATCATCATAATCATGCCTCACCTAGGTCCATTCACCAGTGTAGGCCTTACCATCCGCTATTGAGGCTTTGGTTGCCTTAATGGGGTCTTGCAAATGAGATTTAACTCAAGCAGTCCACAGGCATTGGGGGCGAATTGTGATGCAGTGGTTTACGCTCCGCGCAATAGATCTGGCAACCTGAGTTCAATTTAGGCCACAGCTAACATCAGTATTGAGTGATGTCTGAGGCAGCCATGGACCCTTCCTCCCCCCCACCCACTTCACCAACACGCACTTCACCAACTGACCAGCGTGGTAAAGTGTGGTTTTACAGTCTCCATGACTGGCATGGTGTGGTTCATGCCTTGATTCAGACGTAAATGGACAAAGGGTTGTAAATGATTCCTAAAGGGGTACCAAGAGCATATTTTTTCCTCAGTTTTTAAATGGTGCCGATCACCGTGATCCTTGTGCAGGCATCGCGGACTACATTTCGCGCTGTGAGGTGGCGCTTAGCAAGCTGGAGTCACTTGTGGCCCAGGTGCAGAAGAATGCGAGGGACGTGACCTCGAAGCTGGCGCTTATCGAGTCCGCCGACCTCTTCCGTTTCCCCGTTGCGAAGTCGGACGATGATGTCCCAGGTAGGCGTGCCACTCTCTCCCTTTCTCTCTCTCTCTCTTGCTTATCTGGATCGCCAAACTGGTACGTGTGCGACACTCCCAATGGGAGCGGATCGCCGGGCAGCTAAAATGCAGCAAGTTCGCACAGTAGGGGGCACAGGTGGTGCATCTGGCAGTCAGTTAGCCCATGGCACCTGGGTCTGTCCCATGACCTCCCATCAGCGAGCATTCGACACTTCACTTGGCCTCGGAGTGCACCTGGCCTGGCACAAGCGCCGTGGTGATGTTGCCACTACGTATTGGCGAATGGCGGCAGCTGCTGTTGTTGTGTAACACTGCACCACTATGTGTAAGCACAAGTTGACACAAATCTGACAACCATCATTGTTGGCATTGCCTAATAACAGATTTGTATTTTAGTAGGGTACTATTTCCAGGAGGATGACCTAAAGAGGCCTTGTGAAATGACTTGTGAAGCAGTTTCTGCGATGTAATTTACTGGAGAGGTTTTTATGGCACAAGGTGATTCACTGATCGCTGTGATAGTTTGAAATTGGAATCATTGATCTCGTGTTATCCATAAATGAATTATGATAATTTTTTTAAAGACAAGTTAGGGAAAAATTATGTTTTACCTATGGATTGCACAATGTTTCCATCATGCGTTTATCTGCGGAGGTATTTATTTAGCAGTATAGAAGCCCACGTGTTGCTCTCATGGCCAAACACTTGTGCATATTGGTAATTTCTGCACTGATTTATGTCACTGAGGTTTTGGACAGTCCTCTGATCAATTAAGCAGGATTTCAAGAGTGTAAGTCCTTTATAGCAAGACAAATTTTACAAGTAAATTCATATTTGATTCATATTCTTTGGGTCTTTCGGTAAAGTCATGTAGATAGGTTCAAAGAAAATGACAAAAAACTACGACGTTTCGATCGCATGTGACTTTACCGAAAGACCCAAAGAATATGAATTCCTGCAGTCACGAAAGCTTTAAGTCAAGATTCATATTGCATTGTCTTTACAACTCGCGTCCACCACCCCCTCCCCCTCCATGATGGACAACAAAGCAAATGCATAAATGCTGTCATTGGAAAGCGTGAGAAGCAAGGCATTATGGGGGTCTGTTTTGGCGACACGGGAAGAGGCAAGCGCGACTGTTTCTTCCACAGGGGTGAAGGAATTCTTTGAGAGGGTTGAGCAAGCGCGGGCACAGGACGTGGATGTGCTGGTCCGCCGGTGGTTGGCCGTGGGGCCTCTGCTCACCAAGGTGGAGGGTGTGGTGGCCGGGACCAACACGGGCCGCTCGCCACGCCTAGGGGCCTACTATGCGTACTGGGAGGGTCGCGCCTATGAGGCTCTGCGCAAGATGGTGCTGAGGTACGTGTCATTTGCTCCAGGGGTCGATAGCCAGATTTGGAGGCATGCCCTTGTAGTCTATCTTTAATCCAGTACTTTGGAGACGAGGGTTTGTGGATCATGTACAGAAATTGTAAATTTCCCAAACCTGACGGGCTGCTCAAGAGATGGCAGTACAGCAAGTGGGTTTGTGACCTCGCATTGCAAAGTTGCATTGCGTCCTCGTTCATAGTTGTGATTTACTGCGAGTGACTCATGACAATTGTGAATTGCCGTCCGGTGTTGCGTGCCCTCCTACCGCAGGAACCTGCAGCGCCTGAATTCTCTGCTGTTGGGCGAGCGTCCACTGTTCTCGCTGGACGTCGCCCTCTCGGCGCCTGACATAGTGCTGCAGCCGGCCGCCGGCGAGGTCTACAAACTCGTGCTTCACTCGGCCAGTGGCTGCGTGGAGACCACCAAGGTACAGGCCCCATGGGACTCCCAAATGCCCGGCGCAGAATTATTATTTCGATAAAATGTTTGAAAACTACTGTTTTCGCGATTGCGGTATGTTATGAGATTTAAGAATTCATTTGTAACTCTCTCAGGGGAGAGAAAACCACACACACACACACCCCACCCCCCTGCCGTGCCGTGTTAGAGAACGGTCCACGGAAGCGGATATATCAGAGCTGCCTCAGAGATGTTTTTGTGCACTCCTTGTCGTAGCACTTTGTGCGTTGGATGCACGGCACGTGCCTGGAGACGCCACCACAGCCTGTGCGTGGGGAGGACGAGCCCATCATCTTCAACTTCTTCGCCGACGTGGCCAAGGACCCGGCGGTCGTGGAGCTGTTTCAGGCCGCCCTGCAGGGCATGCAGCGTGTGCTGCATTCATTGACGCGCCCCCTTGTGCGCTGGGGACGGTACCGCCAGCTCTGGAAGATGGACAAGGCATGTTGGCACACTCTATCCCATTACTGAAGTAATTATTTACTCGTCCGATTATCAGTTTCGTTACTGGAAGAATTTGCGAATGTGTCATTAGTGCGAAATGGAATGGAATAGTTGGGGGGGGAGGGGAAGGTGTCACCTGTGTTCCTACGTGTGCCACTGAATGGGAGGTGACATCATTGGCATCATCTGCCGCTCGTGGGGGGTGTCCCAACTTCAGTAGCCTGGATGTTGGGGCCAAGTAATCGATCACAAAAAACAGGAGGCGATTCCAGTTTTTGTCCGATTAATCAACCTAACCGCCTCAGTCCTCCCAGCTCTACTTGCAACGTCATAGCTGTAACCCGAAGCCCTGTTTTCGACCCTGACCTTGTCCCCGATCTGCTCGACCTCCTCCTCGTCCTCCTCACCGCAGGCTATACAGATGGAGAAGTTTGCGTCGCGCCGGCCCTCGGTGATCTTGTACGACGACAAGCTGCAGTACTACCGGCGTGTGAGCGACGAGATGGGCGGCCAGCCGGCGGTGCGCACGGAGCACTGCGTCCTCCTGCGCCTGGCGCCGCTCGTCGACGCCGTGCGGAGGCACGCCCGCGCCTGGGTCCTCTCGCTCGGCGAGCTGCTCAACGAGTCAGCGCGACAGGACCTGCACGGGCTGAGAGACGAGCTGCAGGTGGGTGCCTCGTCGATGAACGTGATCCCTATTCTTAGGTTTTTTCGGTAAAGTCACGTAGGTAAAAAATTAAAATTAATAAAAGTAAAAATAAAATAAAAATCACGACGTTTCAGAGGCAACACAAGCTTCCGTCTTCAGGTGGAACCGTCACAGCCACCGAAAAAACCTAAGAATATGAATCCTTGCAGTCACGAAAGCTTCAAATCTAGAATGTGATCCCTCTCCACAGTTCTGTCGTGTTTTTGTCTTGTTGTTGAAATGTTTTGAGCTGCGCCTACTGGAGATCTGTCGAAAAATTGATTTGTAGCTCATCGGCTTCCTCCAGTATAAATAAAGATTCTGATTCTGCGTTCTGAGTGACCAGTCTCGGCGTGCCGAACCTGAGCGTTATTGCTGTGAGCTGCTTCGTGCGGAGGCTTACAGCACCTCCGATTAGCACGGTTGACTATGTGCGATGCGAAAGAAGATCAACATTCATACATATACAATCGTGACCTGAGTGGTAAAATGTTAATTTGGTATCAATCTATATTATAAGCAACTTCTATGGGACCCCTATTGCCAATATCAAGATAGTAAAGATAAAATAAATTAAATGTATTACCCTTTCTGGCATAAGTAAGCAACTTCGTTTGTCTCGTGACATGTATATACTATGTAGTCGCACTTTCAATTACTGTCAAAAATACGGCCATTAATAAACAGTGAATAGAAAGTTTAATTTGAATTCAATATATTTTTTAATGAGGGTGGAGCGGTGGTAGAGTGGTTAACTCACTGCATTCCGAATCAAGCGACCTAAGTTCAATTCCCGGCCACGGCTAACGGTGGCGAATGACATCTGAACCAATCCTGGGCACTCCTTTCAGCAACCGACACTTGACAGCGTGGTGAAGCATAACTAGACAACCCCATGACTGATATGATGATGTAGGAAGGCCTTCACTTAGGAGTGGATTAACAAAGGGATGTATGTAATTTTAACAATTTCAATAATTAATTTGTTACATTTTAAATGCGCTCATATACTGTAATACAATACAATGCATAAATGAATGGTGCACTTACTGAGATCGTGCCATCCTTCTTTGCCTCTGCTTCCGCTCATGACTACGATTCTGTGTCAGGAGCTGCTGAAGGGTGTGCGGCAGACGCATGGTTAGACAACCCCCACGACTGATATGATGTAGGGAGGCCTTCACTTATGAGTGGATTGACAGAGGAATGTATGTCATTTTATACAAATTCAATCATTGATTTGTTCCATTTTAAAGGCGTTCATATACTGTACTGTAATACAATACAATTCATAAATGAATGGTGCTCTACCGAGGTTTCCACTAGAAACGTATCTGTTTAAAATGACTTTCTCTCTTTAGTTCTTTTCAAACGTCTTTCTCACTTCTTCTTTCCTTGGTTGATGTAAAATTATTTCCGCCTTTATTATTAACCCTAACCCCTCCGCTCATTCCTACGATTCTGTGTCAGGAGCTGCTGAAGGGTGTGCGGCAAAGTCCCGACAGCCTGGAGGAGCTGAAGGGCGTCCTCGCCAACATCTCGAACATCCGAGACGTGTCGCTCGCCGTAGAGGCTCGTATCTGCGATATCAAGGAGCGGTACCGCACGCTGGCCATGTACAACATTGAGGTGCGTGGAGTTGATGTGTTTACTCGTGCTGTGAAAAGAAAAACCTGCCTGCTTCGACCACAGCTTATCTATAATTAAAGAGCAGTCGACCACAGAGAGATGACTTCCTTGGAGGTGTTCATTGTCAATTGGGTCTATCCGAGTTGGCGACCATGAAAATATTTGTTCACCTGGAAAATCGTATCCATCATGCCTCTCGCTATGGCCGTGGCTACGACTAGCCATGTGCCTACTCCCAGAGGCGGATATAAAAAAACTTTGAAATTTCAAGCTTTTTAAATAGGATACTTATTATCATGGCCGTGACATGTGCTTCCCGCAGGTCAGGGAGGATGAGCTGGAGCTGGTGGGGAGTATCCAGGAGGCGTGGGATGACCTGGTGCTTGAGTCAAAGCAGGTGGACTTCAGCCTTGGCTCCGTTAAGAAGCAGTTCACCCAGGTAAGGCATGGTGAATTTGTGCCACTGTGAGTACGCTGGGGATTCAACATGAGTGTTCAAGACACATGGTCCGGTCACTTGACTCTCCTTATTGTTCGGAAGACATGCAGAGGCCTGGATTCATGGAAGATGGCAGAGGCCGTGTTATTCAGGTTTTCCGTGATGGAGTGGATTTTTTTTCTTATCGTTGTCGGCTCCCACAATCCTATTTCTTTTTTTCTAAATGCCTGTATCATTTTTATAGCAAAGGTAGCACCTGATGGTGTGGGGTAAATCCTATTTTTGGAATAAAGAAGAGGAGTGTAATCACAAATGCTGATTTTAAAAAGTATTATTTACAAATTATCAGTTTTTTCTACATCGCAGATTACGGCTGGGCAGATCGAGGCATTCCAGACGGTCGTGGGCAGCTTTGCCGATCGATTCCACAAGGAGGGGCCGGGCTCTGTGGGGTCTGACCTCGACAGCGGTCAGTTTTCTTGCTTGAATTTTATTTTATTTTAAAAGCATACAAGTGTTCGCTACTTTGAGAGTGTGCATGCGGCTTTTGGGTCTTCTCCCTCCTTGCACCCCTCCTCTCCTAAAGCCTCACCCTCTATTGCTCATTCTCTTCCTCTTCCCTCCCCTCGTCCCTTTACTCCTTCCTGTGCCTCCTGTACCCCTTCGTGACCCCTAAGTACCCCTCTATTGTGGTCACTCACTCCTCAATCCTTGCACAACTCCTGGGTGCTGGGCACAGGTCTCCGCATGCTGGCGGAGTATGAGAAGGAGCTGGCAGAGCATGAGAAGGAGCGGCAGGAGCTGGCCAACGCCGAGAAGCTGTTCGACCTGTCCATCACGGCCTACCCAAACCTGCAGCAGCTGCAGCGGGAGGTGCGGGGCCTTCGCCAGATCTACGACATCTTCCAGGCCTTCACGGTGAGCGCCTGTGGACATGACAGGCATGGTGAGAATTCACAGAGCCACTTGGCTGAGAGGTGGGACTACTCACTGTCGACTCAAGGAGATGGTAGTAGGGAGATGAAGAGTAGGTACCTCCATCAGCCCAAAGGCTACACAGGGGAGCTTAATTGTTTGTCTTTGTGTGTCTGTGTGTCTGTGTGGGGAGCGGTAGTGTAGTGGTTAGCGCGCTGCGTTACGAACCCGGCAATCCGATTTCGATTCCCGTTCATGGCCCACACCAGTGACGATTATCAGAACCGGTCCTGGGCCTCCCCTCGGTCGACTCAGCCTCAAATGAGTACCTGGTGCGATGTGTAAACCTCACCACTAGGTGTTGGCCACCCATCCCGCCATGTACCTTTCCGACCTTCACATGTGCTCGCTAACAGCACTTGCCCCAACAGTCTGTAAAGGCTATACAGGGGATTTTTGTTTGTCTTTTCCCGAACAGTCCTCCAAGGAGGAGTGGTCCCAGACGCTGTGGGCCAACCTGGACGTGTCGCAGCTGCAGGGCGGTACGGAGGGGCTCTTCAAGACGCTGAAGCGGCTTCCCCGTGACGTGCGCTCGCTGCCCGCCGCCCACCACCTCGAGGCCAAGATGAAGGAGTTCCGCGACTCTATCCCACTTCTGCTGGACATCAAGAATGAGGCGATGAGGGATCGGTGCGTGTCTCCCGCCGGTGTTTAAGCGACAATCGCGTGCGGCAATAACAGCGTGCACGTTGCGGGCGGCTCGTGTGTGCCATATTAACGTGCGGGTATTTGTTTGAACGCAGTGTGCCGTGAGAAACGTGTGTCACATGGTATTAACTTGTGTCACGTGATATTTACGGTTCATTGAATTGCCCCATGAATACACATAAATAAATATTTCAACATAAACACAAAGTATACTTGTGGTAGGAATATAAAGATTCATCAACAACAAAAAGATTTTCATCAACTTAAATATATTCTCATATTTACAATACACGCATCGAATTGTGTGTGTGTAAGAATTGATTATTTACGATTCACGTGTGTTTTGTTCCTGTCTCTTCCGCCATTGTCTCTGCACGCAGCCACTGGCAGGAGCTGATGGAAAAGACTGGGCAGCGCTTCCAGATGAACGCGGAGACTTTCACGCTGGAGAACATGTTCACTATGGAGTTGCACCGGCATGCGGAGGTCATCGGCGCCATCGTCTCGTCCGCCGTCAAGGAGCTGGGCATTGAGAAGGTGCCCTCACTGACGAGGAATCACCGCACCCGCTGGGCTATGTGGAGCGAGCTGCAGTGAGGGTTGAGTTTGCTTTTGAGTCAGGCTTAGGATTGAGTTAGTTTGGGAATTGAGTTAGGGTTGGGTTGGGGTAATGGTTAGGTTTGGGTTGAGTACAGCTTGGGGGTCCGGATTGAGGTTTGTGGTGGGATTACGTTTTGGGTTCGATCAAGATGAGCATTAATGTTGGGTTGGTGTTCGAGGTCAATTGAGATTCAGATAGGATTGGGGTCAGGGTTGGGTTAGAGTTAAGGTTTGGGTTGAGTTTAGAGCTGGTTTTGTGTTGGTATTGCAATTCGGGTAAGCTTTGTGTTTGGTTTGTAGTTGTGGCTCGTACTGGCCTTATAATTGTATGTATGTTGAACTTCTTTCACACCATACATAGCCGACCGTGCTAATTGTGGGGTCATTGTAGACGTCACCGTGATGTCGCCTTGCGTTCTCTTCGCACCCCCTGCTGAGTCGTCCTCGAAAAAGAGCTTCTTAGCTCAGTGGGCTTTCCTCGGGAAATAAACTTCTATCTTGATTTGAAGTTTTCGTGACCGCAGGAATCCATACTCTTTGGTTCTTTCGGTGAAGTCACGTAGGTAGAAAAATAAACAATAAATGACGACGTTTCGATCGCAACACAAACAATCGTCCACGTAATTAAATACAATCGATCATCAGATGACGATTGCTTGTGTTGCGATCGAAACGTCGTGATTTATTATTTATTTTTCCTACCTATGTAACTTTACCGAAAGAACCAAATAAACTCCTGATTCTGATTCTCAACTGTTTGCTTGCAGGGCGTGCGCGAGGTGGCCGACACGTGGGAGGGCATGAAGCTGACAGTGTCGCGCTACTCGAAGGGCGGCAGGGAGCGTGGCCACGTGTTGGGCTCGGTGGACGAGGTGCTGCAGGCCCTCGATGACCACGGCATGAACCTGCAGAGCATGGCCGGCAGCCGCTACGTGGGCCCCTTCCTGGCGTCCGTGCAGGGCTGGGAGCGTTCGCTCTCCCACATTAGTGAGGTCATACAGGTGTGTTGCCGTAGCCGCAAGAGGGGGTGTCAGAGGTACCAGCATTACACACTCCTGCCATCCTCCCGAAACCAAAGGATACTCATGCTCTATTGATTTAAGTCTTTAGTGATGCATTTTAAAATAAAATGCTTATTTAATGACCACTTAACCAAACTAATTTGTATAACAGTTGCTCCACATGCTTTTGATTCAGTTTCACTTAATTTCATACCATGTAAATTATGTAAATCAGCTTACGGCTGAATGCTACTTATCCACGTAAATAAATAAAATCGATCAATTATTGTGTGTGGTCCTAACTGATGACCATGTAAAGTTCTCCTAAAAATAAGGTTTTAGTTGAAAATGCATGGATGCCCATGCACGAACTTGTATTGAATTAAACAATATTTTGTTACAAAAAATAAGGAGGTATGAATATTCGAAAGAGAATCCGATATTCCTGAAATTACATCAATTCTTGAATAAATAATATATGTGTGCATATTCAGGGGAGAACATATACCCCCCGGACTTGATGCGAAAGATCGATCGTATTGTACCGTCGGTGGGAGCACGCTGATCCTGTGCTGATGGCGCGAGTGTGTAGGTGTGGATGGTGGTGCAGCGAAAGTGGATGTACCTGGAGAGCATCTTCATCGGGGGCGACATTCGGGCGCAGCTGCCCGAGGAGGCCAACAAATTTGATGCCATCGACAAGGAATTTCAGAAGGTGCATCTCACGACGGCCTCCAACCTTTAGAATGCGTATCGTGTAGTAATATTAATAGTAATAACATCAACCTGTAATGTTCCACACAGCATTCGCTCGCTGTCGAAGAGAGAAAGAGAGGATGACTTAGAGGTGCGAGGAACGGCGGCACATTTCTCATGACGCCACCGATTTAGCCAGCAAAGCTTCAGTGAGTCTCAAGACTCTTTTTCTCGAGAGGGTTCTGCATTGGAATTTTTTTTTTGGCAGTGTCATGTGTGTGGAAAGCTGAAGCGCTCATTTACAAGTGGTTAACAATCAAACGCTTACACATGTGGAGTCACAAACACCCTTGCTGTACTGCCATCTTCCAGTCACTCTGTAGCCCAGCTCATACGGGAATTCCAGAAATCTGCGTGATCCACAAACACATGCTTTGAAAGTGCTGGATTACAGGTGTGCATCCCCATGCCTAGCTAATAGTTAATAACGTTCATAATACTTAATTACTCCTGGACTGTTGCTGTCTCCTTTCTCTTTCTCGATCCCCTTTCTCTCTTCCTCCATACCTTCTCCGCACCCTCCCACTGCACCTTCTTCCTCCACTTCCTTCCCCTTCGCCCAGATCATGTCGGAGACATCGCGTAACCCCGTGATCAAGGTTTGCTGCCTGGCTACGGGTCGCCTGGCCGACCTGCAGGGGCTGAGCGAGGGGTTGGAGCGTTGCCAGAAGAGCCTCAACGACTACCTCGACTCCAAGCGGAACGCCTTCCCCAGGTTCTTCTTCATCTCCGACGACGAGCTGCTGAGCATCCTGGGAAGCGGGGACCCTTCCTGTGTGCAGGAGCACATGATTAAGGTGCGTTGCATGTGTTTTGCGTGTTTTGACTCCGTTCGCTCAGGAAATCCTTCGCACATCCGATTAGCACGGTTGGCTACAAAGAAGTTCAACATACGTACATTTATACGTAACGTGTTTCTTGTGCAGATGTTCGACAATGTAGCATCGCTGACGCTGGAGGCTGGCGGCGCAGGTGGCGGCGTGCTCGCCACAGCCATGGTGTCGGCCGAAGGGGAACGTATGGAATTCCGGACACCGGTGGCGGCCGAGGGCCGCGTCGAGGACTGGATGACGGCCGTCCTGCACGAGATGCGGCGCACCAACCGGCTGCTCACCAAGCAGGCCGTCTTCAACTACTGCAAGGACTGTGGCAGGTCGGTGTGCCATTGCGTTACGCGCAAACGCGCCTTAAGGCACAGAAGGAGGGGGTCAGGCTCGTGATTGTTGTCCCAGGTGTACATCCACATGTGAACTACGACTTGAAAATAATTATGTTTGTTATTTTCTAGTTGTATGGTTCAGTGAATTGTCATGATTTGGTGTGCAGTTTCATTCAGTTACTTATGTTTGTTTGTCTATCTCGTTTGCGTTGATGTTTGTTTCTTCTGTCTCATTGTTATAGTCTTGTTAATGCCATTAGCCTCATCTCGTTGGGTGTACATTTTTACGTGAACAATTTGATGCAATTATTTTGAGCATAACACCCCATTTTAAACAATTAATTAATCAACAGGATTACTTTATTTTGATATTTACTTCGTAATTATATCCACATTTTTCCATCCCATTGTAATAATTCCATCACGCCATGCTGGCCGTGTACCAGGGTGGACTGGATGCTGCAGTACCAGGGCATGGTGGTGCTGGCCGGCTGCCAGGTGTGGTGGACCTGGGAGGTCGAGGATGCCTTCATCAAGGTCGTGGGCGGGGGCGGCAGTGCGGGTGGCGACAAGATGGCGGTCAAGGACCTGGCGGAGCGGCTGCACCTGCAGATCGACGAGCTCGTGACGCGCATCGCTCAGCCGCTGGAACGCAACGACCGCAAGAAGATCAACACAGTGCTCATCGTGGATGTGCACGCTCGCGACATCGTCGACGCCTTCGTCAGGGACAGGTGCTGCTCCTCGTCAAACGAGGGTCCCGTCGCTGCGTTTGAACTTCCTTTTAACTGAATGAGGCAATAGTCAATTGGTGCCGACATGTATGTATGTATCTTGAACTTCTTTCGCAACGGATGTAGACAACCGTGCTAATCAGAGGTGCGGGGGGTGAGATAGTATATTTATAAAAAAAGGGAATTGAATTCAAGCACGCAGTCTTCGGCTGTTGGTGTGAAATAAAAAATGACATTGGTTCATGTATTGGTATTTCTACTATTATTCGTTTCTGTCTGTCAGCAGAATTGTCAGCTTTTGTTTCCTTTTCTTTGAACACGTGGATTGGAGAGCATACAGGCGTTAGAGACATCATATTGACTGTTAAAGAAAAGTAAATATGAGCTTGGGCATGTCACGTCATTAGAAGTGTCATGATGCAGTGGCAACCAAAGGGAATGCACCCTAGATGATGCCCATGAGAGACGTGTCGTCGCAGAGAGACACGATGACACAGAGAGTGACAGACCAGGAGAAATCCCTCTGATAAGAGCATTGCAAGGACATGCATAGAGACTGCACGCATTATAGTGCACATGTGGCAAAATCCGCTTCTCAAATTAGCACGGTTGGCTATGTACGGTGCGAAAGAAGTTCAACATACATATGTACATACAAAATAGTACTATGATCAAAGTGTTTCTTTGTGCCTTATGTGTGGGACGTTGGGGTGAGTGCAGCATCATGGATGCGCGGGAGTTTGAGTGGGAGAGCCAGCTGCGCTTCTACTGGGAGCGCGAGGCTGACGAGCTCTCCGTGCGCCAGTGCACGGGCACCTTCGGCTACGGCTATGAGTACATGGGGCTCAACGGGCGGCTCGTCATCACGCCGCTCACCGACCGCATCTACCTCACCCTCACCCAGGTGAGCCGAGCTGCTGTCCGGGACGCGCGCAAAGCAGAGGGCCAGGGACAAATGTGAGGTGGCCGTTGGCGAGATGGCACCTGCGTAGGCAGCAGAGCGTATCGAGGACACGGTGACCGATGCCCTCCATCTTCCCCAATGTGGCGCGCTCCTCCTTGCTTTCTGCAGGCACTGTCCATGTTCCTGGGTGGGGCGCCAGCAGGCCCGGCGGGCACGGGAAAAACGGAAACCACCAAGGACTTGGCCAAGGCCCTGGGCCTGCTCTGTGTTGTGACCAACTGCGGCGAAGGCATGGACTACAAGGTAAGGCCGAACTTTCCCTGACAAAGCTCTGCGGTTTTTACCATGCAACCAAGATATGTTTTTACTAGATGAGCGAAAGCCCTGACCACTTTGCTCCCATTTGCTGGCGGTAGGCCATGGGAAAGATCTTTTCGGGCCTGGCCCAGTGCGGCGCCTGGGGCTGCTTCGACGAGTTCAACCGCATCGACGCGTCGGTGCTCTCGGTCATCTCGTCCCAGATCCAGACGATCCGCAATGCGCTCATCCACCACCTCAAGCGCTTCCAGGCGAGTGCGCGTGTTTACCTGGAATGGCCGGGACATCTGCGTTGCCGGGGTTTCTTCAAATTGTATTTCGTCACTAGAGTCGACGCGGATTTAACAGGAAGCGCGCGGCGTCTGCGCGAGCAGTTTGAGGGCTGTGAGATCGCGCTTGACTCGCGCGTGGGGATCTTCATCACGATGAATCCGGGCTACGCGGGACGCACGGAGCTGCCCGAGTCGGTGAAGGCTCTCTTCCGGCCCGTCGTGGTCATCGTGCCCGACATGCAGCAGATCTGCGAGATCATGCTCTTCTCAGAGGGATTTCTACTGGCCAAGGTGCGCGAGTTCTCACCGTATCTCTTCCCCTCTCTCTGTCTCTCTGTGTTTCTGTACAGCTGTTTGCCTCTGTCTTTTTATATCTGTCTGTCTACATTCGTTTGTCTGATTCAGCATCTCTTCATCTGTCCCTTCTGTATCTGTTTGTATGGTGGTGACCCTACCTGGAATGATCTGTAAGAGACCCACCATTTTGTTGACAAAAGTGGACGTCCATGGAAATTGTCCATAATAGATTTGAATTAATGTCATGCCCTGCATTAAAGTTTGTGTACCCGTCTGGCTGTATTTGTCAGGGTTGGACATGTTGCTCAGACAGGGACAGTTAACAATGAGAGCACATCGACTATTCGCATGGAATAAATGTTCTGAAAAAAAACGTTAAACATTCTTAGTATAAGTTCAGTTCTGATCGCTAATTCAGCTCACATTAAATATCCTATATCTTGTCGATACATAAATAGACTGTTATTAATGAGAAATAAATACATTAAAATCACCAAGTGACATAATAGTAATAAAAAAACCCACTTCTGAGGCATGAGTTAAGTGTGTTACCAGCGGTCCTCAAGAAAGCAACTTTAACATCATTAGATTCATTGACGAAACTTTAAACGTGTATTTGACGGCCCACGACACAAGCCTAGGTACACTGGTACCACATAAAATCCATTAGATTTTTTTTGTGTTCTGCCCATAACGTAACACCATCATTGCTGCCGCCGCCGCCAACCAACCAACACCACCACAGATGCTCGCGAAGAAGATGACGGTGTTGTACAAGCTGGCGCGCGAGCAGCTCTCCAAGCAGCACCACTACGACTTCGGCCTCCGCGCCCTCAAGTCCGTGCTCGTCATGGCCGGCGAGCTCAAGCGCGGTTCGCCCGACCTCAGCGAGGTGCGGCCAAACCCTCGCTACGCCGCTAGCGGACGCCCGACAAGGCACCCGTGACGCCCGGCTCCAAAGGCGGGGCTTAGTTTCAGCCGAAGTCGTCTGGGGCTGAACCCCGGAAAATGTTTCCCTACTTCCCTCCAACTTGTTGTGGGGAGGGCGGTGGGGGTGGTGGGGGGGGGTTCTGGGGATTTTGGGGGTTGGCGGGGGCTCCATGAGAAACTAAGTTCTTACCAATGGGGGGGGGGAGTGCTCCTAATCCGCAGTGCTGCTAGTTTGGCGTGCTGTGGAATACGCAGATACCTGCAGTGTGTAAATTACATGTATTTTAAATATGTATATTAATTTGTAATTGTAACTGGTATCTAAATTACACAGGCACACGGATAATTGGTAATTTGTAATTGTTCATTATCTACATAATATACTCCAATAATTTCTAGTTGAAGTGTTTTATTGTGCACGTGTAAATGCGTGCGTGCGTGCGTCTGTGCGTGCACATCCCTCTGCAGGACGTGGTGCTGATGCGTGCCCTGCGGGACATGAACCTGCCCAAGTTTGTGTTTGACGACGTTCCCCTCTTCCTGGGCCTCATCTCGGACCTCTTCCCGGGCCTAGACTGCCCGCGCGTGCGCTACCCTCAGTTCCACGACGCCGTGGAGGCCACGCTCAGCCCAGGGCGGATACTTGATGCTGTCCTCCCAGGCGAGCTGCTGCGGCCACACGGCTCACACAATGTCCTAATGACCTGTATGTGTGTGTGTGTATGTTGAACGTTTTTGTCACCAAATGTAGACAACCGGTGCTAATCTGAGTTGCCAGGGAAGGACAGCAAATTAAACACAAAAGCACTTCTAAATAAATTAGTTTGCAATCTAGATTTTAAAGTGCATAGCTCCAGTGGCTTCCTAATATGACATGGCCTTGTGTAGGGTCGGGGCGAGGCAGGGTCACGAGTCATGGGGCAGGGTCGTAAGTCACAACCGACTCTTGATGTTATGCTTGATAACGATATGCTTCTCTCACTCAAGTCGAGTTGTGATGTGCACCCATGTTGTCGTACGAGGGACTTGAGTACCACGAGGTGAGGACTATTTGCTCGGAAGTCAGCTATGGTTGTGCTACGTAAGAACTGGTTCTCGTCTTAGGAATGTGGAGTTTTCACCATAAACTTGAAGGATGACTGTGGAGACGTGTGTTTCCTGGCACTAGAAATACATCGGTGATGTTTTGATTTTGAATGCACGGTGCCAGTTCTGCACTCTAAAAGGCTGAACATTTCACCATTAGTGTCTATAATCCTCTGGTGGTTCTGCTGTTCGGTTCTCCACTGAAGGCCACCGTTGCTTCCCCCCGTGCCCCCCCACGCAGGTGGACAAGGTGGTGCAGATGTACGAGACCATGATGACTCGGCACACCACGATGGTGGTGGGGCCCACGGGTGGCGGCAAGTCCGTGGTCATCAACACTCTGTGCCAGGCTCAGACGAGGTGAGGGCCGACTGATGAAACCAGTGGTGGGGTTTCATCCAAATCTAAAAATAGCATGGAATTAAAGGGTTAAGCTTAGAAGTATGTTGTTATGTTGGTGATAAACGTAACAATAATATTACGCACCTCCGATTAGCACGGTTGGCTACGTACGGTGCGAAAGAAGTTCAACGTACATATGTACATAAAATAAAAATGTCCTTTGTCTATCCAGGAAAGACTGCCCGAGTTTCTAAAATATTTTTTCGGGAGGGTCGTGCATCGGGCTAATTGAACAACCGATGCCTGAGCTTCCCTCCCACGTGCCGCGTCTTGGCACACCTGCGCTGCCCTCTGTGCTTTCAGGCTGGGGTTGGTGACGAAGCTCTACGTGCTCAACCCCAAGGCCATGAGCGTGGTGGAGCTGTACGGCGTTCTCGACCCCAACACGCGGGACTGGACCGACGGCGTTCTCTCCAACATCTTTCGCGAGATCAACAAACCCACCGACAAGCAGGAGCGCAGGTCCGAGCTTGGCCTCGTCAGAATCGGGAAGCTCAGCAGAGTGGGGCCTGCAAGGTGGTTGGGTGGGCGACCACCGTAGGCGGAGTTTGAATTCTATATTTGGGGGGGGGGCGCGGGGGTTCGCATGTAATACATTTATTTTTCATCCTAATTGTAAACTACTGAAAATAAATTACGAAAGGTGTCCAGTTTGGGGGGGGGGGGGGCGATTTCCACCAGTGCCTTCCCCCAAACTCCCCCCATGGCGACCACTATGCTCCGGGCCTACATTGTGGGCAGCAGAGTGCAGTGCAGAGAAATCCATTTCTGCATTTTATATCTTTGCTCCCTGACTTCACCAACCCACACTGACGATCCAGCAGTGTATTAGAAATAAGTATAACCCGTAAAAACAAAGTTTTTCACTCTAAATCCTTTATATGCGTGGCGGCTAGAGTCCTCTCGTCCTCTGGCTTGAGATGGCTGCCACCTATGGGTCAGATGATTGTCTGCAGTATTAAACAATTGGTAATTAAATATTTAATTTGTTTTCCCTAAAGAGTGTAAAATTTTGGAAATTTTTTCACGAACATTAATTGTCTCGCACAACGAGTCTGTGTGCAAAATGTCAGCTCGATTGGATCACGGGAAGTGGGTTAAAAAACGACCGAAATGTTTGCACGGTCGTAAGCAAGCAAGTAAGCACGCAAGCAAGCAAGCAAGCACGCAAGCAAGCAAGCAAGCAAGCGAACTTAATATAAAGGATTTAAAAACGGGTTCTACATGTACATATACTTTACATTTAACGATTCAGTCCCTTGGCAGCAATTTAATAAATAATCCATTCTTGCGCGCACTATTGAGTGAACTCAATCGTGATCTTAATCGATGACGGGCGCTTCAAACTGCTCTGCCGCGTGTTCCTCCGCGCAGGTACATCCTGTTTGACGGCGACGTGGACGCCCTGTGGGTGGAGAACATGAACTCGGTGATGGACGACAACAAGCTGCTGACGCTCGCCAACGGGGAACGCATCCGCCTGCAGAACACGTGCGCGCTGCTCTTCGAGGTGAGGGAGGAGAGCGAGAGGACCCAGCCATCGCGGGCTCGCTCGGCCCGTCGGGATTGCTTGATATTAGAGCCACACCGGAGCCAGCTGATGTCAAACGTCTCATGTTTGCTGTGGACGTCTGCAGAGTAGCAGAGCTTGGTTGGCTTGGGACCTGGTACAATTTCTCCCCCTCTTCGTAGCTCAACACTGGGTCCCTCTGACTCGTGGCCCTCTGTGTAGTTCCTGACTTCGGGAGGACTTCATCCAGCAGTGGATCGATCATGCTTGGTGATGATGATGATTTTGATGTTAATGGACTCGTCAGCCCTGATTTCCTCCATTTTCTCTTCTTCCATCCAGGTGGGAGACCTGCAGTACGCATCTCCGGCCACCGTGTCACGTTGCGGCATGGTCTACGTGGACCCCAAGAACCTGGAGTACCAGCCATACTGGCAGCGGTGGCGCAACAGCCGCCCCGCCAAGGTACGCTTACATGCTGTGCGTGTGGCTATGTGTGTGTGTGTCTTTGTATGTGTGGTGTGGAGTGGTGGCACAGTGTGCGATTAGTGCATCGCACTACGAACCCGGCCGCCCGACTTCACTTCCCAGCCATGGTTTACAAAAGTGGCGAGCGACATCTCAACCGATCCCGGGCACCACCTTCACCAAGCATCGCTGAGCAAATCCCCCTCCCCACCCCCCCCCCTTGCGCCCTTTGCGCTTGACAGGACCAAGCGGAGCTGCAGCGGCTCTTTGAGAAGTACGTGCCGTCGTGCATGGAGATGATCGTGGACGGGGTGGTGGACGGCCGGCAAGGGGAGCCACTCAAGACCATCGTTCCCCAAACTGACCTCAACATGGTGTGTATGTGCCCACGGCGTCACCGCTCCCCTCCCCGGCTCTGTCGTGCCCTGTCCTTGCGTGATTGTCAGCCGTACGTGCACCTCCAGCCCTATGGTATCGGTCAGGGCTGGAGGGGGCTGAGCCATGTGTAGGGGGAGCGGGAGGCGATAGGGGGCAGTGGGCTCGCCTGGAATGCTCGGAAGCTAAGCAGTATTGAGTCTGGACAGCGTTTGAATGGTCGACCACGTTGCAGTCAACGGGTTGTTATAGGCTGCTGTGTTGTGGTCAGCAGTTGGTAGTGCAGCAAAATCCATTGTTGCACTGGTCTTTTATGATCCATTGTCTGTGCTCCCCCTTTACCAACCAGCACAGGGCAGCATGGTTCAGCACGGTCAAATGGCGGGAACTAAGACGAGGTCTGGCGTATTCCGGGCGACTCGGTCATAGGCCACAACAACAGCCAAACACCGTTACATCGTGAAACTCCACAATAACGACGATTCTCAATTGTGTTTGTGATAACGCTAAATCATCCCCTCCCCCCGCCCTCCACCCCCCGCCCCCCGCCCCACGCATCTCATGGTCCAGGTGAACCAGCTGTGCGCAATGCTCAACGCGGTACTGCACGAGGAGGAGGCGGAGGACGCGGCCGTGCTCGAGTGCCACTTCCTGGAGGCGCTCTACTGCTCGCTGGGCGCCACGCTGCTGGAGGGGGCGCGCGCTACCTTCGACTCGCACGTCAAGGGCCTCTCTGCTATGACCACCGTCGCCGACGACCTCAAGACCGGCGCCCAGCCCGGCGAGCTGCCCGGTGCCTTCCCGCGTGATTCACCTGTTTTAGCACCGAATTGATGCGGCGAAGCTGCCCCCCCTATAACGATGTGTTACAATAGCATGAAAGTGAGTGAGCGAATGGGTTGGAGGTCTATTGGGCGAGCGGGTCATGTGCAATAATTGGATGGGTGATTGAATGCGTGAGGTGAGCAGGTGGGTGAGTGAGCGAGCGAGTAAGTTGTTGAATCAGTGGGTGTGTGTGGGTTGGTTACTGAGTTGGTGAGTGAGTAGTTGAGTGGGTGGGAGTGTAAGTGAATAAGGGAGAGAGCGATTGAGAGAATGTTGAGTATATGGAAGAAGCGAGTGAGCGATTGCATGGACGGTGCGCGAGTGGATGGCGAGTGAGCGAGTAATTAAATGACTGTGCACCCTGCAGGCCAGTGCCCGACGCTGTTCGAGTACCACTTTGACAGAGAGAGTCAGAGCTGGGTTCCCTGGAGTCGCCTGGTTCCAGCCTACGTGTACGATGCACAAGTCCGCTTCTGCGACATCCTGGGTGGGTGTGCCGTTTTGCCATGCTGTGCATCGGCTTAGAGACACACTATACCCAGTCACCTGCTGCCCTCCTTTTTTCAAGGGTATCCGTGTGGCGATTGGTATTGTATTGGTCATAGGTGTTCGCTCAAGTTTGTAATGCTATACGGAGAATCTTTGTTTTTAGTGTATTGGTGCATGTACTTTAAGAAGATCTGGATAACCTGGGTTTGAATTCCAGCTAGAGATATCTTCCAGCTTAACCTTAAATTTGTACCTCGCGCAGTGTTTAAACATCACTATTGGAGGGACAAAGATAGCCCGGGCATTGTGCTGGGTAGACCATCCAATTGTGCGCTGTGCCGGCCTTCACAGGTGCTTGCTCATGGCACTTGCCCCAACAGTCTGTGAAGGCCATGCGGGGGATCTTCTTATTTTTTTATTTTTGTGTGTGTGGTATATTGGTTTATCACTGCCACTTAGTGGCGAATGGCAGTTGTTGTTGTTATATTGGTTTGTGTACTACGTTATGATCGTGGTGACTTTGGTTTCATTACCAGCCTTCATAGGTGCTCGCTAACAGCACTTACCGCAATAGCGTATCGTTTTAACGAGGAGATCTTTACGACTGCGCCCCCAAGTCCCCACGGTGGACACGGTGCGCACCAGCTGGCTGCTGGAGCAGATGGTGCGGACGCGTCGGCCCGTGTTGCTGGTGGGTGAGTCGGGCACCTCCAAGACAGCCACCACGCACAACTTCCTCAAGGGCCTCGACAGCGATACCACGGTGAGGCCGCTACCGCCACCCGTTGACATTTAAGTTTGGCGCCACGGTGGCGATATGTTAACTACCCTCGTCTGGTATTCAGGACGTCGTGGGTTCGATCCCGACCCTGACGCCTGCTGCTGTATATTTCGAGTTTGCGTGTCTCTCTCATCATCATCACGGTGGCTAGGAGATGTTGACTACTTTGCTTGGTATACAGGAGAGCGTAGGTTCGATCCTAACCCTGAGGCCTGTATATGTAGATTTTGCATGTTCTTCCCATGGTCGTGCAGATTTTTCCCCGGGTCCTCCGGTTTTTCCCTCCACATTTATAATCAACACGCTTTTAGAGTATTTTGCTGATTGAAGTTTCCACATTGTAAGCCACTTCGTTGAGCTATAATTTGTTGCCAGGTCGCTCCTGAAAAATACCTCTATAGCTAAGTGAGATTTACCTGATGAAGTAAAAAAAATAGTTTTTTTTTAAGTTCATCCAAGCCAGCGCTTGGTAAAACCTACAACATATTTGAATGGGAACGTCCAACCGTTTAAAATTGAGGATGTGTAATATTTTTTGAAAAATCTTATTTGTAAGGCGTATAATGCTTCTCTTGCATGATTTATTGTCTTGCTACAATTCGGGAGAGAGATCAAAATGTGTTTGCGTTGTGGCGAATATCGCGTCTCTCGTGGGTTGCCGGGGTTGATCACATGCGACGTATTGAAATCAGAAATGATAGCTGCGAATATAATTCGATGCGAAACGTATTTTGTGAGCGTAACAGTGTATTTTAATCGATAAATTACGGAATTATTGTATGCCGATTGTTTTCAAGCCGTATTTGGTGATATACTGCGTGGGTAGGGGTGCACAAGCGCAAAGAACAAATAACATCTCCGTCAATAACACCGTGTGAAAAATACGTAACAGGTAACATGGGCAATAGCCCTTCTTTATAGCACAGAAGAAAGGTAATTTGCTCAAAATGTTGCTAATGATATACCTTCCCTCTTAGAGCACTGTTATTGACGAATGTGTTAAGAAAAAAATCATTAGTTGGCCATGCCATGTCAAGGTTTTAGCAACTAATTTTCTGTGCAATTGATGATTGGTGTAGGTAAAACACAATGAAAGGATTTGTTAAGTTCTTCAAAAATACTCAACTCTGCTGTGAATAACTCACTTTAAAAAACATTACCCACAATTCAGCGGCTATCAGTGGCATTATTTAAGAGCTCTGGTCTCGTTCACCCATCGCTTCTCCACCAGCTGCTACTGCCCATCAACTTCTCGTCACGCACCTCCTCGCTCGACGTCCAGCGAAGCCTGGAGGCGAGCGTGGAGAAGAGGACCAAGGACACGTACGGCCCGCCGGTCGGAAAACGCCTGCTGATCTTCATGGACGACCTCAACATGCCGAGGGTGTGTGCCGATTGTTGTCAAGGAGCAAAAGCGGTCACGCAAACTCCGGCCATCCTCGCAGCAGCAGATTTGTGGCTAGTCATCGAACAAAGACCGTCACTGCATCGCGTGTTTTCTGGTGCAGGTGCACTTCTGCGGCCCCCGCACCTCCAATTAGCACGGTTGGCTATGTACGGTGCGAAAGAGGTTCAACATACAAACATACGTGTGTGTGTGCAGAACTGGCGTAAGCGTGGTTTCCATGGATCATGGTGCCTCGTCCCAGTACCTTGGCCCCCTGTCCATTGGGGCCTGGTGCAGTTGCATACTAGATAGCTACACAACCGATGTGGTGTTATGTACACTATTGTGCATGCTGTTGCATGTTTGTACAGTTGTGTACAGGTGTAACTACCTGTTTGGATTAGTACAGCATTCCCCCCTGTCGGTAAGCCTTCTCGCTTGCAGTGTGACTATATGAAGTAATACATGCAGCGATTAAACCGATATCGGCTGTAAAGCATTCTGGGAAATCCCATGATGTCCATTGTCGGATTGTACGTGTTTAACACCGTCAATGCAAAACAAGTCCTACTCCATGTTCATGTCACCCTCTCCGATGTAAACTGTGCCACCAGGTGGATGAGTATGGCACGCAGCAGCCGATAGCGCTGCTCAAGCTGCTGCTGGAGAGGGGCAGCCTGTACGACCGCGGCAAGGAGATGATCTGCAAGACACTCAGGGACCTTGGCTACGTTGCAGCCATGGGCAAGGCCGGGGGTGGCCGCAACCAGGTGGACCCTCGCTTCCTCTCGCTCTTCACGGTCTTCCACATCACCTTCCCGTCCGAGGAATCGCTCCATTACATCTACACCTCTATTCTACGTGGGCACACCCTGGTGAGGATCCATCATGCGTGTGTGAGTGCGTACGTGAGGGCGTGAGTGCGTGCTGCCTTTGCACTTTGCATGTAGATTGGCACAAGCGTTGTTGTGACGTCACCATCGCTCGATGGCGGATGGTGGCTGCTGTTGCGATGTCGTTTGTTGTAAGCTCGCCAACTCAACTATGGCAGAGCAGATAGGAGGCAGATTTGAGTTCTGCGGCATTGTTTGTGTTCCCATAGTGAATCTGGTGAGTTTTATTCCAACGCACGGCTAACATCGGTGATGAGTGATATCTAAACTAGTGCAGTCCTGAAAAGGGTACTTATTTTGTGTAAACAACAGCACTGGGGAGACAATGGCGGCCGGGCGTGGCAGAGACAACTCCTCCCCCTTGACAACCTTCTTGTGTTCATAGATGCCCACCAATAGCGCTTGCCCCAACAGCCTTGCCTTTGTCGGCGCAAGCTGCACGGGTGGATCTGTATCTGGCTGCGTGCGCGCGCTCGATTCTGTGGGCAGATGTTTTCGGAAGAGGTGCGAGCGGCGTGCGACCTTTTGACGTCCTGCACGCTGCAGCTGTACCACGCGGCCGTGAGCGAGCTACCCCCGACTCCGTCCAAGTTCCACTACATCTTCAACCTGCGAGACCTGTCCCGGATCTACCAGGGCCTCTGCCTCACCACACCTGAAAGGTTTGTTTTCGTTTGTTTGCTTGTTTATTTTGGCACATGTAAATACCCATTGAGAAATAATGCACATGTTCAATGGGGGAACAGGTTTACATGGCAGTAACCTGGTTAGAGCAAAAATATATATATTTTAAACAATTGTACATATCTCATGTTCACGTGCAGCGATGGGGAAAAAATACGATCACATTGTGCAAACGACTGGGGTAATGTATTTTGCTTGCGAATTACCAATGACATTGTGGCGTGCTATGTAGATAAAAATTACAAAAGTAATGCCCATCGCTGGTTAAATCACGCACGCCTTCTTGCTATTGTCTTGCGGGATCTCTGTACAGGGGAAGTGTCATCCCCCCCCCACCCCCACATCTTGTAAGCTCTCTCCTCTCCGTGTGGGAGCTGCAGGTTCACCACCGTTGGTCACATGGTGCGGCTGTGGAGGAACGAGTGCCTGCGTGTGTTCCACGACCGTCTCATCAACACCGACGACAAAATCCTGGTTCGGGCAGTGTTCCCCAAACGTTTATTTTCCTCCAAAGTGGCGTGTTCATAATCACCGCCTGTACGAGCATAACGGCGTTGATGATGATGAGTTTCATTTATTTCATGATGTGAATGATGCAGGGTGATCCATTTATACCCCGCTAAAATAACTAGGCAGAAGTTATAGAGACGATAAGCTCCAAGCTTCTGTGTGTTATTTATATTCTTTGGGTCTTTCGGTAAAGCCACGTAGACAGAAAAATATCACGACGTTTCGATCGCAACACAAGCAATCGTCATCAGGTGAAAAAAATATAGCGGGAGAGCTGCTGAGGCAGGATGTTATATAGGTTTGAGATGGGTGTAGCCCAAGGGTAAATGGGCGGGGCTAGAGATGAAATTTGCATGTAAATGTAAGATTGGAGAGCTGAGCCATACCTACGACGAAGCTGTGGGGGTGGCCATTGTATTGTGAGAGATTAGCATGTCAATGTAAGACCTGTGCAATACAACGTATTACGTCTTTCAACAAAGAGCTCTGTGAGATATGGAGCCATTACGTTTCACAATATTCATTCACCTGTTGAGATAAAGGTAAATGGTTCATGAGAAATCAGGTGGATATCGATGAAACGGACCCTGCTGTAGATGTAATGATGCAATGGCAGGAAGTATAATTATTGAACTGAATTAATCTTTAAAAAAAAAACTTTCCATGCTTTAACAATGAACCAGCGTAGTTGTTACAGAATTGGTGAGGCGTCTTTACACGTACAGATGTACTTTGAGTAAGTTGTGGTTTTGTGCAAAAGCTGAGCCGAGGAAAGAAACCGCGACGACCTTTGGCCGTTGACGTGCGTGACACCAGGTGGAGCGCCACGTGCGCCGTCTGCTGGAGGAGCACTTTCCGCACGATGTGGAAGTGACCATGCGAGACCCCATCCTCTTCGGCGATTACCGCTCGGCGCTGAGCCCCGGCGAGCCGCGCCTCTACGAGGACATCCAGGACTACGAGGCGGCACGTGCGCTCTTCCAGGTGTGAACGCCGGCGTGCACCTGGGGTTGCCTACCACATTCCTGTGCCGGGTTTCATCTGGCAAGGTGGTGTAGTGATTAACCCTTTCCCGTTCCGAGACGTCTGCAAGTTGCAGGGTGGGTCCCGTTCACTGCTGAATCTCGGAAAGCGCAAGGGGTTCAGCGTTAATTTTATTTTAGAGAGGCGTAGCGCCGTTGTTTTTAAAGACATTGTACTCATCGCAGAGAACTGCAGCGGCACGACCGCACTCTATGATAGCTAGCGCCAAACTGTGCCACACTCCCTCCCACGTGTCCTTCTTTGTCGGAGGCTCAGTAACGATAATGTTTTTTTATTAGTTTATCTTCTGGTTAAATAAGCACTTAACGAACCGCACCCCCAAGTGTTAACAATGGGCCCTCGAAGTCGAGCCCCCAGTCCAATGTTGTGCCTTTTCATAGCCTGGCGCCTGGGCCCTTGCAGCCGATCAGTCCCAGTGCAGTTCTCCCGCATTCACACTCAAAGGCTACGCCACCGTCTCACACCCCCCTCAACATCTGCCGATCGATACCCTTTGCCTACTTTCGTGTCGTCACAGGAAATCCTGGAGGAGTACAACAGCAGCGAGACGCCCATGAACCTGGTGCTGTTTGAGGACGCGTTGGAGCACGTGACGCGCGTCCACCGCACCCTGAGGATGGAGCGCGGCCACGCGCTGCTCGTCGGCGTTGGCGGCTCTGGCAAGCAGTCGCTCTCGCGCCTTGCTGCCTATGCCGCCGGCTGCCAGGTGAGCGCCGCCCACATCGCCGGCGCTGCGCCGTTCCGCTGCTAAATACGACACGCACGCTCAGTGAGCCTCGTAGGTCAACTCGTCGGGGTGAACTCGTCGGGGTGGCGTTCCTGCGTATCTCACTTCTCCCCTGTCCTCTGATAGTCTCTTGTTTCTAAGCTGAAAGTCCCGTTATTGCATGTGGCCAGCTGCTTTGATATTCATTCATTGTGTACTTTTCTTCTGTATCTAAGTCTGATGATATCTATTGTTGTGATATCTTGTTTCAATGCATCCTTCCATCTCACCCTCCAGCTCATCTTCGGTTGATAACTATTTGTCATTTTCCATCGAGGTAGATCGACGGTGGTGATAGGTGATGATTCGTCATGGTTTAAGGAGGTGAAAGATGCCACCTCAGGTCTTCTCATGCCAAATTATAGGAGCAGGTGGATCATTGTTGAATCGAGCGTCATACAAAATCTATGATGGTAATGTATGTATGTACGTTGAACCTCTTTTGCACCGTACTTAGCCAACCGTGCTAATTGGAGGTGCGGGCTAATCGGAGATGAAGCGGAGCTTACCACTATCAGGCTGTTACTATACACTGTGGCCTGTCACCTGGGAGAGGTTACAGTTTAGCTTTCAATTCTGCCATTTGCTAGAGAAGGCTCAGATAAAGCCACAGCTACATCCTATAAGTTGATGAAATAAACCAACTGCCTGTATCAACTGAAAAATCATGATTGGAGCTTATCGTCTTGTTAACTCGGAGCCGCGGAACTCCTCTGCTGGTGATCGGTGTTGATTGGCAGGTGTTTGAGATTACCCTGAGCCGAGGCTACAACGAGAGCAGCCTGCGGGACGACCTGAAGGCCCTGTACACACGCCTTGGCGTGGAGGGGAAGCCCACGGCCTTCCTCTTCACCGACGCCCACGTGGTCGAGGAGGGATTCCTAGAGCTCATCAACAACATGCTGACGGCCGGTCGGTGTCACTCGCGTGTGAACGCACGCGTGCACACACACGCACGTGCGCACACACATACGCGCATCCACACCCTGGCTGATGATGATGATATGGGAGTGACAATGACTTATGAATGTTTAGTATGAGTTTTACTGGTTGTACTCGTCTGCTGCATGTTTGTGTGTACGTGTTGGACACAGGTCGACTCAGCCTCAAATGAGTAGCCGGTGCATTGTGTAAACATCTGCACTGAGGAGACAAAAGCGGCTGGGTGTGGCGCTGGCCACGAACCCCCTCGTGTGCCACACCGGCCTTGATAGGCGGTCACTAACAAGCACTTGCCCCAACAGTCTGTTAAAGTTCTACACGGGTGGGATCTTCGTCATATTTGTCTTTACCCAGGCATAGTGCCGGCGCTGTTTCCGGACGACGAGAAGGAGGCTCTGATCGGGCAGGTGCGGGACGAGGCGGCGCGGGCCGGCTGTGGCCCCGCTCGCGAGAGCGTGTGGCACTATTTTGTGAGCAAGTGCGCCAGCAACCTGCACATCGTGCTCGCCATGTCTCCCGATGGGGACACGCTGAGGACGCGCTGCCGCAACTTCCCAGGTGCGGACGTGAAGGGAACCAGACGGCCATCCGTACGCACCTGTGTGCACGCACGTGTGGGCACGCACGTGTGGGCACGCACGTGTGGGCACGTACGGATGTATGCTTTCACACCGTGCATAGCCAACCGCGCTAATCGGAGGTGCAGGGAGAAGTACAACAAACTAAATACAAAAAGCATCTTTAAAGAAAATTTGTTTTCAATTTAGATTTAAAAGGGCATCGCTCCAGTGGCTTCCTATTATCAGAAGGAAGAGCATTCCAGACGGCTGCAGAAGCACATCTGAAAGTGCGATGCAGTGACCGTCTGTGTTTAGTGGCGGGCCAAAAACCACTTGCGGGGATGATGACCGGAGTCCACGTGTACGCGCACGCGGGTTCAGCCACCCATGCGCACGTGGGTTTTTTGTGAAAAATTGTTGACGGCTATGTTGGCAGGCTGGAGCTGTGGTGCAGCGGTTAGCGCACTTTATTCCCGACCTCGGATAACATTAGTGGCGAGCGATATCTGAACCGGTCGTGCAACAACACCACCTTTGTCAACCAACACTGACCAATGTGGCGAAATATGGTCAAATAACCCATCCACAGGGCTTCATTAAGCAGTGGGATTGATAACGTGCTGTAAAAAATCGCTTATCATTGTCATCGCGTTGTTGTTCAAAAAGTAATCTCTGACCACCATAGCCGGGTTATCAGCCAGAGTGTGGCTGTGGCGATGTGAGAAGATTAGTGCTGGATACAGTCACCTTTGCGAATGTGATTTGTAACTTTGATCATTACCTGTGTATCAATAGTTCAGTGTTGATGTACCATTTTATTGAGGGACTAATGCGTGGTGTTATCTTGGTGTGGTCTGAGACTGTGTTGTTTTTGTTTTTGCTGCCTCGCTCAATCTTGACGAATCGGACTAACAGAAATCATTTATTCTTTATTAATATGTAGTGACTTTCTTACCATTTTCTTTCTTTTGCACTCCTATCGTGTTTTTGTATTGTTTGCTGTTGTAACTTGCTGACCCTGTGTCCATACTGGACATTTGTGAAAAAAGAGCTTCAGAGATCGTCAGATTCCTCCAGTTTAAATGACGATTTTGATTCTGATTCTGACTTCGTCATGTTACCCACAGGGCTGGTGAACAACACATGCATCGACTGGTTCCTGCCGTGGCCCGAGCAGGCCTTGCTGGCCGTAGCGCAATCCTTCTTGGGTACGAGCACGCCGGGCTTGCGATGCGATGGCCACGACAGACTTTAGTTGTTTTAAACTGAAAATGGTTTCCGGCTCAAATGGCCCTCAGCTGCTGGTGACATTTGTGAGCCAGTTGTGGCAATTCCACATTGCTTTCGGCGGAGGTGAGTCTGTTCTCATGACACCCGACGTTCACGACACGATCGACATAGCACGGGAAGTTCCTCATCCAGCAGTGGTTGACAAAGAACAGTAAATTTTGTTTAATAAGCATTTAAAGCTCGGTTCGTAGGAATTATTTTAAAACATCAGGCAGTAGACCTCAACATAACTCAGCACATCCGGCCCTCATGTGTGTTTGTTCCCACGTACGTACGGTAAAGTCCTCGCTTAACGCGTGGTGTACACACTGTAACGCGTTTTCGCTACAACGCGGTTCTTCCATTCGGGAGCACTTTTCGCACAACACGGAATGCGCACCGTGACAACCCAACTCGCGACTGGTCGACGACGAACTACTTTCTTGAACTGCCCAGCTGAGCAGTGTGATACACTACGCGGAATGATACAGTAACGTGACGACGTACCCTCAGTTATTTGTTCCGCCATCTCACTGCGTGTGCGTAAATCGTATCTCGCCAAACTTTATTGTTATGTAATTTTGGGGGATTTTTTTTTGGCCTAACGCATCTTTCACTTCACGCGGCACTTTTCACAAACGCATCTACCGCGTTAAACGAGGACTTATTGTTTGTGCGCGTGTAACGTGTGTGTGTGTGCGCGTGTAACGTGTGTGTGTGTGCGCGTGTAACGTGTGTGTGTGTGCGCGTGCTCTGCAGGTGAGAACCCGATGATCCCCAGTGAGCACCGCGGCGCCGTGGTAAGCCACGTGGTGAGCGTCCACTGCTCGGTGGGTGATTTCAGCGTCCAGTTCCAGCGCAAGCTTCGACGCAGCAACTATGTGACGCCCAAGAACTACCTGGACTATCTGGCCACCTACACCCGGCTGCTGGAGGAGAAGGACTTGTACATCCTTGGTGAGTGGCCCATGATCCGGGCCGAAATGGGAGATGTCCCATCAATGGGTTCCTGCAGCCGGTCTAAACTACGTCCTAAGGAATGCTTATTAATGTGCTTACATTATTGGGCCTAACTTGAGATATATATTTCATATCCTCCACAAAGAGTATTTGTCACATGCCAAAAATACTGAAAGCCATATTTCTCAAGAGCTGTAAAAAAAAGATTTTCATTGTACAGACATTGGTGAATGGGTTGAGACCATCAATCAACTTGCTCCACTTGAGAACCCAGTTTAGTGACAGGTGACTGAAACTCAGATTGAAGCCAAGGATCTGAGTGGTGCTGGCTCAGGGTGTCTAAACCATTGAGCCGATCAGCCACTTCTGTCGGCTCACTTAACAAGTAAAACTCAGGTGCCTCTGCTTATTTACAAAAAACTTCCCTACCAGGGCTTAATCTCCATCCGAGCACTCGACATTAGATATACCTCTCACGATGGCTCGGGCTACTAGTCACGTGTCTTCTACATTCTACTACCAGCGACCTCGATATTATTTAAGTGAGAACTTAAACCCTGCTCCCTGCCCACTGTGCCATCACCTCGTGCCTCGCAGGTCAGTGCCAGCGTCTGGAGGGGGGACTGGACAAGCTCGCGGAGGCAAGCGTGCAACTGGCTGAACTTAACGAGCGTCTGGCCGAGCAGAAGGTGGTTTTGGCGGCCAAATCATTGGCGTGCGATGCCCTGCTGGAGGAGATCTCGCGCAGCACGGAGACAGGTGAGCGAGGCTGCTCCCTCATGCCTCTTTGGCCATCATCTTGATGATCAGCAGCAGCCATGGTCGATCCCCTGGTAAATGATGTCCTCTCCGAGCCGTCGCCATCTCTCATGATCCTGCACCAATATAACAATCCATCTCGCTCCTGCAGAGAGCCGATTTCATTGCTTCTGTGTCTGTTGTGGACATCCTGTAAGGTGTGTTTGCTTCTTTGGCTGCTGCTCTTACTCTAGTCTTGACCATTGGCCATCATTCCTTCGAGCAGCGTGTCCTGCCCAGGCCATCGACAGAATAGGTGGATCATTTTTTACGCTTGTGTATTTGTCCGGTGAACTCCTCCGAGACATCGCCACTAATTTCAACGAATGAGGAGTCACTTGAAAGCTTGTGATATTCAACTTATGTGAACGAGGTCAAAACTACCACGAAAAGAATTACCTGATAATCTGATTTAGCTGATCGGCTCCAGCACCGCTTGTAAACCCTAACGTTCACAACAGGACAGAACATGACGTGAGCCCCATTTACAAACCACACAAGTGTGGTAACAAAAATTTAATGATGATGACGATAATGAATTCCGGGCCATTTTGATACCGTGACCTCAGTGAACGAGAAGAAGCAGCTGGCGGAGGAGAAGGCGCGGGAGATCGAGGACCAGAACCGCGTGATCGCCGTGGAGAAGGGGGAGGCGGAGGAGGCACTCGCGGCCGCCCTTCCGGCGCTGCAGGCTGCGCGCCGCGCCCTGCAGGAGCTCGACAAAAGTGACGTCACAGAGATCCGGTATGGAGATGCGTGCGAGCATAAATAAAGATTCTGTATGTATGTTGAACTTCTTTCGCACCTTACGTAGCAATCTGTGCTAATCGGAGGTGCGGGGGAAGGTCAACAAACTAAACACAAAAAGGTAGTTCTAAAGAAATGAGTTTTCAATCTAGATTGTGTGGTATCTGAATGCAATGGCGCCGCAATATGCTTTACGAAAATAAATTGTGATGGTAGAAAGAGGATGGAGCTTGACCATGACAGGTGAAACATGGGAGAGAGAGAGGGGCGGAGCCAGGCCCAGCCCAGGGGGATATAACGGGGGCCCTGTGAGGGCCTCGGAGTTCTTCGTGTTGCTGGTGAAGAAGACCCACGTCAGGGAGAAGAAGCCTCTAGCCACGCAGTCCGGGACCCAGCTTGTGGTCCGGGCCGGGATAGCGAACCATGTCTAGTTCTGCCGTAGCGTGGCTAGATGGGTATTCAACGCCCAAGTGTAGGTTGTGTTATGTTATGTTGAGTTGGTGAAATAAATAGTGTTGCTCCCAAGACAACGTCTGCAACTCAGTTGGACTCACTACACTTGTACTGAATGTGCGTGCTTGCTTCTTTCCATGAAGGGACGCACACACGTGTGCGTGCCCGGTAAGTCCACTAATCTATTGAGCTCATTGATGACTCGACGATGTGCCACGTTTTCTTTTTGCCCTCTTGTATTCCACCTGCGGGGATCGATACGATTATAACCGTTGCCTTATTTACCACTGCGTCATTTCGTTCCGTTGCTGGGATTTTCGCAGGAGACAAATGTAAGTACGGTTCCGTGTTGGCGATATTTTGCCGTGCTTTGCTGTGGACCCAGCCAATGCTGTTTCCCTTTTTCCATTTCCCCTTTTTCCCATCCCTGGATATGGCACTCCAGCCGACCTTTTCCCCGGTCCTGGAATGCTCGTGAGAGTTTAATTTTGTTGATCTTTAATAAATAAATGAAAGTTACTTGCATATGTCGCCGGGCCCCTGCGTACTAACGGTGACCTCTCGACGCTCACCCCTGACCCCGTTTCCTGAAGGTCGTTTGCCACGCCGCCCAAGCAGGTGCAGACCGTGTGCGAGTGCATCCTGTTGATGCGGGGCCACAAGGAGGTCAGCTGGAAGGCAGCCAAGGGCATGATGTCGGAGTCTAACTTCCTGCGCAATCTCATGGAGATGGACTGCGATGCCATAGGACAAGGGCAGGTCAAGCTCATACGAGGTCGGTGATCACAGATGCAAAACCGCAGCATTTGTATCTCAACTCTAGAGGCAGACTGTTCATTATAAATGGAGGCTTCTAGTCAAAGGGCGTGTAACGAGGATTAAAGTTTAAGAGGTCATCGTGCCAAATGTCATTAATGCCACGTAGCCTCGCTAATGCGGCCTTCCTTTTGCCAAGTCCGATATTTGCTGCTCAGTCTACATTCGACCTCTGAGGTCTGCTCTGACAGTCTCATCGCCACCATCTGGCTTTCAGTTATCCTCTTGTTACACAGTCCACGAGTCCTTCAAGGAAAGCTCTTAAAGTGTCCCACAAGGGATTATTATGCTCGTGTTATATGCATGCATAAATACACACATAGAATGGCTTGACGATGACGTAAGAGATTGGTGCCAGCAAGATGTGGCCACTACTTGAGCGTACTGGCACAAGACAGAGGAAAGTGGAAACAAATGGTGAAGTGGACTATCGGCCGATGGATCGTGATGATGATGATGATGACATACACACGATGTGCAATTAGCGTACGGTGTGTAATTGGAATACAATCTCCAGTCAGCATACAGTGTATAATTAGCATAGAGTGAGCATTGCATAACAACATCGATTGTATCTGATACATGTACAATATGCGTCTTTGACAAACTATCAGGCTCCTGATCCACCCGGCCTTCTTTCCACCAGGGATTCTGAAGAGCCTGGGCACCACCTACGAGGAGATGGTGCCCATTAGCCGTGCTGGCGCTGGCATGCTCAAGTTTGTTGAGGCCGTCATGGGCTACTGCGAGGTGGCGCGCGAGATCAAGCCCAAGCGAGACAAGGTTACCCAGTTTCGTTCGCGTTCGAAGAGGCCTTCTTACACTCTTTTTCACTCACCTTGTTGGCATTTGCCTATGTTTGTATGTATCTATGTTGAACTTCTTTCACACCGTACGTAGCCAACTGTGCTAATCGGAGGTGCGGGTGAAGGACAACGAACGAAACACAAAAAGCAGTTCTAAAGAAATTAGTTTTCAACTTCGATTTTAAAGTGCATAAGCTCCAATGGCTTCCTAATATCGGAAGGAAGAGCGTTCCAGACGGCCGTAGAAGCGCATCAGTGACCATTTTTGTTCGATGGCTAGCAAAAAAACGCTGAGAGAATGACCGGAGTTCACGTGATGACTTGAGTTCGCGTTTCCCGTATAATGTATGCTAAGTGGTAGGTTGTTGCATGTATTTCATGATTGATAAAAAACATTCACTGTGTCGATGAAATGCGGAATGATATGTTGGCAAAGTATTCTGAATTGTTATTAGTTTTTTTTTATTCCATCCTATATTGCTGCCCCTTCCATGTCCCAACAATTCCCACCTTAGGCTAATGCTTACATTGCCCACACGTAAAGCCAGCACTGCCAGGTCTCTCTGCCAACCACCAGTGCTCGCCCACGCCTTCCCCACGCCCTTTGCAGTCGACTACCTGGGCCCTCTCCGGCCCGTGGGCCCCAGCGCGGTTGCAAAGCACGCACGCATGCTCGCTCGATAGCTACGCCTCTGGGTTCTCACCGGCCGCCCGTCGCTGTGTCTTCACGCAGGTCGCGCGGTTGGAGCGAGACTTCTATCAGAGCAAGCGCGAGCTGGAGCGTATCCAGGCGGAGCTGGCGACTCTGCAGGCGGAGCTCGCCGCCCTGGGCAGCAAGTACGAGGCGGCCATGTTGGAGCGGCAGCAGCTGCAGGCCGAGAACGAGGTCATGGAGCGACGTCTGCTCGCCGCCGACAAGCTCATCTCGGGCCTGGGCTCCGAGAACGCGCGGTACGGCCAGAGTGACGAGCGGAGGCAACCGGGCACGCTGCGCCCAGTCGCGCTGTCATTCCTTTTCCCTTGCTCCCCTACACTGGAACAAACTCGCAGTGCACGTAAAACAATCATTTTCGTTAAGCTGCTTCCACTCTTTCATTACAACTACCCCCATCTCTTCTCCCCTAGCCCATCCTGCTACTACTACTCCCTTGCCCCCGCTCTCCAGCTACGAGCAGGCCTATCCCTGCCCCGATCAGTACCCCAACCCCTATCACTACCCCTACCCCAACTCGTCCTTAACCACTCCCACCTGTTCTCCTCTCACGATAACGACACCACCACTTTTCATAACCCCACTCTTTATTTCAAGCACTATCATCTTACGTATTTTTTTTATAATTGTTATGAATGTCTTGGAATAAGGCTCTATGTAAAAATATATACAAGATAAGATCGGAATATTAATGCATTTGTTCAGTAGCTACATCCATTACCTGTGGGACTGGAGCCTCTTTCCTTCTGTGCCCATCACTTAGGAGCATCTAATTCTTACAAATAAAAACACATTCTGAAAGCCTTGCAACAAACGACCCTTGCCCACTGTGATCAAGTGTGCTATCTAGCATCATTAAGAAGCCTCTTGAAATCAATATAGAACTGGCGTCTACTGGGGGCCATTAATCTGACACGGCGTGATGCTACGTGTGAGAGCTCACAATGACAATGTCTTCCATCGCTTAACAACACCGCACTTATGACTCACTTGTCGGTCAGTCAGTCAATCAGTTTATTTCCGGTAAGGTCCATTGAAGTAAGAAACACATTTTTTTATTATAAATCTAATATTTAAAAAAATTGCTTTGTTGTATTTCAATAATAGCCCAGTATGGAGCATAAACTGCGACGCGAGGAGAGGGGGTACAAAAAATCCGCGCACCTCAGTCTCGAACACTGCACCTGGGTTTAAAGCAGGTGGGGGAAGTGGGCTTGCCGCCCCACCGAGTTGGGACCACGAGCGGGGATGTATGTATTTTTTATAGCCCTTTTCTATCTTTCTAAACAAGCAACATAATGAACCGGTGCATTGCTTGGTCGGCGACGAGCGCAGGTGGATGAGCGAGCTGCAGGAGCTGCGCCAGCGGCGGGTGCGCCTGCTGGGCGACTGCGTGCTGTCGGCCGCCTTCCTCTGCTACTCGGGCGCCTTCAGCTGGGAGTTCCGGAGCGCCATGCTGAGCGACGCCTGGGAGAAGGAGGTGCGCGAGCGGGAGATCCCACTCAGCCAGCCCTTCCGCGTCGAGTCCCTGCTCACCGACGACGTGGAGATCAGCAGGTGCCACAGTCGTTGTTGCCGAGAGGTGGTCAAAGTGGGGCGGTATGTGCTGGCACGCATGCCGGTAGGGAAGCAATGGACGATATGACGTCCCGGTGAGCCAGTGTCTCAGTATCGGAATATTTATTCATACTGGAGGAATTCGATGTGCTACAAAGCTATTTTTCGCAGATGTCCAGGAGGTGACGCGGTGCGCTCCTAATGGTAACACCTCGCATGGAGGTGGAGATATTTGGGAGGTTATTTGGGAGATATTTGGGAGGCTATATGATATAGTTTATAATGTATATTAAAAAGCACAAGAATGCTTTATGTACTTTCCAATAAATGATCCTTATGGCGGTACCCCGGGCTAACAAATAATACAAAATGGCCGAGGCAATTAAATATTTTATTTCTGGGATACTATTTTTTTCAGGGGTGTACTTAATTTCGCGACTGGGGCACCAATCAATCTGAAATCAGTGCTACTCCGCAATATCGAAATGCCAAACATTAGCATTAAAAAATCCGTTATCGAAAAATTCTACTTTGAATAGTGCATCGTGTACAGCTCGTCGAGATGAGTCAACTGCCGCATGACCGACCATCAACAGACTGAAAGTTGACTGCATCACAGACATTATGCGAGAGCCGGGGAACTACTGGTACCCGGGGTACCTCCATAAGGTTCATATGCTAAACTTCATCAGAACACTTTATGTCGTTTATAATGAATGTTAAATCCACTTGAATACATTTTATTGGATACAATGATCAAGTGAAGTGCAATAGAATATCGTTATGTCGTGTATTTCTTCTATGCTAGGCACCGTTTTTCAAACCACCACTTTTGAACGCTGACGGCGACGCTCGGCCCTGCATCTCTGCGCAGGGTCGCGTGGTAGTGCCGCGGCTATTCTCGCAATGCGCTTGTGAGTCGCGTGCGCGTGCCAACGTCCGTGCGCCGACATGCGCCCGTGCCCGCCACCGCCACAGGTGGGGCTCGGAGGGTCTGCCGCCCGACGAGCTGTCGGTGCAGAACGGTATCCTGACGACGCATGCAAGCCGCTTCCCGCTCTGCATCGACCCGCAGCAGCAGGCCCTCAACTGGATCCGCCGCAAGGAGCAGAAGAACAACCTCAAGGTGGGCAATGGATATGCGTGCACGTGCGTGCGTGTGTGGTGTGCGCCTTGGGGAGCAGTAGTGTAACGGTTAGCGCGCTGCGCTACGACTCCCGCTTACGGCCAACAGCAGCGGCGATTATCTTAACCAGTCCTGGGCTGCTCCTAAGTTGACTCAGCCTCAAATTAATGCCTGGTGCGGTGTGTAAACATCAGCAACAAATGCGGCCACGCATGGTTTTGGCCACCCACCCCGTCGTGTGCCATGTCGGCCTAAATAGGTGCTCGCTAACAGCACTTGCCCCAATAGTTTGTTAATGGCTATATAGGGAATCTTTATGTCTGTGTGATACCTTTGGTGAGAGCAGAGATGTCATGGGTTATGACGGATGGTCATGGTGTTTTTGTAGCAGCAGATGGGCATCATCGTTGGCTGGGGTGAGCTCTTTGTCAGGCTATAGTCCTCAGTTTCCATAAATGTTTACATTGATAATAATATACACTGTGCCACATCGATTTTTTTGAATACCTGCACTGCCCAAGAGCGAGTGTTCCAGAGTGGCTAAGCGCATTTCAAGGTTACTAGGGTGCTCTTAAATGCACAGGCAAGAGACATTGGCAAATTAACAATGCTTTCCTTTGACATGAGTCTGAAAGATAAGCAGCAGTGAAGTGGGGTGACCAAGTACACGGAAAATCAGAAGAGAAAATAGAAGAAGGAATAGTCTCGGGGAATCAGAGCCGAGTAATTTAATTTATTATTAAAATCAGCAATGAGCTGCTCTTGAGACAGGCAGGCAGCACGCCTCAGCGATACAACAAGCGGTGCCAAAGCGTGGCGTTAACGAAACCCGCTTCTCCTGCAGGTGTCATCGTTCAACGACCCAGACTTCCTGAAGCAGCTGGAGATGGCGATAAAGTATGGCTTCCCGTTCCTCTTCCAAGACGTGGACGACTACATCGACCCCGTGATCGACAATGTGCTCGAGCGGAACATCAAGGGGCAGCAGGGGCGGCAGTACGTGGTGCTGGGCGACAAGGAGGTGGATTATGACCCGAGCTTCAGGCTCTACCTCAACACGAAGCTCGCCAACCCCAGGCTCTCGCCGTCCATCTTCGGCAAGGCCATGGTCATCAACTACACGGGTAACGCCTCGACGCTGCTCGACGTTACGACGCAGCTCAGTCGCAAAAATAAAATTCGGATTTTGTGCCGGGGTATGAAAGGCATATCGACTGTTGCATGACGTTGACTATTAAGAAAGAAAAGTAAGTGAGCTCATGCGGGACGCATCGTGGCTTAGAAGGGGCGATGGCCGGTGGTCCAGACCAAAGACGGAGTGGCGACCAAAACAAAAAACTCGCCGAAGAGGATGTCCACCGTGGAGAAGGGGCGATTAAATCGGCTAGTGTGCACGACCGCGATGGATTGCCCACGTCGCATAACCATGAGAGATGGCGACGGCTTGGGGAGGCCTTCATACAGCAGTGGATAAATCATGGCTGATGATGGCAATGGCAAAAGGCATAACGCTGGCGCTGGTTCGTGGAGTTGAAAAGCTCGTGAATGCTTGAGGCCATTATGTTGTGGGCCAACCTTGGAAAGCAACTTATTGCAATTCACCAACTAATTGCACCTCCCCACTCATTCTGAATAAACCCACGACTGATTGTCACTATTGGCCATTGGGTGACGTGCATTGAGCTCATAATCAGATCTCATATAGTGCGACTTCAAGTGGCCATCCACAGGTCTTTGCGTGCGTGTTTGCATCCATGCCACTGTGCATCTGTGCCGCTGCCCCTCCCTGTGTCCACGCATCTCCCGGTCACGTGTAGTGACGCTGAAGGGCCTGGAGGACCAGCTGCTGAGCGTGATCGTGGCGTTTGAGCGCAGCGAACTGGAGGAGCAGCGCGAGCGCCTCATCCAGGAGACGAGCCACAACAAGCGCCTGCTCAAGGAGTTGGAGGACTCGCTGCTGCGCGAGCTCGCCACCTCCACGGGCAACATGCTGGACAACGCCGAGCTCGTGCTCACGCTGGAGGACACCAAGGCCAAGGCCACCGAGGTGCGCGGCAGCAGCACCGCCGCCGAGAGTGGGCGGTGACGACGAGGTCGGGTGAACTCCTCGATTGTTGACCTGGGACGAAAATCAAAGAGTGTTGGGTGTGACAAATGGCATTGGTGATATGTTCCGGTGGTTACGTCCAAATTAGTGGGAGTGTGCCCCGTTGTTGTCACAAGCTATGAAGGGTTGGGTGGGCGACCACCATGCTGGTGTTGTCATCGGGTGCTATAGGTTGCTGTGGGGTGACGCAGTGGGCAAGAGATGGGGGCAGTGCAGCAAGATCCATTGTTGTCCTGTGCTTCTGCGCTCGAATGCCGATGCTCCCTGTTTCCACAAACCCACACTAACCAGTGTGGAGAAGTATGGTCAAATAACTGCCACGACCCACACGGTCTGGGGAGGCCCTCATCCAGCAGCGGATTGACAAAAGGGCTTCACTGTATATTGTATATGTACGTGTACGCCAAATCTCGTGCTTTAAAATCTCACAGATTACCCTCTGACCGCCCTGTCGCAAAAGGTGGCGGAGAAGCTGGCACTGGCGGAGAAGACGGCGCTGGACATCGACCGCCTGCGCGACGGTTACCGCCCGGCAGCCAAGCGCGGGGCCCTGCTGTTCTTCTCGCTCGCTGACATGGCCCAGGCAAGGAGGGGGTCCGCCATCGTTCGAGCTACTCCGTAGCGGCGCTGTCATGTTCGCTCCGGCGTAAAATTTGATGAGGCATCACTTGCCCAGAATGTTAGGCTGCCGTATGTTTTGCTGTTGCAATGCGGTGTTGATGATGATGATGGCGGTGGTGGGGTGTTTTATGTGAGCGCATCTTCAGTGCAGTAATGAAATATGGGAAATATATTCCACCACCGTTGCTGCTATCGCCACGATCACCACTATCGATAATACTCACACTACCAATACCACCAACAACACTAGTACCAGCACCACCACCAATACCAAATTGTGTACATTAACACAACCGTGTGGCTCAAGTACATATCTTGGATCATAATGAGTGATCGTGAGTGCCAGTTAACTTGATACTTAAGCGACAGTTGATATCGGCGTTAGATAAAAGCAGCAGCAGTAGCAGCTGCGACGCACCGCTATACCATACGTGTGCTCGTGTCTCCCGGGATGCGCGCTCGTGACGGCCCAGGTGAGCGGGATGTACCAGTACTCGCTGTCCGCCTTCCTCGGCGTGTTCGACCTGTCACTGCGCAAGTCTCTCCCGGACACCGCGCTTCCCAAGAGGCTCGTCAACATCACGGACACGCTCACGCACAACGTCTACAACTACGGCTGCACAGGTGAGGTGCCACACACGCACACTCATGCACACTCGCAAAATCGCAAGAGCAGACGCACGTCCAGGTTAGATATTAGCCTCCCGTCTGCTTGAAAATGTTTCCCGTGAGAATCTCTCAAGGCTAAACTGTGGCTGGTTGGCTCATAGTGGGATCAGAACACTGAGTCGGTGGTAACAGCTGAGGTTCATGGGCCGAATGCGGCCCACGACTGCGATCCATACAGCTCGCGGCCAAGTGAGGCCTACCAGTTTCGATCGGCCGGCAAACCACATTCCTCCATCGCTGAAAAGCATCTTAGCTGCACTATTCAGGTACTAGAGCGCCACATTTTCGACCGGCCAACACTGTGTTTCTAAATTTAGTGTGCTCAGTAGCCTGTTGTCTTTGAAGTAGTTCTGAGCACACTGTCAACACATACAATCATAGCATGCTAGTGTAGTGAGTTCAACTGAGTCGCAGACGTACACATTTATTAACACCAACACATGGGGTAACTGCCCCTTAACAGAATAACAACCAATGGTGGTGACCACCAGGCTAACTATACTAATTAGAACGTAACTAGCTACTACGGACCGGGACCACAGCTCGGGTCCAGGTCCACGTGTTGGAGACTCTGTAGGACGTATAACGTAGACGAACAACAGCTCCCAGTCCCTCTGGGGGACCCGGCTTATACCCTCTGTGGCGTGGCTGGCTCCGCCTTTGGTCACGACAACCTTCCAGCATCCTCGAGCAGGATCTCAACCCTGACACGTGACCACCCCTAGCCCCCACCTGGGGCCCCTGTGTAGACTTAACCGGTCACGTGTCCTCTGGGGTTAACCAGAGTGCCACGGCCCTTAGTAACCCCATTTCCATGGCCGGCACTCCCACACCCTATTTTGTAGGGGCCGGCACTGCACGCCAAGCGTGGTGCCATCCAGCGCGATCAATCAGCTCTCACCGAGCCCCTCTAGGGCCGGTACTGCACCTGCATCCTCGTGGTGTCCGCAAAGTCGTTACACCGCACGCCGGCATTACACAGTGACATCCCGCGATGTCACTACACTAGGACTGTATGTTTCAATGGTGGTTGCCCACCACAGGCATCTGAAAGTCCTATTTGTCCCTCAGTAATGAAAAGGGTTTCCCATCCCTGGCCAGAAAGCAAAAATAAAAATGACTTGACTTGACCAGTGAGCCCCAAAGTATCGTGATGCCGCCGCTGCATGTCCCGCGTCACTTCTGCAGGGCTCTTCGAGAAGCACAAGCTGCTGTTCTCGCTCAACATGGCGATCCGATTGGAGCAGGCCGAGGAGCGCGTCCCTCAGAGTGAGCTGGATTTCTTCCTCAAGGGTAAGGATCTGCCGTGAAAATCCAAGAGCAAACAATCCACGTGTAAAATCCACTCGGCTACATTTCACAGCTGTAGTTCTCATGTTGGCAGATGGCCACCCAAGTCCATGGGGTTATTGATTGTTTTAGAGTACTATTTCCTGTGAGTTATAAATACATTTGAGCTGTGCCATCAGCATCCAATGGCCTACCCCTGTGAAGGTTATCCCAGGGTCTTTGACGTCTACCTTGCAGCAGATTTTAAACGTTTTGACAATTCCCCACAGAAGTTCCTATCGAGCATTGGAAATTGATCCATCGACTCTTTTGCACGGTGGCTCAGTGGCAATTATGTTGACTTCCCCGGGCGACCCGTTTGCTAGAACACATGTGCAGGAAAGGAGACGTGAATGAATGTGCATGAACACACGCGCGTCTGTGTGTGTGCACATGCGTGCGTGTCATCGACGCGACATCGACCGCGGCGGCTCTCGGTCGCGCAACGGAGGAGCGAGCGACGTGCCTCGTTCCGTGCGCGCGCTGCAGGCAACATCTCCCTGGAGAAGAGCGCTCGCGCGCGCCCCTTCGACTGGCTGCCCGAGCAGGGCTGGCAGGACGTGGTGCAGCTCGCCGAGGTGTCGCCCGACGCCTTCGCCTCCCTCCCCGACCACGTGGAGCGCAACGGGGAGGCCTGGAGACAGGTAACCCCTCCGTGCCCCGAGGGCAGTAGTCACTCGGGCCCGAGCGTCGCTCGCTGTCACTGAGATTGACGGGCTTCGTGGCGGGATGTCATAGCAAGTGGTTAGAATGCTGCGTCTTGTGTCTACATCCTTTCACCCAAGCTGTGTTTAAATATTCGTTCATGTATACGAGTTTACGTGTACCATGGACAGGTTACACATATCTCACCTTTGATTAAAATAATACATGATCTTATTTGTATGCTATTAATCATCGTGATCATCATCAGCCATGATGAATCCACTGCTGGATGAAGGGCTCCACAAGCCATCGCTCATGGTGCTGCAATGTAACAATTCATCCACATTGTTCACAAAATAACAATGACGGTACAAGACGAGTGGTGGCAATGTAGTTGCCCGTGCGGTGATGATGGTGTATCCTGCAGTGGTTCGACCTGGACACGCCGGAGCAGGCGCCCCTCCCAGACGGCTACGCCCACTCGCTCTCCGCCTTCCAGCACCTGCTGGTGCTGCGCTGCTTCCGCGTGGACCGCGTGTACCGCGCCATCTCCGACTACGTGGCCAGCACCATGGGGGAGAGGTAGGGCCCATTGGTCCTTGGTGCCCATCACTGATTGGACGGCGATTGGTTGCCGGTCTCTACCACCGACCACGTTAGAGGCCTCTACCATTGAGCAATCTTAAAGGAGCGGTCTTCTCCATACGAACAGTTATAACCAGTCCTCATCACCTAGTGGTGAGTGAGAAGTCTCCACCAATTACAAGTGGGCGTTCTCTCCTGCCAACCAATCACCAATGAGAGATCCACAGCACCTGTACAATTGAGATTTGTTATCCAAGTGATCTTTATCACTAACCAATCAGTTTTTAGCACTCAATGATCAGAATTTCTTGACCTAAAAATCTAAATCTATCCCTACACCGAGCCATAGCCCAGGGGGCACTGGGGGTAAAGTGGCAACCATTCTCTCGCGAATCCACGTCCATGATGGCATTTGCAATGTGCAGGTATGTCCAGCCGCCGGTGGTGAACCTGGAGGGCGTGCTGGAGCAGAGCTCGCCCATGTCCCCCGTCGTCTTCATCCTCAGCGCCGGCTCCGACCCCGCCGGGGACCTGGCCAAGCTCGCCGAGAGGACCGGCTTCAGCGGCAGCCGCCTGAAAATGCTGGCAATGGGACAGGGGCAGGAGAAGGTGAGTGGGAGCCAGGGTTAGGGTCGGTGGTAGAGGTTGTTGTGGGTTGTGAGGTCCCTGTGGTGGTGTGGGGTTTGGCAGTGAAGGAAGGGGCTAAATTAGAAGAATTAGTTCAGTAGAATTGAAGAGGTTGAAGTGAGTGGGAGAGAGTGAGTCACACTGGTGGAGTTAAAGAGGTAATTTAACATCATCAACTCAGGAGACCAATAGAGAAAATTGCTCTCAGGTCTGTTAAGATCCTCTTTTCTTTTAAGTTTTAAAATTCAGTCTTTAATTTCAACAACCTGCCATCTCTTTCACAAGTTCAAGCGTGGCAGTGACACTTTTAGCAGGCAGGCACAGCTGCAAGAGTCCGGCAGAGGAAGCAGCGGCGTAGCGCGGTTGTCGTGGACCCTGGGTGGTTCAACTTCTCCCCTCTCCATAGCCCACCACCAGGGCCCCCCCCCCCGACCCGTTGTAGGAGCCGGTAGAGTTGCACCGCCTGCACACTCAATGGCTACGCCGCTTGGGAGCGAGGGTTAAAGACAGCGGGAGTGACGGAATTGCGACCACCTGGCGTTGGTCGGTCCATCGGTCGCGAGCAGGTGGCGCTGCAGCTGCTGGGGCACGCGGTGTCACGCGGTCACTGGCTCATGCTGCAGAACTGCCACCTGCTGCCACGCTGGCTCAAGGAGCTGGAGAAGGCACTGGAGGGCATCTCGAAGCCGCACCCGGACTTCCGCCTCTGGCTGACGACTGACCCCACGCCCAGCTTCCCCATCGGCATCCTGCAGCGCTCGCTGAAGGTGCTGGCCGGCACACGCTCGCGCACAAACGGCGCCTGCACGGCGATCGAGTGCCGGGTTGACATCGAGCAGGGTGGATTAATGAAGATGTGTTTTTTTCTTTATTTAGAATTTTTGAATTGTGTTTGTGTCTTATTTTTAAATAGTAATCTTTTATTGTTCGTTTTAATGCATTCCATTTGTGCTTTCGGCGTCGTGTCACGATATGAAGATATTTATATTCGGAAATCTCCCAGCAAGTAGTGCACTACTCCGTGCCAGAGAATGGGCCCAGGAGATTGTATCACAGGACTACTGGTGAAGTCCCTTCAATATGTGTTATTACACACTAAACTTGAACTAAAAACTATTTTTATTTTACGAGGTAAAGCCCACTGAGCTATGGAGCTCTTTTCAGAAGCGACCTGGCCACAAACGATAGCTCAACGAAGTGGCTAATTACGTGGAAATTTATATCAGCCAAATACTCTAAACGCATCTTTTTAAATGTGGAGGGAAAAACCGGAGGACCCAGAGAACAATTCACGTGACCATGGGGAGAACATGCCAACTCCAAATATACAGCAGGCGTCAGAGTCAGGATCGAAGCCACGTACTTCTGTTTTATAGGCAAGGTAGTTAACATCCCGCTACTGTGGCGCCACCGTGGTGCCCATGAGGAGGACGCTTTTTAATTGTTTTTCCCATCTTGTTATTTTTCAAATGTGGAATAAGTGGACTTAACTTTAAAAAAACGAGTTTATCTATGATGATTTTATTCTGTCATTGGTGACACTATCAATGTAGCTTAATCAGAAGTGACTGAAACCATAGATTCAAATACATGACCTCAGAAGCAGTACTGACACACTCCACATTGGTACTGCTGCTGCTGCCCCCCCCCCCGTCCACCCTAGGTGGTGACAGAACCACCCAACGGCCTGAAGCTGAACCTACGCGCCACCTATTTCCGCGTGTCGCACGAGGCGCTGGACGGCTGCCCACACCCGGCGTTCCGGCCGCTCGTGTACACGCTCGCGTTTTTCCACGCCGTGGTGCAGGAGCGCCGCAAGTACGGCAAGCTGGGCTGGAACGTGCCGTACGACTTCAACGAGTCCGACTTCCAGGTGGTGTGGGGTGGCCAGCACGGAGGCGGTGGAGGGCCGTTCGGAGACGGAATTCTGATAAATTTTTACGTCGATTGCCGTATCAACAAATGTAGGCTTACTGAATCCAATCGAGAGTCATTTTAGTTTATAGCCTAATATAACTAGCCAAATATTCTAACATTTAAAAAGACAATCTGTTGCTCTAGCTTTGAGCCAGGCACGGTAGCGCTCGCCTGTGACCCAGGACTTTGGCAGGAAGGGTTGGTGGCGCACGTACATTAGTGAAACTCCCAAACCATGTGGACTGCAAGGTGACCTGGAGAGATCAGCACAGCAAATGGCTTGAACCTCAGAGGCTTTCCTGGATAAATGTAAGACGTATACATGTAGCCCTGTTGTACATCCCTCCTGTGAATCTGCTGTTGGACGAGAGCCTCGCTACACTGTGCAGGTCGTGATGGTTAATTGACCATACTTCACCATGCCAATCAGTGTGAGTTGGTGAAGGTGGGGAGCATAGACGTACAGTACAGCAATGGATTTTGCTGCACTGCCCTCTGCTGCCCATCACAAAGTCCCACAGCAGCCTATAACACCTGGATAAAGTAAATGACAATAAATAACCTTACACCAACCAATAATCAAACAGCTCAAGTCCCATTCCCCTAACCTTGCTGGGGCCGTGTGCTGCACCAGGTGTGCATGGAGATTCTCTGCACCTACCTGAGCAAGGCGCACGAGCAGGCCAATGGACGCATCCCCTGGGCCAGCCTCAAGTACCTCATTGGCGAGGTGAGCTTCGCGAACGAGCGATCTCGTGTGTGCTTACGGAAATTGACCTGCGTGTTAAGATGCTTGGTCTTCACAGCAATGTGCGAGTGAGAGTAATATTGACCTTTATACGGCACAAATCAGTTGAACAAATATGTCCAGGCTTAAGGCTTTCCACTTCTATTATGGCTACGACTCACCATGCCCATCTGTCCAAATGTATATTCAGTTCAGAAATCCTCTTCCTCTATACAACTCCTCAATCTTATGATGGCGCACGCCTTTCTTCATTTACAGCGCTCTGAGATGTGTTCACATTGAGGAACTTTAGAAGTAAAAATCCTCTAGTATTTTACTTTCCTCGATTTCACATCCTTACCCCTAACTCTTTAACTTACAGCACTACACTTACCCTAACCCATCGAGTCCCATTCTTTTCCTGCAAACGCAATATAGCATTACGATTGGCCCGAGCGTGCAAACTGATTCCTTTGCGTGATTCTGTTCTCCCAATGCGAACGCCGTGTGGACCCACGTGCACCTACCGCGGCGCAGGTGATGTACGGTGGGAGAGCCATCGACAGCTTCGACAGGCGCATCCTGACTACCTACATGGACGAGTACCTGGGCGACTTCCTCTTCGACTCCTTCCAGATGTTCCACTTCTTCTGCAACAGCGAGACCGACTACCGCCTCCCGCCAGACGGGCCCAAGGATGCCTACGTCGGTTCGTGAGGCCGCTCGTGCTTCTATATTTTTGTAGTACCCTATGGCTTCAGCGTCATTTTATTGTTTGTATCTGAACCTATCATCACTTTAACATCGAACCTGCAAGCCCAAACTTTGATCCCTGATCTCTAGAACCACGTCCTGATCAATGGGCCACTCTCCTGCCTCTTCGGGAGTGCTGCTCCATTCTTGAGTGACCGTGGAATTTTTTTATTAGCATGGTTGGCTACGTACGGTGCCAAAGAAGTTCAATATACATATGTGTGTGTTTGCATGAACGGAGTGGTACCTCTTGCTCTGTGTAAACATCAAAACTGGTGAGACAAAGGTGGTCAGGCGTGGCCCTGGCCACACCAACCCCTTGTGCTCTGTGCAGGTGGCCACTAACAGCATCTCCTGCACGAGTCTTTTCGGCTGCACGGGGGATCGATTTGCGAGGCGTGTTAGCGCAGTGGTTAGTGCATATAGCCACAATCCCACTAACCTGGGTTTTATTCCTAGCTAGGAATAACACCAATGGACGATAACATCTAAACTTGTTCTAAGGCTCCCTTAGGTTGACTCTACCTTAAATGACTCCTTGGTGTGGTGTGTAAACATCAGCACTGGGGAGACTAAGGACGTGGTGCTGACCACACCACCTACTCACAGCACCCCCCCCCCCCCCAGCATTCTGGATGGCTATACAAGGGACCTCTGTCTGTGTGCGCGTGTGTGTGTGTGTGTACGTATGCGTGTGTGTGTGTGTACGTGTGCGTGCGTGTGTGTGCGTGTGTGTGTGTACGTGTGCGTGCGTGTGTGTACGTGTGCGTGTGTACGTGTGTGTGCGCGTGTGTGTGTGTGCGTGCGTGTGTGCGTGTGTGTACGTGTGCGTGCGTGTGTGTGTGTACGTATGCGTGCGTGTGTGTGTGTACGTGTGCGTGCGTGTGTGTACGTGTGCGTGCGTGTGTACGTGTGCGTGCGTGTGTGTGTGTACGTGTGCGTGTGTGTGTACGTGTGCGTGTGTGTACGTATGCGTGCGTGTGTATGTGTACGTATGCGTGCGTGCGTGTGTACGTGTGCGTGTGTGTGTGTACGTGCGTGTGTGTGTACGTGTGCGTGTGTGTGTACGTGTGCGTGTGTGTATGTGTGCGTGTGTGTGTGTACGTGTGCGTGCGTGTGTGTGTACGTGTGCGTGCGTGTGTGTGTACGTATGCGTGCGTGTGTGTGTACGTATGCGTGTGTGTACGTGTGCGTGTGTGTGTACGTATGCGTGCGTGTGTGTGTACGTATGCGTGTGTGTGTACGCGTGCGTGTGTGTGTGTACGTATGCGTGCGTGTGTGTGTACGTATGCGTGTGTGTGTGCGTGTGTGTGTGTACGTGTGCGTGCGTGTGTGTACGTGTGCGTGCGTGACGCGTCACAGCTGAGGTGGAGTCGCTTCCGCTGGCCAACACGCCCGAGGTGTTTGGGCTCCACTCGAATGCCGAGATCGGCTACTACACGCAGGCAGTGCGCGCCATGTGGAGGCATCTGGTCGACCTGCAGCCGCAGACAGGTGCAGCTTGCGCTAGCTGGCTAGCTTGTGTCCAAGCCACGTGTCCAGTTGGGGGTCATCCATAAGAAGAATTAGAATGAGAACATTTATTAAAACTGGAGGAATCCGATAAGCTACGAAGCTTTTCTTTTCACAGATGTCCAGTACGGGTGGGTTCAGAACATTATAAACAAACAAGACAAAAACACGAGAGTATAGGATAGGTAAACACATCACTTAAAAAGATATAAATAAAACTAAAGTATTTTTTTATCTTACCAGGTAAAGGCCACTAAGCTATTAACTTATTTTTCTGAAGCGACCTGGCCACGAATAATAGCTCAATAAAGTGGCATATTACGTGGAAATGTATAGCAGCAAAATAACCTAAAAAAATAAGGCTACCAAACTTCCAACGTTGGCCGAGATAGGCCTGGTTTCATAAAGGCCATTCGAGTGTCCTTATGCATTCACGAAACTTGGGATTTACTCACTGTTTAACAATATCTGGCCTTGTGCTTGGTTCATGATGCAGGAAAAGGCTGAGTTGGCAGAGGAGTTGGCAGCGTCTGGGAGCAGTAACAAGAACACTCAACTCATTCGTCAATGACACTGCCTTAAAAAAAAGAGAAAAAATATATAATAGGCGACGTATTGGGCAACGGCTCTCTCACATAACACACGAAGAAGAGCCATTGGAGCAGTAGGTTGTACCAGAAATGGCGGGGCCACTCACTGTGGACAGGGCCCGGCGGTTGAGTGGACATGACGATTTAAAATTAGCCCATGCTGATGAAGAGAGAGGGCCGCCAGTTTTCTGCGTGTCCTGGTTGAGCCTCCCAAAGATTTGGTAGCTTTAGTCACGCACGAGTGACAACACTGTGCATCTGGCTCGGTGTATTGTGACGCCAACAGCGTCCAGGGTTGCTCTCTGCGGTGACATTCCAAACGGATCCTTCACATTATGAGTTTAGCCGATTGCACAATTGGAAATTTAATTGGGGGGGAAAAATTTGAAGATGAATATTACCACAACAAGAAAAAACAAACGTTCCCCTGCAGGTGAGACGGGCAGCGGGGTGAGCCGCGACGAGTTCATCTCGGGGGTGGCTCGCGACATCCAGGCGCGGCTGCCACTGCCATTCGAGCTGGGCCAGACGCGCAAGCAGCTGGGCGCCGTGCTGTCGCCCACGGCCGTCGTGCTGCTGCAGGAGATGCAGCGCTTCAATGCGCTGCTGCAACGCATGGCGCGCTCGCTCGCCGAGCTGCAGAGGGTACGTCCGGCGATGGGGCAGCATTTGGGAATAAGTCGCGGGTGGTTTTGTTTATCCACCGCGCATCGTTTTTTTAACGGAAGGTTCGACGACAAAATACGTCGGTGAAAATCGTGCACGGATTAAGCAACGATTGCCAAAATGCGTTTTGTTTTTGGAATCATTAGTTAGAAGTATGCAACGAGTTACTTTTGCTCTGGTGTGTGTCTCCACATTTTGGGCATCTCTTTGATTGTGGGTGGGTTTCAAGAGGCAAAGTCCCGCACGGCATTCTGGATCAGGTTAACGAGAGTTATTGAGTCCCCCTTCATGGATGGACGGCCCGGCGAGAGCTTATGCATCAACACTTTTAACCTTAGTTGGAAAGCATTAAAAATAATCTCTCATAGATATATTTACTTAAGTGTCCTAGGATTAAATCTTGACTTAAAGCTTTCGTGACTGCAGGAATTCATATTCTTTGGGTCTTTCGGTAAAGTCACGTAGATAGGTTCAAAGAAAATAACGAAAAACTACGACGTTTCAATCGCAACACAAGGGTCATCATCAGGAAAAGGGGGGGTCCCTTCCCCCCCTTTGCCTGAAAAGGGGGGGTCCCTTTTCCTGATGACGACCGCTTGTGTTGCGATCGAAACGTCGTAGTTTTTCGTTATTTTCTTTTAACCTATCTACATGACTTTACCGAAAGACCCAAAGAATATATCCTAGGATTACCAACAAGAGTTTGAAGCTTCTCAGTACATTCCTTGTCTTATTATTAAGAGCGTTTGAAACTCGTAGCCTCGGAGTATAGCCACTCGAGATCAGACGCTTGCCTCTTTGTTTATTTCCTCCCGTCGCCTCTGCTTGTCGCAGGCACTGGCGGGCGAGGTGGGGATGAGCGGGGAGCTGGATGAGGTGGCACGCGCCCTCTTCAACGGGACGATCCCGGCCATCTGGCGCCGCCTGGCTCCGGATACCCTCAAGTCTCTCGCTAACTGGATGGTGCACTTCCACCAGCGGCACCAGCAGTACTCGGCATGGGTAGGCCTGCCCGTTTGCTTGTTTCCATACAATTTAAAATCAGGTAAGAGCTCATTGGGGTAGAGCAGTGGCACAGTGGTCAACTCGCTGCATTAAGAACCCGGCTACCTGAGTTTGATTCTGAGCCACAGCTAACATCAGTGGTGAGTGGTGAGTGACAGACTGTATAAAGTGATCGCGTGCCCACCGTCTACAGCAAAGTGCGCGAAGAAGCGTGGTGAAGTATGGTCAAACAACCACGATGATTTACATGACGTTTGGAGACCTTTGTCCAGCAGTGGATTGACGGCACTGTAAATATAAAGACCAATGTCGACCAATAGAGGGTTGGTCTTCAGCATGTTGATGTTCTACTTTCCGTAGGCGTCTTTGAATATTTATAATGTACATATCCCCTTGGGCTCTTGTTTACAAATTCTGAGCATGATCGCATTGCTCATTGTGTACATGTGTGTGTGTGGGGAGCAGTGGTGTAGCGGTTTGCGTGCTGCGCGGCAAACCCAGCAACCCGAATTCAATTCCTGCTCACCTAGGGATGGCCATCACTGGGTGACTCAGCCTCAAATGAGTACCTGGTGCAGTGTGTAAACAACCCCACTTGTGAGACAAAGGCGGTCTGGCGTGGTGCTGGCCACCCACCCCCTCATGTGCCGTGCCGGCCTTCATAGGTGCTTGCTAACAGCACTTGCCCCAACAGTCTGTTAAGGCTATCGAGGGATCTTTGTCTTTGTGATGGTGCGCGTCAGGTCGAGGACGGGGAGCCGACCGTCATGTGGCTGTCCGGCCTGCACATCCCCGAGTCCTACCTCACGGCGCTGGTGCAGGCCACGTGCCGCAAGAACGGCTGGCCGCTCGACCGCTCCACGCTCTACACGCAAGTCACGACCTTCCGCGGTCCCGAGGAGGTCACCGAGCGGCCCGGGCAAGGTCAGCGATGCAGCCACAATTACCACGCTCACCGCCGCCGCTTGAAGCTTTAAATGCGACGAACTTCTCTAGTCCAATAATTCGAGGGATTTTGAATTATCACAAAAAGTGGACGAATACAAATTAATGTTAATAATATAGTTTTTTGTTAGTTGACACAATTCAGGGGTCTTGGCTGGGATGCACAAATATTATTGTTTTGCCATTGTGGTGAATGTAGCACCTCTAGTGGCTAGAGCAGTGACACTGTGGTAAGCGCACTTTGCTCTGAACCCGGTGACCCGAGTTCGATTCGTGGCTACAGCTCAAATCAGTGGGGGGTGATATCTGAACTGCACTATGCTACTGACCAGCAGTAGCATAGTGTGGTGGACATGGGCCCTAGTACAAGGAATGAAATGGGCCCGCCACTGCCCAATTTCCCACCTCTTCGTATTCCAGTTCCTGGACTCCTTTAGTCAACATGCCCCGGTTCAGTTGCACTGTCTGCATGCTCGATAGCTATTCCACTGGTGAACAGTATGGTGAAGTATGGTCAAACAACTCCCACGATCGACATGGTTTTGATGAGGCTTTAATCTAACAGTGGATTTACTCTGTGTTGTGCATTCAGAGACCACTGAGGTAGAAGTCTCATGTTAGTGTTGTCTGTGGAACAGGGTGCTTCGTGTCAGGCCTGTTCCTGGAAGGGGCCGACTGGGACGTGGAGGCCAGCTGCCTGGTGCGGAGCAAGCCCAAGGTGCTGATGGTGCAGCTGCCGGTCCTCAAGATCATCCCCATCGAGTCGCACCGCCTCAAACTCCAGGTGCGTCACATTGCTACGTGGACCGAACATCACTGCCCTTCTGTTGTCATTGTCCTCGTAAACGTGATTCCTTCTTCAACAAGATTGACTGTGGCCTCCCTTCCGTATTGAGTTCAGCTTCTAGAGTTGCAGGATTGTACAATTGTCTTCCTCATTCTTCCCTTGCACTGGTCAACTTTGGAAACTTCCTCCTGTCGTCTCGTTTTGGAAAGTTCCTGTATGACCTCGCTCGACGCTGGCTGCTGCTTTACCTGTGCCGTGCAACTCCGGTTGGGACAAAAAAAACAAGCACTCTTACATCGTGTTGTGTTATCACACCATGTCCACCGCACACACCCCGGGCAAAATGAGTTGACTGTCCCCATTGCCATCTGCTTGCGTGCCGCTGCATGTACACACACACATAAGTACACACACATACTAATGCAAACGATACACTGTACCGAGTTTTTTCTTAAAATTCAATGGCGCTTACACATTTAGTGCTACCTCACATTCAATTATGCTTGATGCTCTGGCCCGCTAAGTGCACGGCTCGTGTCTTGCTAATTTAATTTCAGTCCGGGCCCAATTGAATAGTATCCACATATAGCTTCCACCCCACTGCTAAGCCAGCTGTAGTCCGCTGGTTATCCACGGACTCCTCGCCTAATTATTGTCTCGGGGTGCGGGGTTTAATCCACTCTTGCCAGCTGACTGGCACGCGCTTTTTTTGTTTTGTTCACAGAGCACGCTGCGGACGCCAGTTTACACGACATCCACGCGCCGCAACGCGATGGGCGTGGGCCTGGTGTTCGAGGCCGACCTCTTCACTACAAAGCACCCGTCCCACTGGGTGCTGCAGGGCGTCTGCCTCACCCTCAACTGCGACTAGGACCTCAGCTGTGCATGACGCCGCCCCGATGCACAGTCCCCCCCCCTCGGTGCAGATGTTTGCCCCCTCGCTCTTCTTATCTTATCCACGATTTTATAGAGCACTTTTGTCAAAGACCTTTACAAGAATAAAAAATGATACATTAGTATTGGTGGATGCGGAAAAGGGAGGGGATTTGAGTGTTGGGGAGGAGAGGTGATGTTAAGGAAGGGTGATGATAGGAAAAGGGAGGGGCGAGGTTAGAAGGGGACGGGGGGGGGGGATGATAAAGGACAGGAAGTAGTAGAGGGATACGCTGTTCATCGTGATACGCTGTTCATCGTGATACATGCTGCTGTGCGGTGGCCGGGTGGCGCAGAGGAGCCAAGGCAGTGTTCAGAACAATGAGACGGTGGTACTGCTGAGATCCTGGGTTTCGGAGCCTTGGGTCTCAGCCTTCTGTGATCAAACCAGGTTCTCAAGTGCAGAGATAATGGTCTCTGCCCATTCACCAATGACGAGTAAAAAAAAAAAACTATCATGTTAAATTGGTTTTTACTTAATTCAGTACATTTTCCAGCTCCAACGGCTAAAAGACACCTGGTTGCCATGCAAAAAGCATCTCCTGTCGCAGGCCAATATGCAAAGAGACTTAATTCGTATGTCTGTCACATCATCTTCCAAAGGTCTCTCTCTAACATGGGCAGATATACTGCTGTCTGAGAGTTCCGAATGGAAATGTGCGTCGTAACATGACACCGATAGCATCATAGGACCTAATTCGCAAAAACAATCATGCGCTCGACAAAGTGCAATAACTCAGACCGCAATGGCCACAGAGTTCATTGTACTAGTCCCCTGAAGCCAGAATGTAAAGCATGCATTTTCAAAAGCCCAACTACCCACTTATGACCCTTTCAAATGATGCACTTTTGCAAATGTATATTGTAAGGCTGGCTTGCACACAAACAGTAATATGTTGTGTATGTTCTTTTTGTAGCTTTGTACGGCAGTAGTAATTTTATCCTCTTTCACGTAACAATATTTTTTATTACTTCCGCTGCAGTCTTCATCAGTGCTGCGTGCGTGTGTGAATCATGCCTTCTAATACAAATGTAAATCATGTCGCAAGGTGCTGTGTAGAAGACATTGCAAAAAATCATAAACTCTCACAAGCAAAATGTGTAAGGCGTTGGCTCTTTTTATTTTGAATCATTTTTAAATTATCATCACCATTATCGTAATGTTTTGTAATTATTATTTACTACGTAGCATACAGCAAATCATGAGTAAGTAAAAAAACAAACCGTGTCTAGGTCGACTTAAATAAAGAATTAGATTGACCGGGCGCTGAAACGGAGGCGTAGAGATCTCAGTCGGTATGAGAAACGGCCACGTTGCATACTGCGCCAGGGCTTACGTGGCACGCGCTTACTGCCCTTCACGCCTATGCTAGCGATACCCGGGTAGTGCAAGGGACCTGGGAGTCCATTATTTACAAGCTCACTGCGTGCCGACTTTGCAAGGAGTGAACAGAAGCATTTGTAAGGCCATCGGGCATCAGTGCTGCATTGCAGTGAGCGTCGAAAGGACGGAAATATGAAACGTTCTGAGAGCGTTCAAAATGTCAATTATAACCTGCAAAGCATGCGACGGCTTTGAGTTTAATATTGTCAGAAATAAATACAAACAGATAAAAACAACACGAACGCTAAAATAATTAGTCATGAGCTGCAGCTTTCAGTCAATTTAAGATATTTGTCTTTTGGTGGAGTAACAATTTTCTAACTTGTATATGACTCCACCTGGTTCCCCTTAGCTCCAGCACAATTAAGGATTTACCTTTTTGAGAAGTTGTGACGTAATGTTGGTTACTGGGATATACCTATAGATGTTAGCGTTAACTTATCAGAATCTTAGCTCACCTAATATACCCAGGCACAACAATGTAGCAAAATATGACGGCTCAAAAGAAGACATCTAGCAACACCCACAAATCTGCCAACGCAAGAAGAAGTTGATTATCTAACTGCATCGAAAATAACGAAAAACATGAAAACAGGTATCAGTGCAACGGCTTCAAAATGTTAGAAAAAAATCACGACAAAAATAAAAAAAACTCTAAACGTTGGATTCAAAGATCAGGTCAAACGTATAAAAACATGTAAATGCAGAAGGTGCTGGCATAAATTTAACCATGGGTCATGCTAAATGACAAAGCCTCAGCCCTCTCAGATCACGTTTTGCTCTCCCCTTAAGTGGCAACGTCCTTCTATCTACAATGAAGCCACAGTAATAAAAAAGCATCTCCTCACCACATAGCATTGGCCATTTTTATCGCGTGGCAATGCGGTTGTATTACCACGAAATACGGCGGCTCTTGGAGATCTGGGAAGGCTGAGGTGACGGGGATGAGGGACACGGCGGCGAGGCGAGGGATAGAGGGGATGAGGGACGGGAACTGCAGGGGATGATGGGGAGCAGCTCACACGGAGCGGTCCGTCTCTCCGCGCGCGAGGAGCACGCTCGCGCCGTTCAGCGGCTCCACGGCCAGGGTGTGAACCTCCGGCACCGTCGGTCCGGGAGGCGCCGCCTGGGCCTGTGCGGTGCCTCGGCCGCGCCCCCGTGCGCGCCGGAGAGATGGGCGGGATGAGCGCCGGCCGCAGCTCGAGGGGCGCGCAAGGCGGCGGACGCCTGGGGGGCGGCGGCGGCAGCAGCAGGAAAGGCGCGGGGTCCGGCATGCCGTCCCCGTCGCGTCGCGCCACGGACACGAATCCCACATCCCTCCGCGCAGTCGCCCCCGCCGTCGCCGCCGTCGCCTCCAGCTCGGATTCGTCGAGGACGCCCGTCGTCGGGCTCATTCGCACCGATCGCCGTCGCACGCTCTCGGCGGACCGCTGTCTTGCAGACGACGGTGGCGGCGTCGGAGAAAACCTGCCCGCGGACGCAAAAACCAAAGCCCTGTCCAGCCACACCGCTATGCCAAATCTCATGTGCAGCCGCGAGCGTTGCGAACGAACGACTGTGGGGCATCTTCTTGGTTCTTTCGGTAAAGTCACGTAGAAGGGAAGTAATAAAATAATAAAAATAAAACATAATAAAATAATTCTCACGACGTTTCGGCCACAACGCAAGCAGCCGTCCTCAGGTGAAGACCAGGTCTGTCGGGGAGACGCTGAAGCCACAGATCTGGTCTTCACCTGAGGACGGCTGCTTGCGTTGTGGCCGAAACGTCGTGAGAATTATTTTATTATGTTTTATTTTTATTATTTTATTACTTCCCTTCTACGTGACTTTACCGAAAGAACCAAGAAGATGAATCCCTGCAGTCACGAAAGCTTTAAATCGAGACTGTGGGGCATTTGCTTACGGAAGCCGCGCAATGACCGTCAAGAGCCGTACCTCTGGGAGAACGCAACTTCCCGAGCGTGGACTCCTGGGCCTTGGCTATCGCGCTTTCTCGCCGTCTCCGCGGCCTGTACGGACGGTTGGTTGACGCTGATTTGGCGCTTGGCAGCGTGCAGCTGTGATGTAAGGTAAGCGATGGTGCTGCCCTTCTGCTCCAACTCCCGTGACAGCGTGCTCAGCTTGTGGCTCTTGGCGCGGAGTTGCTCCAGGTACCGCCGTTCGCGCTCGCTGGCGCCCGCCTTCAGCGCCAGCAGGTGGGCAGTCGTCTGCTCCAGCTGGTCACTGAGTGAGCGATTCTCCTGCTCCTGTGCCCGCAGTTTGGCTTCAAGCTCCTGGTGGCGCTGTTGCAGGTCGCCTGCAGCAAAATGGGTGGAACATTCAATTTAATTTCATAGTGTTGCTGGACAGGGCCAGCCTGCATGCAAGCCGTGTAATAATTCACAAACTAAAATCGATTCGTACGCCCACAATAAGTGCACAGCATAGCGCACGTCAAAAAATACATATTTTTCGATTTTCGTAAATGATATGTGCAGTTATGCTTATGTCTCTTTAGTTTAATATAATTAATTACAAACATAATTCGTTATTTACAGAGAAAAAAAGACACCAAAGTCTGAGCACTTTATTTCAGGAGGGTCCTCTCCCTCAGGATGTTGGGCCAACACAACCCTCTCTCACCTGAAGACGATTGCTTGTGTTGCCATCTACGTGGCTTTACCGAAAGACCCATAGAACATGTATTCCTGCAGTCACAAAAGCTTTAAGTCAAGATTTAACTGCCATGTGCTTTTGTGTATGGGAGGAAACCGGAGAACCTAAAAAAAACCCAAAAAGAAGCAATACAAACAATAGAAATGAGATGGGACCAATAAGACAAAATATTGATTCTTTGATTCTCATTTATACCTGGAATCGTGAAAATCTAATTTGCGGGGAAGTGAAACATCACGTGTTACTTGACATACACGGTGCCCTGGGTGGAAAAAAAACAACACACCTCTCAGGTTTATAACTGGGAGAACAGGTGGTCTATGTCTCTCTGGGTCTCTGTGTGTCTCTATGGGTTTCTCTCGGTCTCTCTATGTTTTCTCAGTGTCTCTCTATGTTTATCAGTGTCTCTCTATGTATCTTTGTCTCTCTGTATCTCTCTATGTCCCTCTATGTTTCTCAGTGTCTCTGTTTCTCGGTGTCTCTCTGGGCCTCTCTGTCTTTCTATATTTCTCAGTGTCTATATTTATGTATTTGATGTATTTTTCTCACTGTGTTAATGTTGCTGCGTACCTCCATTTGTACGCCAAGTACATTTTTTCTATCCCTCGCAGCTTTGCACCACCCTCAGTGGCCAACCCGGGTTGCCCACCGCTAATGTTAAGGCTGGGCGTGACCAAAAAGGCCTGAGATGACAACGCATCAGTATGCGCAAGAGAAGAAGCAACTTTTGAAAGTAACAAAGGAAACAAATAACTTAATTCACTTAAAATGTCACGTAAATAACACGAAATGGCTACCAACGGGCAAAAAAATGCATTACTTATAATTGCCTCAAGAAATACACCTCGAATAATTATGGGTATTTTTTTTGGCGACAGTGCAGATGCATGATTAAAAAATAACTCACCACATTCATCAATATCACTTAAAAGAGAAACATTTAAAATGAAATAACAATTTGGGCATCGCTGTTTTGAAGACGGGCAATTTCCTGAAACAGCCTAACATTTCTACATTATATACAAGGAAAAGTTAACAAAGGTGGTGAGTTTCTTTAACATTTGTGGTTATAATGAGTTTGTGTGCGACACCGAAAACCGTGTGCGGTGTCGCATTGCATAAAAACTGTCAGTCTCCGAGCTCCAGATATTGGTCAAATTTTGTGATAAAAAATCCCATTACTTTAAAGCATGCGTGTGTTGTTTTCATGCCAGTTGCTCGCATTGAGCTTTCCCGGGACCCCGTGGGAGCTACTTTGGAATGATCTGAACAGCGGGCAGGCGTCGTTGAATAATGCATGCTGCAGCACGCAGCAAGCTTGAATCATCCGCACAAGTCGTGTGAACTCTCACTGCCAAATAACCCCCCCCCCCCTGCACCCCCCAAGTACTCCAAGCATGCTGCATACAGCAGTCGAAAAAACCCACGGCTCCCATGCCGTGTAGCCAGCAGTCTTTTGTGAAAGGCGATTTCGAATCCGTAAAGGTGTCACAAGACTACGTTTTTAGACTCCCGGGCGACAGCGCAGCAACCCATTACCCGGCGTGAATTATTGATGCGACTGAAGGCTGCTGATGCCAAAGGCTACTTCCGCATCCTGACATCATTCTCCTCCAAAAATAAAAATGGATCAACGGGGCGAGTCGACATTGCCCTGTGCCTTGCCGCAGTCCAGCCCTGCCCATGCAGTGTTTTAGCCGTGCGCAGTGCTGGGACCGTATTATCCAATGGGCATAATAGGCACTGTCCAGTGCTGTAGCTGCTCCGTGCCTAATGCTTGCAGTTCCACACCAGAGTAGATAACGATGCATTAGCGTTGCTGGCTATCCAAAGTAAAATCGATCCGTGTCATTTTAAAACGATTCCCCCCCCTGCCCCAGATGTATTATTATTAGAATAATTAATTTGTTATTAAGTTACGACATTTTAATGCTTTATTTATTGACGGTGTTGTGTTGTGCTGCAAGCATTTGAGAGTAGGAGTCTTGCACGGGGCCAGCGGTTTGTAAGCGATGCGCACTGTAAGCGTGCAGTATCTATTTCACGGTGACTAATCTACGTTAAAAGTGATACGAATCTGACAACAGAGGCTCCCTAGTAAGGCGGGGCAGCTGCAACGATACCGCCGCCAGACCATTAGGAAAATCAATTTGCAATCCAGCGACCTCGGAAGGATAAAACGTGGCACCACCGACGGCCATCGCAGAAATGGATCTCACCTGGCTCATTTTCAGACTTGACTTTTGCCAACTGAAAGGTCAAATCTGCAGAAAGAATGACAAGCATCAGTCACGACATCACGACATGCGCTTCAGTGAAGGAAGGCCCATCAAGTTGCCCGAGTGGTACAATTGTCCATTAGTTCCTGCTGGCTCTTGTAAAAACTACAAACTAAACGATTTTTTATTTTACCAGGTAAGGCCCACTGAGCTACATAGCTCTTTTTCAGAAGTGATCTGGCCACAAATGATAGCTCAATGAAGTGGCATATTTATAGCAGCCAAATACTCCAAACGCATGTTTCTAAATGTGGACGGAAAAAAGGGAAGACACATAGAAAAATCCACGTGACCATTGGGAGAACACGCAAACTCCAAATACACAGCAGGCGTAAGGGTCAGGATCGAACCCACGACCTTCTGTATACTGGGCAAGGTAATTAACATCTCGCCACCATGGCACCCATTGTGAGTGTTGAGTGCACCCTTACAAGTAGCTATTCCTATCTCTACAACTATATCTTTAAATAACTATCTCTATAAATGAATGACAATGTAGAAAGGGCAGTCAAAATGTGAGAATGAGATAAAGTGAGATACTTAAGAATGTCACACCAGTCTACATTTTTGGATATATTGAAGGCCTAAAGTGACATTCCAGTTGGACAATATATGATCGTACCTCAAGAGTGGTAACTATTGCGAAAATGTACATTAAAAATGTTAACGTGGTCTCATAATGTTAAGACTGCCAGAATGTTATGTTTTCACATTAAGTACACTCCCGATACACACTTGCCGATCCTACCAGATTTTCACACGGTAAGCTCCCGATTTTCTCTTCGACCACAAACCGGTTTTCAAAGCAGAGCATACCACTTTATAAATTCCATAAGATATTTGTCGCAATTTTTTCGTGCAAAAAAAAAATCGGCGTGCGATGAAGACGGCTTACAAATTAGCAATCCTGATGTAGCCCCGCAGCAGACGATGACAACTGTTTTATCGTGGTCGCCCATCCCTGCTCAGCTTCCGAGACTGAACGAGATTAGGCACCTTCCGGGTGAGGTGGTCATAAGCTAAATAATCACGAAGCTATTGTGCATGGGCAATAAGTAAACCGGTGATGCTTTCGAGTCCCTTCATACTTCAGCATCACAGATTTATTTACAAGGCTGATAAAGAGTGAATGATAGGAGTCACTAATTTCAAATGGTTATCTCATAATTCACTGTTGTTGGCCATGAAAATAAATTGCAGGTGGCACCGTCAAGTGAATTTTTTCTTTTTTACGTGTAAATCTCATCAGGCCCCATGGTGGTGCCAAGTGCAGTCTCCAACTCGTATAATCCACTCGAACGCTCTCGCCTCTCTATTTACGTGCTATGAAGTAAAGCCAAGGCCACAGTGTTACTGACGAATGTGTTTTCAGTGAAATGTCTGTTCTGTGCTCATGGACTATACTCAAAATGTTACCGTGCACCAGAGCCCCTTTCATGAAGCACCTGTTCCCTCGTCCCCGGCTGCCACCCCCCGCCCCCAGTCCACCTCCACCCCTGCTACACCCGGCTGACCGACCTGTGCAACGCTGCTGCAGGCTGCGGATCTCGACGTGAAGGCCCTGCAGGGTGGCGGCGTGCTCCTGCTGCAGGAACAGCAGGTTCCGCCGGGCGCTCTGCACCTGCATCTCGAGGGGCTGCAGCGCCGCCGCCGCCGCCATGGTGCCCTCCCCTTTGTCGGACACAAAGTGCGCGCGTGCGCCCGTCCTCCTGCAAGAAATTTAGACACCCACTTGTCGGTTGGCACGCACTGGCCGTGGTGCTGATACGCACGTTGGCGCCAGCATGTCTGACGTGGAGCGTCGCCGCGGTCCTTGGCGCCTTCCCATAGATTTCAGCAAAAAAATTGAAAGCACCGGGGGTGAACTAGAAAGTTCGGCCCTCTGTCGCGATGTACCGCGCGTTGTTCGTGAAAACCTGCGGGAGCTAAACAAGCGCCCGGCATGTGGAGCAAAACGTTGGACATCGTGCCAAACAACGAGTGGTACTTCTAGATTTGAAGCTTTCGTGACTGCAAGGATTCATACTCTTTGTTTTTTTCGGTAAAGTCACGTAAGTAAAAAAATAAAAAAAATAAAAACAACTAAATTAAATCACGACGTTTCGGGCGCAACACAAGCGTCCTTCTTCAGGTGGGGACAACGTAGCGACAGCACAACCGCCTAAGTGTGTCTAAGAGATGGCTGTAACGAGTGGTATGACTCGAAAAACACACCGAAGAGCTGTACAGAACAAATGCCGAAAACCTAACGTGCGTCACTGAGAGCAGAGGACAGTTCATGCACCTGGCAGAGTAATTTTTACTTTAATACATTACAAGGAGATGGTGCATAACAACAGATGTTCTGTGCTTAAGAGATCATCCGTTCGCAATCCATTTCAAACCCACGTAATGAGGCATTAATCTGTTAATCCATCTGCAGATCGTCAAACATCTGCAAATGCCTTTTAAAAAGTTGTGACGTAAGAATCCGTGCCACTGCCTTCCGTGTCTCTTAATCAAATCCAGCTTAGCATGCAATTGGCTCAGCGAGCTAAAGCCAAATACTAAATCAGATGATTACTGTATAAGCAAACAACTTAGCAGTTGCTTCAAAGATCAGCAGTCACACAGTGTGTCTTGCGGTGGCGGTGATGGAGTGGGCTTGATCCGCTGCTCTCCGTGCACGTTTGGTAATCTCACATATGCGCTGTGCAGCATTGGTGCTGTTCTTGCTGTGACGTAGACCCTGTGCTGCATTGTTAGGGATGGGCTAATGGGCCGTTGCGCTCAAATACAATTTCAGCCGCAACGTGACTGTTTCCCGCTGCCGTCCCGGTAATCACATTTCAGCTGTTGAGGCCCTGAGGGGAATAGACCGATGTGAACAACCCATCTTGCCTCTCTCGGGCCGATGTGCCCATGCCTGTGTGTTTTTATCGAAGGAAAACAGACAAAAACAAGGAAGCCACCTACACGCATGGGTAATTTTTCGCTGGAATTACGGAATACAGTACTCCCATTCACGTCAAGAAAGGTTTCTCCCCCCCCAAATTCGTTTATATATTTTTAGCAGAGACAGTTTTTTTCTCAAACGAAGGGCATCCAATTTCGATGCGGGTGCAATGAATTCCAATGCTGGTTAATATAATGTACCCACTGCTGTTAGGACATTCCAGGATGTGACAGTTAATTTAGCCAACGTGGAAGTGAGCAGCCTGTAAAAAAAATACACTCTCTCTTGATGTGATGTGAGATGTGCGGAGTTAAATTGAAATTACGGGGGTGGGTTTGAAGTCAGAGGATTTCTTTGCCAGCGCACAAATAAAGCTGCTGTAAGGGTCCTGGGCCGGTAAAAGCGCAGCCAATAACGCAAACAGCCAACTCTCTCAGCCCGCAGCCTGACAAATGATTAATCCTGCGCCCGCTGTGCAGAAAGGCTACTCAAGCGACCAGTCGTATAACCTTCCCTGAGGCAAGCGCGTACTCTCCTCAAAGCGCTGTCAAATGGTAAAGCACTCGCCCGCATTAACGCTGCACTACGTTTGGGAGAAAGTGTGTAATGCTTCACACGGGCCCTGCGTCGTGTCCGCACAACATGCGCGCTAACGCGCCGGTGATGGACGCTGGAACTCCGCGCGAGGCGGTTTCTTTTTCGTTGTCGGGAGGGTGGAGGGGTAACGTCGAACGTGCTCGCTGAGTTTGTGAAAAACGAGCGAAATATTTAGGTTGCGCCGCTGCAAGGGGTGTCTGACATCGGCCGTGCGGCAAGGACAAATCCGTGCGCTCGCAGACGTGCGCACAGTCTTTTTTTCTCTCTCTCTCTCTTTGCGCAGCGTGCCGTAGGGGTACGGGAAACAACAGTGCAGTCACCATTAAGCCACGGCCGCCCTCTTTCCTCCGAGGAATTGACATCTCCATTAGATCGGAGGAGAAAAAAAAAACCTCAGCCTTCACGGTTTGTGTTCATTTCCCATGGGAACCAGCTAAGCAGCCGAGGCAGTGCGGGTGGCAACAACCAGAGGTCTAGTTCTAAAACCCGTAACTGCCATTGTCTGATCCAGTTGAGGCAACACGCAGGCTGCCAGGTCTGTGGGGTTTTCAAGCTGCGTGAACCTTGACATGTGAAATCTATTACTGTGTTCCAAACATTTACGCGAAAGGGAGGTGGGGACAGGGGTCAGTGGCGCTCCCCACTGGTGGCACCGAAAATAATTAAAAGTGCTCCTGAGGGGCTCCGGATCTCTCTTGGCTGCAGTTCCTTGATCAAACGTGAGCCGCTGCCAGTCCTGGCTCAAGGCACCAGGCCATGGGTTTCCCTGCACGCCCATTCGTGGGCTTGTGCCGAAGATGGTATCGAACCGTCGCGTCACCTTCTGCACGGGTGTGCGAAAGCTCACAACGCTCACGTGTTCTCCAAGCGTCAGCCCTTCGGCAAAATATTTTCCTAAAAGTACACCAGAAGCTCAGCACAGTTTTGATACATCAACACACGTGCTTACATTACGTTGACGTAAGGTGAAGGGCAATTCCGAAGCAAGTGTGCTACTTTTCATATAAGCACAGCTGGCCTTGTTCCCAAGGGGTGTACTTATAACCATCTTCTAATCAATCTAAAGAAGACTCCTTGTGAGCATCGTCGGTATACTGTAGTGCGATGCAGTTGAGCCTAGCTGTATGGCACAGCTGTTGTTAATGCTTGCATGCAGTCTATGATTATGATTATTGCTAATAAAACTTCACAGCTATCAATAAGAGATCTGAGTGACCCCGCCACGAGCTTCGTGCAAACCATCGTGAGCTTGAGCTGCCGGCAGATTCCCAGGGAAACCGCCCGTTTTGTTTGCAGCGATCACTCGCCGCAATTAGCGGCCAAGGTGCTTTACAAAGCGAGTTTCTGTCGGTGTCATCTGTCAGCACCCGCGTGTGGTGTTACACGCCGCACGACACACGCCTGTGCCACACGTCTGTGCCGCGTGCAGTCCAGAATTAGTTGCTGTCGTGTTCTTTCGAGGAACAAATCTCATGACAATGTCAACAATAATCAGCAGCATTTTGTCAATCCTCTAGTGGATGAGGATGAAGACCTCCTCATGTAGTGGGGGGTTTGATCATACTTGACCATATTGGTCAGTGAGGGTTTGCGTAGGGAGGGGCTCAGAAGTTAGCCGTGGCCGGGAATCGAACTTTGGATGATGGTGGGTTCATAGTGCAGTGCGCTAACCATTGCGCCACCACCCACCTAAAGCAACTTCCACGAAAACGCAGGACGACTGAGGCGGTGGAATGTTGTATACCTTGTGTCCAACCATTACCAATTGTCACGTCTACAGCAGTATACGAGAATGTGTGTGTCAAGTGTGGGTGTGGATAAGTCGACTGACCGAATCATCTCAGTCCGTCGACCCATGGCACCTGGGTCTGTCCCGTGACCTGCTAGCGGGCGTTCGACACTTTACGCGGCCTTAAAGTGCACCTAGCCTGGCGCAAGCGCCGTGGTGACGTCACCGCAACCTAGTGGCGAATAGCGGTTGTTGTGGACAAGTCGAGTGGTGGAATTGGTGGCCAACGGATAGCACGCCCGGGAGGGCAACTACCACAGAGATAGAGCGATGAGATCAGGACACGTGCAGAAGAGTGAGATGGACAGGACCGCCGTGGTGCAGGAGCGATAGCGATGGCATGGATATTCCCTATTAACTAGCAGTGGATACAAAAAATGGTTTATGGTGATGCTGGCAGGACCCTGTGCTGTGTTGATTGTGCCACTACGGTAAAGCCATCCAATTACTGCACTGCACCGTATTTCTTCAGGGAAATTAATCGGAGTGTTGTTGGCTGCTTTATATGTCCGAAAGTTTAAAGACGAAGCAGCCCCCGGCTCCAGCTTATCTGGGATACGGGGCCAGTGGTGGGGTGAGAGGTCACCATAACGGTGAAATACCGCGAGGGAGAGTGAACTTGGGTGGTGCCAAAGGGACATTTGGTGGCGCAGGGACCACTCCGCCACCCACCCCAGCACCACCCCCATCACTACCGGCACTGCGACCCAGTGACATCATCATCTGCAAAATATTAAATCCATTGCAACACTTGTGCCACGATCGTAGAATTGAAAATAAACACACCAAGTCTCCATTGCCGAAAGAGATCACAGATGCAGTATTTCAATACTGCTCGCAGATAGTTATATCTGGGCATTTAAATTGATCACACGATAATTTACAGCCCACGCCACTGCTTGACCTATAAGGTCACCCATGCCATGTCAGTCACGGGGGTTATTTGACCATGCTTCACGATACTGGTGTGTGTGTGGGTCGTTGCAGGGACAGGCCCAGAACCAGTTCCGAGATGATTTGGAACCGATGTTAGCTGTGGCCGTTAATTAAACGCAGGTCGCTAGGTTTACAGTGCAATGTGCTTGCCATTGCATCACCTGGGGTGGAGCGGTGGTTAGTGGTGGTGGCGCAGTTACGCTCACATTTAGACACACGTTATGTTTACAATGCGTTACAGTGCAAGAGACCTATAGGCCAGACATCGTAACCTTCATTACATCACATCTTCAACTGACTCTGCAGTAATAATGAGTACGTGAGTGATGATGATGCAAGTGATTATAACAAACAATGTTGATGACAGAGATGATGTTGATTACAGCAATGGTTACAACAGGAATAGCAATGGCAGAAGTGATGATGGCAGTGATGTTATTGAGTAAAAATGACAGCGATCATGTTTTGATGCTGACCGAAAAGGAGATCAAGATTGATAATGGATATATTTTTTTACAATGGCATAATTGGCATCATTACTACTCCTCTACTGCAATGATTGATGTTGATTTGAAACCAATAACAGCTGATGTTCATTCGAAATAGATTATTGTTACAATACGGTCACAGAAATTAATACACCGTACATTATGGACAGTACGATATCGTACGGTACTTGTATTCTACTGCTACCATCGAGACAAATAAATCGTCTTGCTCAGGTGAAACGATTGCGCCAAGGCAGGAGGAACATCAATAAGATATCTCTACATTGCAATTAATAACCATTCACTTTATGAGAGCGACGTTGAGAATACGATGATGATGATGACAGCAATTATGACGACGAGATTAATTATGTTGAAGGCTACAGCTGTGATGTTAAAATTACAAGTTGTATTTAATAACGACAGTGATGGTTACGGTGATGATGACGATAACAGCGATGATTGCTACACCGATGATTGTGGGTGGTGGCAGTGATGATGTTGAAGATGGCAGTGATGATGAGTGATGATGACAGCCACGATATTTAAGACAAAAGAAACTATGATCGTATGGTTGTGGACAACACCACCATCAAAACAACAAGGACAAATATCCCCCGTGTAGCCTTTACAGGCTGTTGGGGCAAGTGCTGTTAGCGAGCACCTATGATGGCTGGCACGCAACACGAGGGGGTGGGTGGCCAGCACCACGCCCGACCGCCTTTGTCTCCCCAGTGGCGATGTTTTGCACATCGCACCGGGTACTCATTTGAGGCTGAGTCGATGTATGGGGAGGCCCAGGACCGGTTCAGATAATCGTCACTGGGTGTTGTTCCCCATGAGCGGGTATTTAACTCGGGTCGCCGGGTTCGTAACGCAGCGCGCTGACAACAACATCACCTACAACACCACCACCACCACCCAACAACATCACCACCACCACCCAACAACACCAACAACACCAACAACAACACCACCAACAACAACAACGCCACCCAACAACACCACCACACAACAACACCACCACCACCCAACAACACCACCACCACCACCACCCAACACCACCAACAACAACGCCACCCAACAACACCACCACCACCACCACACAACAACACCACCACCATCCAACATCACCACCACCCAACAACACCATCAACAACAACATCACCACCATCACCCAACAACACCACCAACAACAACAACGCCACACAACAACACCACCACCACACAACAACACCACCACCACCCAACACGACCAACAACAACAACGCCACCAACAACGCCACCCAACACCACCCAACAACAACACAGACAACAACGCCACTAACAACAACGCCTGAAACTCGGACAACGGGGCAAAAAACCCGTGACCAGTCGCGTTCAATACCACACACAACATCGCCTCGAGTACATTGCAACCTTTATCCAGCACCCCCCTTGATTGGGGGGCGCGGCGTTTGTGTGTGTGTGGGGGGGGGGTCATTGGCTCATTTTTAATCGAATTCCCCAATGGAGGAGCGTGCTTCGTTGACACCGGCAAAGGACGCGGAATCGACGCGTGCGAGCGAGAACGCAACGCACCGACCCCGCAGGAGACGGAGCGAGCAAGTCAGCTGAGGCGCAGGAGTGCGATAGATCGATGGATCTATGGATCGGTGATGAATGATGATGATGATTATTGAGACCGGCCGACCCGGGTACGTCCGCTCACCGTAGTCGTCGTAGTCGTCGCCGCTGCTGCTGCTGCACCCGGGCCGCCCTCTCCACCACCGTCTCCACCGTCTCTTGCCGGTCGCTCAGCTCGAGCGTGCGGCTGCTGCCGGCAGCGACAAGAAGAAGACGAAGAAGAAGACGGAGGAGAACGAGGATGAGGAGGGAGCGACGAGGGCGAGCGGCCGGACCCAGCAGCGCTCGGGGGCAGCGCCGCCCGCGCTGCGTCTGTGCGGGGACCCCCCTTGGTTACCATGGCGACCCCCCGCGGTCACCATGGCGACCGGGTCCGCAGGGCGAAACCATTGCGCTCCTATAACGGGGGGGGGGGGGGGGGTGAGATGAAGGCGCAGCCCTGCAAGTGCTTTGCTTCTAGATTTGAAGTTTTCGTGACTGCAAGGATTCATACTCTTAGGTTTTTTCGGTAAAGGTACGTAGGGGAAAAAATAAAAAATAAAATAATATAAGTTATAATATAAATAAAATAATGATTTATTATTTTATTTCTATTATTACTTCTATTTTATTATTATTTATTTATATTTTTCCCTGCGTGACTTTACCGAAAAAACCTAAGAGTGCAAGTGCTTTGCTCACATCACTTGCTCGCAGCAGCTGGGCTTACACTAAGAGGGAGGATAGATAGAGAGACCATATACAATGTTGTGTCGATTATTGAGGGTGTTTTGGATACTCCTTGCACGCTGACGATGTGCGTCTTGAGTGTAAAGGGGGAGTTGGCAGTGCCCAACGCTTTATCTCCCAACACACGCGACCAAATTGATTGGCTGAGAAACTTGCACCGTGGCGATTCAAATTCGCCACCGGGAGATCGACTCGAAGCGGAGATATTCGGATTGTAAGTTCCAGCTTGCTAACCCGTTAAGCACATGCGCGTTTGGGTGTGTGTGTGCGTAATTCAATTGAAGTTTATGTCAGTCCTGTTGTCAATCCACCGGTGGATATGGGCCTCCCCACGCTGTGCTATGTTGACCATACTTCACCACGCTGGCCCAGTGTGGGCTTGTGAGGGCGGTGGGGCATAGACGCTGGGGTATAGCTGCAGTACAACAATTGATTTAGGCTGCAATTGCCCTCTGCTGAAAACGTAGGATGATAGTTTTTTTATTGTGTCGGTCTATAACATGGGGTTATGGCAACTATTGTAAGGTTGATCCAATATAAATGTTATTTTATTTTAAGGTTGTGTGTCTATGAGTGGTTAACCCTCTAGAAAACCGGCAAAATATTCACAAATGTTCGCCTAAAGCTCGGCGATATTTTCCACGTTTTTAATAATCTTTGGTTCTTTCGGTAAAGTCACGTAGGTATAAAATAAAATATGATTTAAAAATGTGATTTAATGTAATTTATTTTATATCTACGTGACTTTACCGAATGAACCAAAGAGTATGGATCCCTGCAGTCACGAAAACTTCAAATCTAGATCATGTTTCTGATCTTACCATCCCAAGGTGATGCGCAGAGCAACGTTGCATGTTTACTGGGATGTCACAGCAGAAACCCCAATAAACATGCGAGGTCTACCGGTCGCCCAACGTTTGCACGTTCACTGGATAGTACGCGTTCGTAAAAAAAAACTAAATACTACGGAGCAGAAACGCGTGGCTGGAAATCGTGAACAGACCCATGCGTATGCATGGCTCTTCTTGCTTGTTATTTCGAGGCACGTATCGATTCGTACACTACGATTCCCGTCGACGCGATTCCAAGTCGCAATTCAAGAAACGCGTAGTTTTTGTCTCGTTTATTTTTATTGTTATTAAATACATTCCCACATCAACCCAAATTGTTCATCGACACATCATTAGCGAGTACTTATGCGTATCATTTGCATAGAGTTGGGCGTAAAATCGTGAATCAGCGATTCCGTTAACCACGATTCCACGCGTCTATTCCATGTGATGCGCGAATACCGAACAAGATTCGATCCTAACAATCGATTCTATTTTTGCCACCACGGTACATGCTAAAAAAAGCCACGATAGCTGCACGTGTTTCACAGAATAGTAAACTTACCGATGGCGCGGAGCTTATATTAATCGGCAGTAACCCATCATTACTCTGCGTATCTAGTAAATCGAGGGTAAGAGGAATCGATTTGATTGTTGCGAATCGGTAGGAATCGATGACTCGGTGTCGCTCTCTGCGATCAGCTGTTGTAGTGGAGAGCGTGGAAGGGTGACCGCGTGAGACATCAATTTCATTTTAATCTAAAGTAAAAGAACGAATCACAATTATGGATTACAACAACAGCACGTTCTTGTGAGTGTATAAAATTAGTGTTTTAGCAGCCACAAGTCTGCGCGCGAGACGTAAGTAATTCAAGCTGCCAGTGTATAACCCTTTCGTATTGAAGGTGGTCTGCTGTGATATAAAACATTGCTTCCCTAAGAAATGTCTACACTTCAATTGTGTTGCTGGTTACTTTTAAAACATTGTTCTAAATCTCAAGTGCTATACGAAGCCGCTTTAATACCGTACTAAAGGGGACAGTATTGCATCGTGGTTGTGTATGTACATATGCACAAGCTGCTCTGTCATACATTGACGATTGGAGAAGCTGTGATACTGACTTGGTATCCCGGTCACAGAGAGTATCATTGGCAAAGAGAAGCCGAACCGGTCCTGGAACTCACAATTATCACCGACCGGTGTGGTGAAGTATGGTCAAAAAGCCTCCGGCGGAGAGGAAAGGCCTTCATATCTAGAAGTGGCTTGACAAAGGGCTTCTAGATTATTAGATAACTCAAATATGAATTAGCATATCATTCCCGGAAGCTATCGTATGTAGCCGCCGTACTAATTACTACCGTCTGTATATTTGTTATGTATTTGCTGCTGTAGACTCGGAACGATCGGGCCTTGAGGGTGGCCGAGCTCGAGTGCAGGGAGCACGGCTGAGAATCCAGGCAAGAGGGTAGGCTCCAGCCGATCCCGTGGCTTCTGCCAGGCCTCGCACTATACCCCATGCACATTTTTAAACAAAATCTAACGCGTGCGAGGATATGGAGCGACGACTTCGGTTCGTGTCCAGGTGCTGGGTGGATTATTGCGTCCGAGGGATCGTTAGAGGAGGCCTTCATCCAGCAGTGGATTAACAGATTATTATAGGGGTTGTACATCTACAGCACAGGCGTGGCAGTTGTGTCCACGAATACTGCACATTGCAACAGATAATCCGGAGTTACTAGTACACGTGAAGCCCTTTTGTCAATCCGCCGCGTCTTGTGGCTTGTTTGACCATACTTCACTATGGTTGTTGGTGCGGGCTTGTGGTGCAACAGTCGTGGGTCAGGAATCGAACTCATAGGTGGCCAGGTTCACCACTCCGATTTATCCGGTGTGAAGGTATTTTTAAACTGTGTGAAGTGACTATTTTACAGTTGAAACGCGGTTAAGTTGTCGTGTGCTGCGCCGCTATACCATTTAGCTTGATTGTCTTCCTGTTTCTGCATAGTGGCCGCTTCCCCGGCAGGCATTAACATGAATTCCTGTAAACCAACGATGAGTATCAGTACAGTGATTACTCATTCACCTATTTTGGGAAGTGATGAGATCGTGATTAATGTTGCGGGCAATGTGTAGATTGGCACCCCCCCCCACCCACCACCTCAGAAATCGGGGTCCCTGTACCGAAATGTTATTTTCTTTCCCATTCGCATTGCAAGCGCGGCATGCCATTTTGCCATGAGATGAACACATTCCCATTTGTAACTCTCACAAAAAGCAGCGTAACATTACCCCATGTCTCTCAGAGAATGTCCCCCGGAAGATGAAATCTCAGAACTGCTTCCGAGCGCCCTTCGTTTGTTTGTTTTTGTGCCTGGAATTCTTGGTGACCGGACCGAGGTCATCAATTCGCTACACTTGAGAAACCCGGTTTAGTCGCAGTGTGTCTGCCCGGATTTGAACCCAGGTTATCAGCGGTACCAGCTCAGTGCTCTCTGGTCACCTCGTTTAGTTTTAATTCATTTTTAAATCTTAATTTTGGAGCTTTCGTGACTGCAGGAATTATTCTTTGGTTTTTTCGGTAAAGTCACGTATAAAAATAAAATAATAAATTAAATAATAGCATACGACGTTTCGATTGCAACACAAGCAATCATCATCAGGTATAATGAAATAGCGACATAGAATATAACCAGAAAACTATAGACAGACATATAAGCAGACAGATATCACCAAGATACATAGAGAGAGCAACCCAGGTACAGAGAGAGGTGATCGTCTCTGTGGGGTGGCCTTAAATAGACAGAGGGGGGCGGAGGCAGAGAGAGGGAGGGGGTAGGGAAAACATTTACATGTCAATGAGTACGAAGGGAGGGGAGTAAGGTAAGCAGGCTTAGAGGGAGACAGAACACACTACATTAAATAACCTAGCAAAGTATCGAAATGTTATGTAAAACGACACAGAGAGTCGGTCAACACACAATTAACGCATTGCCTGTTTAGCGTCGTAGATTCTTGTGCGTGTCTGGAGTATAACGTTGCAAATGTATGCCGCAGGATGGTCACTGGTAAGAAGCGGCATGGCCTTGCCGCAGCAGCGGCCACGACGCAGACGACAGATCCCCTCGACCTGCTGGCTCTTCTCTCACACGAGATCCTGTGCAAGATATTTGCGTGAGGAACTCGCCTACTGTGACTCCCACCATCACGAGCAGCACCACTGTCATTGATAATCACCGCGGTTACCATAAACATCATTGTAGAATGCAAAGTGCATCATCAGCAGTGGTCATCGGAGTCGCTGTCACTGCATCTTAAATAATGTATCCTGCTGTGTATAAAACTGTTTATCCATGGCACACCATGGCAAGGGGAGTAATGAATGAAATAAGGTAAAGAAAACGGATGCGGGGTGGAATATCCACAAGATGGACAAAGAGGGCACCCTTAAAGATGCGGAGAAAGTAGGAGGAGGGCTGGGCAGGAAGGGGGTGGTAGAAGGAATGACCAGGCCAATTTTTGTACGACAGAGGGAAGGGAAGAAAGGGAGAGAAAAGGAACGAGTTCGCAGTAATGAGCTGCACAGAGCAGCATCTATTTTCACAGGGGTCAGGAAGAGGGGGGGGGGGGGCATTCGGTGTGGCGTGAGGCACGTGGTTTACTGGAGGCTTGGGCTGATTTAGATATATAGATAAGCGCAAATTTAATTTAAATAAAAAATATTCACATTTGATTATTTTTGTTTATGTAAGTGGGAAGTCAACAGTTGTTGCCCTATGGATTCACTAATTCCTGCTGTAGGATTGGAATTTCTCCCGCATGCTGTTTTAAGCAGGAAAGTATTTTGACCGTGTGGCTTAGAAGCTGTTACTGTTTTCGATGCGGGAGCATAGGAGTATATTATAACAGTGGATTTTTTTTCCACACTGCCCTCGGCTGTTCACCACGAAACTCGCAGCCTACGTTTAGACTGCACACATTGTATCAGTTGGGATTTTCACCGTTAGCACTGTGATGATGTGCCGTGTGATGTGGTGAGCTGGAAGGCGTGTGACGGAGCAGTGGGGGCGTGGGGGAGGCCGGTTTGACGCGGTGTGCTTGTATTGCAGGCACCTCTCCCTGCGCGAGGTGGTCTCCATGCAGACGCTGTGCCGCAAGCTGAGGGATGCTGCCACTCTCTTCCTGCGCGTCACGCCGTCATTGGACCTGTGCGGGGGCCGGTGGTGGACGTACATGCCTGCCGGTGATTTGTGCCCGTTCGCTCGGCAACTCCCGGTCGGTGTGCGTCGTGTATGGGTCAAGCCAGGTGCTTAATAAGCTCAACTGAGGGCACCATGGTGGCGAGATGTTAACTACCTCGCCTGTAATACAGGAGGTCGTGCGTTCGATCCTGACCCTGACGCCTGCTGTATATTTGGAGTTTGCATTTTATTCCGATGGTTGCGTGGATTTTTTTCCATGTAAAACTGTCAGAAAGAAATTGTTTTTTCTGTCAAGAATAATAAGTTGGAGTTTACCTAACCCTGTTTTTATATTATAGTATTTAACATTAAATATACATCACGTGACTTTACCGAAAGAACCAAAGAGTATGGATTCCTGCAGTCACGAAAGCTTCAAATCAAGATACATAAATATTTTTTCACTATTTATGAACAATTTTACTTTCATAATAAGAACATTTATCTGACATGCAAAGGCCATCATAAAGGTGCAGTGGTAGCAAATGCTCTTTTGCACTGCTCCCTTAGGTGCAGTGCTTGTGATTGCCATGATGTTGAGTTTTGGAAAATTCCTAGATGCCATCAGCAGCAGTTAGATGACCTGCTTCTCTCATCTGGTGTGTGTGTGTGTGTTTTCTCAGGATTGACAGATGGCCCTCTGTTGTCCCTTATGTCTCACACGCCGGCATTGGTGTGGTGTTACGGCCTGCACCCCTACAGTGTGAATCCACGTCGGACGCGTGTGGGGGATACTCTCAGCATACCCGGGATAACGCAGGCTCTGCAGGCCTGCCCTCGCCTTGCTGTGAGTGCGATGCATGGTTTCTATCTCCAGTTCGCACGCAATCTTTCAAGATCCTCCGCGGACGAGGCCAATTGCCTGCCATATCCCCTCTCATCTCACTCACCTTCCCTCCACGCACTCTCTGCTCCAGCGAATGAGGCTTATTGTCGAAGACCACAGTTGATCCTCGCTCAGTGGGAGGTCACTCATTCTCCCCTTCCGCCCCAAAAGTCTGAAACTCCCTTCCATCAATAGTCGATGCTGTCGACTGCCTTTATCCTCTGCCTGTGACTGAGCGTATTAATAAAATATGACCGCTATTTCTGTATGGTGTCTTTAGATCCGGTCATATTTAGGCGCTGTATAAATCCACATTGTATCATAACGTAACACCGCAATGTGTAGTGTGGTAGGGTCACGATGTGTTATGTATAGCTGTCGGGTGGCCTCCAGAGGCATGGTTTGCCTTGCACGGTGTCAAATTAATTATGCTCTTTGTGATGTGCAGTGCTTTTTTGTTGTTGGTGTGCTGCTATTGTGACATCATCGCTGTGGTGTGATGCACGTGTGCTCAGGGCGTGGAGACCTCGCACCTCCAGGTTGCCGAGGCAATCTGGAAGTATCTGCCGCATGTGGAGATTTTGGGAAAATTTCGGAACCGGAATGGAGGTTTTCCAATTCCAAGAGAAAACACGCTGTGCGTGCCAAGTGGCGCCAGGGTTCAAGCACTGCATCTCGTGGGTATGAAAATTACACCTTGATTTACTGAACGTAATCTCTAACTGAAAACCACCTCAACCTGCATCTTCCATGTTCATGTTAATTATTAGTTATACTAAATGTTATGCTAATAAAATATATCTCAATAATAGAGGTTTTTGGGTTAGATCGCGTAAATATAAATGTGTGGTTAAACCTGCCACCACCCGGCACAGCTAATTAGTAAGGTATGTGACGTAAACAGAACATGCCAATTCATTACTAGTACAGCACACCGGTGTGTTGGAGAGTAAACCCACAACATTTACAATTCGAGTACAATGTTTCACCAGTAAATACAACGAGTAATCAGGCGACAGCCAGAATTGTACGGCTGTACTGTACTCGTAATTAATTGGCATGTTTTGTTCACGTGACAAACCTTACTAATTAGCTGTGTCGGGTGGTGGCGGGTTTAACGACACATTTTCGCGATCAAACCAAAAAAAAGCCGACTACATGCTAAACCAATGGAATATCTGTTTTCATGCAAAACTATCTCAGTGTTACGGCACATGCACTTCTGATAAATTTAAACGTTATTAACTGCATTTTAATTCGACTCACAAATCCATTTCCTATGAACCATATATTTTAAATCTACCCCTTGTGTAATTCATCAAAATGCTAATCGATCACCGTATGTGTGTGTGTGTACGTGTAGGAGTGTCCATACCAGAGCTGCCTTCAATTCCCTCTCTGGTCTCCCTGCACCTCAAGTGGGTTCGCTTCACTAACCAGCAGCCCTTCATAAACTTCCACTGCCCCAACCTCACTTCCTTCACGATGAGCAACTGCGCAGGTGCACGTCTGCATTCGCATGTCCACAGAAGCACTCTGACACCTCTGTCTAACCCAGTGTGACTTAACACGATAGCCCGCGTGTTTGTGACGACGTAACATCTCTGCGAGCCTATGACCAAATTGCCCGGAACGCGGCCGTTCTTCTTAAATATGAGAAGCAGCAAAAGTTCAAGTGAAGATGGTTAAGCACGATGCATTTATTAGTCGGGCGGTGGTGGCTATGCATGTGGCCTGTGATTCAGCACTTTGGAGGCAGAGAGGGGGGTTGGTGGATTCCACAAATGCTGTGAAAGTCCCTTCCCATGGGCGTTGAGGTGCCATACCCTGGCTCGCCAGGACAAGGCAGTAACAGTGAATGGACTAATCGCCATCTGTTTTCATCTGTATGGGGATAGAGTGTTGCCCCTCGCACGTGTGGGGTTTCTCCAGATGCTCTGGTTTCCTCCTACATGTTTAAAGACTCATCATTGATTGCCTAAACATATCTTAAAATAACCCAATCCAGGACCCTCCTGAAAAAGAGTTCTAGGACTCAGTGTGGCTCTTCTGAATACATATTTTTGTAACAATCGAATTTATATAATTATAAAGCTCCTATACTACACAGTTGAATCTGTGATAAATTATATTACACGTTTACTCTTACGTCTTGTAGTTTTGGCATGGTTTTGGCCACCCCCCCCCTCTTGTGCCATGCCAGCCTTTATAGGTGCTCGCTAACAGCACTTACCCCAACAGGCTGTTCAGGCTATACGGGGGGATCTTTGTGTTTGTTTGGGGTCTGAAGCACACATACAGCGCTCGTGTGTCCGCCTGACGGTGCAGGCCCCACCAGCTCCCCGCGCTACGTCGCGCTGGTAACGGCTCTCGCCGCCGCTCGCCGCCTCACTCACTTGGAGCTGGTCCGCGTGCCGTTTCCCGGCGGGATTTTCCAGCACAACGTGGAGGACAACATTCGTTCAGGTGCGTCTGTCGTTGCGTGACATATTCGCACATCCGTCAGTGCGTCACGTGTTCGCGGGTCGTGGCTCGCTTGCCGGCCGCCGTGCGGTGTTGTGCCCGGCGTGCAGCGCGCTGTGGTGTGTGTTCTTGCCAGGCGCGTTCCGTGCATTGGAGTGCATCGTGTTTGGAGCCTGCAAGTACGCCCTGGAGATTGACCTGGGGTACCTGGCCATCGCCTCTGCACAGAGGTTTGTAGCTATGGAAACGAAACGAGATCTCGGTACGAAGGGCCCTTGTGTGTGTTCTTCCTCGAATGCTGTCACCGTTGTGTTCAGTCGGGCGTTTTACTTGGATGTCGTAATCGCCCTGCATATTTATCCCGATTGGGTTATCGGCGTCGCATCACGGGATGGAGTATCCCTTGGGGAAAATCTCACAGCAATTCTTCGTTTTAGAAGGGCCTATGTAGGTGGATATCACAGAGATACTCTCCCAAGTGAGCTCTGGTCCACAGTAGGAGGCAGCATTTCCCCACCTGAGCTGCCATTGAGAGTGTAAATTGTCACATGGTGGCCAGTCAAACCCATATTTCTTTTATTTTCAGAGCTGGAACTTATCCACATTAAGTGTAGAACGAAATATAATTTGATGTTGGTCTCGACAGTTGAGCACTTGGTTTAATCACAGGCGGCCACCTGGATTTGAACCCAGGATCTCGGCTTTGCCAGTGCAGTGCTTTGACCTCTGAGCCGCTGCTGCGCTCTGCGGAATTGTCCTGTTCACCTCCTTGCCCCTCCGTCTCTGCAGCCTGGAAGAGGTCAGGATGCAGCCGTACTTGAGCAAGGACTGTGTGTTCACCGCCCTGAAGATGGCCGCGATGTCCTTCCCGCAGATGGAGGAGCTCCACTTGGGCCACACAGATGACTTTCATATGCAGAGTGAGCCCTCGATTTCATCATCGTTGTATATTTTATCATCATAGTCTTCAGTGGCATTGCCCTTTCTATTGTGTGTTGTTACAGTAGCCGCCGTGATTTATTTGCAGAATTAATTAAAGCAAGCAGTCCGACCGTATGTTACACTTGAAAGCGCACCGTAAAGTCGTTCCTAAGGCCAGGCTGTTGTGTTTCGGTATCACAACTCAGAAATATCGCATTTTGTAAATGATCCCCAATGAAAATTTACGGAAGGCAATTATGATATCTTAAAGTAAGACACACCCAGCAAACCAAAATATCAGTTATCTTTCAAGAACACACCTTGGCTCTGCATCCCGGACTTGTTAACCCTATTTCATCTATTATTGAACCCATAACCGGTAAGAGTCATCGATGACTAAAATAATCGCGTAGCATCAGCCGTCGTCGTACTACTGTGTGTTGACAGCGTGGTATACTCCCGACGAGCTGGTGGAACTGGGATTGGCTGACGTGTCCGAGTCTCCGTGCACGCTCACCGACCTGGGAGTGAACATGGCCGGAGAGGTGTTTCCCACCCTCAAGCACCTGAGCCTCTACAACTGCCCCCACCTCCATTTGCCGCAGAGCTGGGTGACAAGTGAGTGAGCGCGTCCCCCCCCCTACCCGACCGTGACGTACTCAGGCGGTAACCGCACGACACTGTACTCAAGGCTCGTCGACGCGTCTTATAGGGGCGCAGAGTGGCGCGGTAGGGTAACACCTGGTTATAAACACAGTTTCACCCGCGATATGAATGTACGTACGTACATGTGAATAATCCTGAATGGCTGTGGCGTTTCGTTCGACAGCAGAATTATTCACCGCGGTGACCGTGGAACCATCCTCCCTCCATTCGCTGCCCCCCCCACCCCCGCCCCATCCCCAGATTTGGCTCCTTGGCGCAACTTGACGGAGCTGACGCTGACCAAGTGCCACGCAGTGCGATTGGCCTCACTCGCCGGCCTCGTGGAGCGTCTGAGCAATCTCATGTACCTCACCCTCCAGGACATGTTCAGAGAGCTACCCAGGGTGAGAAGAGGAATAACCCCCACACACTGCATCTCCAAACCCTCCCGTCAGCCGGGCGTGACCTTGCACGTTTGTGTGAGTGTGCGCGTCCAGAGGTCAGAGCACCGAGCTGACCCCGCTGAGCTCCTGGCTTCCAATATGGGCAGCTGCCTTGTGGATTAACCCAGGTTCTGAAGTGATGTGACGTCGATAGCACGACTGGGATACCACCGAGAGGGAAACTTACCCAGACAGAGGTCTCGCACGCCGCACTGTGCAGCGGCATGCTCGTGGCCCTCGTGCACCGCTCGCGTGCTACGCATTCTCGCTGGCCGCTGTGTGTGAACTCGCGCCCCCGTGATCTGTCGCTCTCTCGCCAGGGCTGCGCTCGCGTCAACCTGAGCGCGGGCACAGGCATCGACCTGCTCGCCAACAACAACAACCACCACGACAATCGCGTGCCCGCTGAGCAACCGCCGCCACCGCCGCCGCACCAGCTGCCCAACTTCGCGGGAGCGGAGCACGTGAGGAACGTGGCGGCCGCTGCCGCCGCTGCCGCCCCTCCCCCTCGTAACGGCAGGGACGACGACGGTGGCGGCGTTGGCGGCGGTGGCGGGGACGCCGCTGACGATGACGTGGCACCGCCGGCGGCAGGGGTGGCCGCAGCGCGCGGCGCCAACGACAACGATGACGCCCTCTTCGCTTGGAACATGGAGGTGGCCGTAGCGGCGGGGCAAGCTGACAACGCGCCGGCGCCTGCTGGCAGGAGGCACATGGTCACCAGGAGGATGGCACAGCAGTCCGGCCGTCTGTTCGCGGGTAAGCTGCACGGCCCGGCGTGGGCGGAGATTTTGGGAATATATTTCTGGTTCTTAACAAGAGGATTTCAAATTCCATGCACGGTCAGTTGTTGGAGGTTACAGGCCTTTCACTGACCAGGGTGGTGAAGTATGGTCAAATAACCCCCCACCATGACTCACATGGCAGGGGGGGAGACCCTTATCCGCGTGTGTGTGTTCGTGCATGTGCCGTGCAACTTGTTGGCGTACTGCGCTACAAATCCAGTAACCCATGTTCAATTCCCACTCGTGGCCAACCAACATCAGTGACGAATATGCGAACCGGTTCTGGGCTTCTTCTTTTAGGTTGACTCAGCCTCAATTGAGTACCAATTGATGCGGTCTGTGAACATCGGCATTTGGGAAACAAAGGTGGCTGCTCGTGGTACTGGCCACAACCCCCACACCCCTCTCATAGGTGTGCCATGCCGGCGTTCAATAGGTGCTCGCTAACAGCACTTACCCCAACAGTCTGTTAAAGGCTGTATGTGGGTGGGGGGGGATCATCTTTGTTTTTTTGTTTGTTTTGGCAGTTATTTCGGGTAATTTCATTTTGCACCCTGCGTAGGTGCCTCGGGGAGAGGGCGAGATGGGCGGGGTCTTGGTAGGAGCGCAGTCACGCCGGACTGCTCACAGGTGAGGTGTTTGCTTGCGTGCATGTGCATTGCATGAAATCGGTCTCTGTGGGTGTGCATAGGGGAAACGTGGAGACTCTTTTTAACAACTCGCTGTTGAACTCGTTTTGCGAGTGCGTTCAGGTGCTGAAGCTGCGATCCTCTTCCCTGCTCGGGGTCACACTGTTGGCCTGCGGGCTGTCCGACCTGAGCTTTGTCAGCTGCCCTCGCTTGCAGTTCGTGCAAGGTACAGGAATTTTACTGCTCCGTGCCGCTACACATTCCTTGGCGCCTCATGCCAAGCAACCCTTCTTTCTCTCTCTCTTTGGGGGCGCTGCAGTGGCGAGATGTTAACTACCTCGCCTGGTATATAGGAGGTCGTGGGTTTTTTCTCGACCCTGATGCCTGTATATTTGGAGTTCTCCGGGTCCTCCAGATTTTCGCTCCACATTTAGAAACATGCGTTTAGAGTATTTGGCTGCTCTAAATTTCCACGTCGTTTCTGAAAAAGAGCTCTGTAGCTCAGTGCACCTTACCTGGTAAAACAAAACGTTTAGTTTAATTCACCTTCCCCCCCCCCGACTCCACCATTCACGTGTCATGATTCAAGGTCATGCTTGGATTTTAAAATCGATTCTGTTTTTGGTTTTGTGTGTACTTGTCTCATTTGTCGGCATGCAATGATGCGTCAATTAATTCAGTGAATTTGATTCGTGCGCTCATCATACATGCATTGAATCATGCGCATGATTTTTTTTTAAACATTTCTGCAAACATTGCCATTTAGTTGCATAAGCATACAAACATTTTGAATTAGAGACATTGCAAACGAGACGGTTAAAACAAGAGAAAAATGTATACATTCTTTCAACGGATCGTGACCCCGAATCAGGGTCACTGGGTGCAGGTGGGTGAACGGAGTTAGAGTATAAATCGTTGCATGCCTGCTCGTCGTCCGTCTCGTTCATTCCGTTACCATAGACATAACGTCCGCACGCAAATTTAAACACAATGCGTTTGTCGCGAGCGTAACAAATGTACGATAATCTATTAATCGCTGTACACTTTGTGCGCGTGCCCCTTTGCATGCGCGTGCAGCGTCGCGGTGCCCCGTGCTGTGCCGCGTGTCGCTGGGAGCCGCGAGCGAGAGCACGTCGCGCCTCGTCGTGTCCCGCTGCCGCCACATGTCTCCCGTTGACCTGATGGTCACAGCGCTGCGGCTCCCTGCCACCGCCGATCGCTACCTGTGCTTCACCATCCTGACTCACGTGAGTGCCTCTCTCGTGGGTGCCATGCCAACGGCCTCATGAACAGCACCTTACCTCGCAGACGGTCTGTGTAGGCCACACCGGAGGGATCTTGTCTCTGTGCGTGTGTTTGCTTCACGGCCATGGTGGCTTCTAGTATATTTGAAGCTGTCCTAGGCCTACTAGGCAGACTTGGTTTTAATGAACTATACAATGTGGTAAATAGTGTAAGCATTCCGCACCTCCGATTAACATGGTTAGCTATGTACGGGTGCAAAAGAAGTTCAACATACATACACCGAGGATGCAAAGGCAACGAGGCAGTCGTGACCACACCATGCCACCACTCATGTGCCGTGCCATATTTAACAGGTGCTCACCAACGGTGCTCGTCTCTGCCACAGCCTAGATGCTAAATGGATGGGCGTGTCTCATCCAAAACAGGTGCCCCTGATCGAAATCGAGAAGGAGGCGTTTGCGTGCAAGCGTGCCTCCTACCTGGTCGTGCTGCACACGTTCAGCGACATTCCTGACGTACGCACAAATACATTTGTGTGCGAGCGCATGGAGGCCCTGGCCAAGGCGCACAGGTAAGGGAGGGGGGACGCACACGGGAGCTCACTTCCTGTCGCAAACGCCCAGCGACATGCGCGTAAAGCCATCGGCACCACAGAAAGATAAGCTAAGGCTCGTTAGAAATGCAGGTGCCCGGGTGGACACTGGTTGGCATTCAATGAAAGCCGTCAGTCCCCGTCTTCTGCGTGTAGGATTTTTTATTTTTTACAAATGCAGTCTTTGTTTTTGGCTAGATACACGGTGATTTAGCGGTTCATAATACACAAGGGCTTTTTGTAAACTCTTTGTCAGCGTCTGTTCTTGGCATCTGATGAATGCCCTTGGCTGTGCTCTCAGGGAATACAAAGAATGTGTTATTTTTACCGTGCTCAAGGAAAAAAATGTAGGAATCCACCATGTTCTTCGTACAAACTGAAACACTGTGCTCAGGTGACCTGTTCACACAACGCCCCCTCCCATCTCCCCCCCGTCAATGCTCGCTCACACTCAGGGAGCTGCTGCAGTCGCAGGGTTGGTCGAAACCTGCAAATACGAAGCCTCTGCTGAATTGTCCAAAGAGTGGAAAACGCATCTTCCAAGGTGACCGAGCGCCCGCCGTTGCACCGCGCCAGCAACGTCACACGTCCGGTGATGTTGTGCGGACCATCGTGCACGTGTGTGACCTTTGCGTGAACACATGAACGTGTGTGTGTGTGAGTTGGGTGATGATGACCTCCCGATCAACTATCGTGATAATTATTCTCCCATTGCTAGTTCTGACACTGACAGTTCTGACTCGTGTAAAGAACTGCCCGTGCGACGTGTGATTTTCACAAGTGTGATCTGCGCTCATTCTGCTCGTGGTCCGCAGGCAAATTGGAGGGCGTAAACTACCGGCTAGCGACCGACTTTCCCTGGCTACAATTTGTGAAGTTGGAAGATGTCAACCCTAGCTGTGCCATCCCAGAAGGTGACTTACGCACGCATGCACATACATGTGGGTGTGCTCACACGTTGACATACCAAGCCTCCGTGAATTTACCTTGCACTTTGGTGCACGTGTTGGGAGAATGGGTGTGCCGGTTATCTCAATCGGTCGACCCTAAACACTTGGGTTTGCTCCATGACCTGCTAGCGAACTTGATACATTTCACATGGCCGGAAAGTGTACCTAGCCTGGTGTGAGAGCTGTGATGGCGTCACCTTCACTTCGTGGCGACTGGCGGCCGTTGCTGCTGTTGGCATAGTGGTTGGCGTACAGCGCTACGATCCCTGCCAGCTGAGTTAAATTCCCGGGCACAGATAACATCAGTGGCAAATTGTATTTGAACTCTAGCCTGGACCTCACCCAAGTCGACTTAGCATAAGTGTATATCTGTTGCGGTGTGCAATAATTGGCGTTATAGAATACAAAGGAGGGTTTGTTAGATACTATAACGTGCATTGGTTCGGGCATGGTGCTGGTCACATCGCTGTGCCAGCCTTATAAATAAATCAACCGAAACTATACAAATTTTAATTTTTTTTTGATACAGCTCTTGTTTATAAGCGACCTGGCCACAAATGATAGTTCAACAACGTGGCTTACCATATGGAAATGTATAGCAGTCAAGTATTCTAAACGCATGTTGATTCTTAATGTGGTGGGAAAAACCAGAGGACAATAATCATGCACGAACAGCACTTTCCTTAGCAGGCACCTCCTATTAGCACGGTTGGCTACGCACGGTGCACGGTTATACGGGGGAATCTTTGTTTTTGTGCTTGTGGCAGGCGTGCGTGAGAAAGTGCTGGGCAAGCTTCTGGGCCGGATGCACTTCCCCAAACACATGGTGGTGGCTGTCCTGCAGCACGGAGTCCCGGCTGAAGATGACTGACGTCCTCAGAGGGATGCGCGCTCATCAATGACGCTTGGGTTGATGCGGATAAAGCGCCCGCAACCAAAATGATGAGATATTTATTTTAAAAATGCAATGTTTGTAACTTAAATGTATAAAAAAAACACGTACCTTGGCTTGCATAACGTTTTCAATTTTGTGGTTTCCAATTTATTGCTCGGAAATATACACAGCCCCCTATACATTTCCTCTTTTTTTTTAATTTAAACCAAAAATGTAACAAGAAAATCTGACATTTGCTGTTCATGCATTTTTGTGTGAATTTTTTTTCTATACTTGTGTTTTACATTATGCATACTGTACATATTATAATATAGCATTTATATAGTCTTGTTTGTCATGGGTTGAACCAACAATCGCGTGAAAATGTCCATGCACTCAAATAATGGCGTATCAACACGTTAAATTTTGCCTGGAATCGTATAAAATTGCACGCATCTCTATCGGTACGTGCAGGTGTGCTTGTGTAGATAGTGTGGTTGTACATCAGATTTGTATTTGTGAGATTCTGCATACGTGTACATATGCGTACATATGTTTATGTATGCATGTGTATTTGTGCAACTACGTATGTATATGCATGTACATATGCGTGCGAATGTGTGTACATACCGACACGTTCGCATACACGTGCATACGTCAAACGAGACCAGTATGCGAAGCGGGGGAAGAGGGCAGGCATACATTCTCACATTTGCGTGTGCACGCAGAAATACAACGGGAGTCTAAATACAACCGCGTCTCGACATCGTAGGGACCACTGCAAAAGGAAGGTTACGAGAAATGTCGCATGAAAAGTTGCATTTGAAAACACCGCGTAAAAGACGAGAAGACGGTCGGACGGTCGTAGCAGGGAAGAGAAAAGCTTTGACCGTGAACTTTAATGGGCGAGGATTCCGCACTACGGATGACTGGGGAGGTAATTTCAGGTGCTTGGAGCAGAGACGGGCTTCTATTTGTTAAAAAGTGATGGTATTTTTTGTTTATTTTTTTTCCCTCCCTGAATGACTGCTCTACTAAAACTAGCCCATTTTTGTAATTATTTCTTAAAATGTAATTTATATGCAAATTTTTTTTGTCAAACTATTTTTAAAGGACAAAAAGTAACAGTGCTGTTTTATTGCGCACCCCAGCCAAATCTCGCATCACTGTGATAACAAATGGCAGGTGATGGTTCCAAGCTCAGAGCACTGAGCTAGCACTGCTGTAGTCCATAGTTCAAATGCAACTTTCAGCTGTCCGTGAATAAAGCTGGGTTCTTAAATGTGATTCGGTGGTATCAGCTCAGCTAACCAATAACAAAAACAAACCCCAATTAATTTTAGTTTTGTACTTAATTGATTTGGGAAAACTCTGACTGAGAAGTATTAGTCTTGGTTTGAGTGTCATGCGATGGACTTTATTTCACTGTAGCACGGTGGGTGTGAATGTGGTGTGTGGATTCGAGGCTGTGGCAAAATTCTTATAAGATTCATGAAACTGAGAAAAGTAAAAAACAGGTTTCAAGTTTATTTTGTGTAACCAGAAGAGGCCGGGACGAGTCTCATTTGCAAGAGTGACCTGGGTCACCACGTGACACATTTTATGAAATTGGCTACGTTTTACATATTTTCCTCCAAATTTGAGACTGCAGTGGTAAAACCCAGCAGAACATGCAATGTTGGGCCAACCTTGGCCTGTGGTTGGAGCCGTCGAATCAATGTTGGCAACAAACATTACATGTTTACTGGGAAGCCAGTATTTTAAATATGGCTTTAAATATTTTTTTGTATTAAAAAAAATACTCGTCTTACATTTTTTTCTCCCCCCCCCCTCTCCATTATGCAATACAACTAGCATTTAACCATGAAATTTCCAAAAGTTGGCTTTTATTGCATATTGATGCAATGACCACAATAATTTTCTTTAAAAAAATAAAGTACGCATTGTGTATGGATTTGTGAGTGTCCCTATATGTTGCGTGTGGACCTACCTAATACAGAACCTCGCTCAGCGCGGATTTATCGAACGCGTGTTTCGGCTCGACACGGTTTACTAATTTGGTTTGTATTCCGGAGCACGGGGTGATGTTTTGGCTCTACGTTGTTTGACGCTGCGATGATTCTCATCTCCGCGTTGAAAAGTTGTGCCCTGAGAGTGCTGCATCTGAAGGTGTGAATGAATGGACTGTGATAATGATTTATTGACCATGTGGGTGTGTGTGTTTTTGCGTGACAATGTAACACGCGCAACAACACAACTGCCGCTTGCATCTCGCCGCCCAATCGGTGACGAGTCATGATGGGCATGGGTCGGGCTGGGAATGCAGAGTCCGGGGCGAGCGTCGGGTTGAGAATGCAGAGTCCGGGGCGAGCGTCGGGTTGAGAATGCAGAGTCCGGGGCGAGCGTCGGTCTGGAAATTCAGAGTCCGGGGCGAGCTTCGAGCTGGGAATGCAGAGTCCGGGGCGAGCGTCGGGTTGAGAATGCAGAGTCCGGGGCGAGCGTCGGTCTGGAAATTCAGAGTCCGGGGCGAGTGGCAGGTTTGGGAATGCAGAGTCCGGGGCTCGCGTCGGGTTGAGAATTCAGAGTCTGGGGCGAGTGTCGGGTTGAGAATTCAGAGTTAGGGGCCAGCGTCGGGTTGAGAATTCCGACTCTTACTACTAATATTATCATCATCATCATCGGGTTGTGTTTGCGCGTTCCTCTTTAGAAACAATAAAATGTTTAAAAAAAATAAAAGTTTCGTGGAGCCACCCTTTCCGTACAGGCACCACGCGCGCCGCGGCCACCACAACGCCGTGGGCGGGGTCCTCGCGGCGAGGGCGACGGGGGGGGGGGTCATAGGTCAGCGTGACGCGTGCGGACGGAGCGCCGTGCCGACTTTTGCTTGAATTTTGTGCGCTCGAAGCGGCGAGCGGAGAATAATCGCGAGGTTCACAGCGGGGCACAAACGATCGGAGGCGGTCAATAAACATCTTGAGCCCGGGGTCCACTTCAAGGGGAGGCTTTCAGCTACTTGGAATCGACGGCGATTTGGTAAAGGTGAGAGCAACGCGTGGTGGTGGTGGACGAGGACGAGGAGGCCTCAAACTCGGCGGCGTTTCGTTTACCACCACGAACGACTTAAGAGAGATGAACTACAGTACGAAATAAACATTTGCACGGTGGTTGTGAAGCGGGTCGTCATTTAACGGGGACGTCGCCGCAAGATTGAATGGGTGGGGAGGCTCGGAGCGGGCCCCAGACGAGAGCCGCCTCCTCACGTGGGCGCGGGGATCTCGTTCCGACCACACGGACTCCTACCACACTCGCTCTCTCTCTCATACACAAGCGTGCGTCATGTACAAGGACCATTGCCCGAAACGTCCGGTCTTTATTTATGTTCATGTACACTTATTGACGGAGCGTGTTGAGTTTTTTTTTCCTTCCCGTGATGTTTTTTGTGTTTTTGCCACCACCGTCGTCGCGAGAAGTTACGTAGTGGGTTGATTGCAGTGAATTAAATCGCTCACGTCAGCGAGCGATTCAATTAATTGGTATTTTTGTTGTCAAGAAGCTCGTGGGTCTGTGGGGGAGTCTCTTTACGGGTGTGGTTTGGTTCGCATTGCAAGGCCGACACGTAATCCACGACCTCTGTGCAGTTTTAATTTAGAATTGCATCTGCAGTGGTATTCATTTAAATCGCAGCGTTCGTATACAGTATTAGTTATCCTTAAGGTTTTTTGTTGTTTCTCGTATCCACGACAGTGATAAGATTTGTTTGTATTTAACGCAGGTGAGAATGGGCGCCTGAATGGCGTGGCATTTGTTTTATTTTTGTCTCTCTATGGAATAACTTTGCACGGGGGGTATAACGCAGTATCTATCGCGGCTGGCCGTTATCATCCATCATCGCTGTGCTGTAATAAAGTAAAATGACATTCTGTATTAAAGCTTTGCCGTCTGCTGCAAGGTTGGCATTAACGACGGCGACGTCATCGTCATCATACGAATGCGTCCGTGCATTATGCGCCACCGGTGTGGAACAACTGTTTGCTCATGTCTCGGTTGAAAGACTCTACATTAAAAAAACGTTGTCTCACCCGGTTAACGTTAAGTGGCGTTGTACAGTACTATATATTGTCTTTCAGATGTACTGGCCTCGGTCATAAGAAAGTGGAATTCCCCCCCCCCCCCCCCCAATCCTGTCCTTGTAACAAATCACCCTCCACTCTGCTGTCTACATTGTGGGGATTTAAGAATCGATTCATGTTCCTATAAGTCTTAGCAGTCTCGGCTGTACTGTCTGATTTTGACGGTCTGCGCTACTACTGTCTAGGTTGTACGTGTAGTATAGTATTATGTTTAATCCTCTAAAGCTCAGTGTGGCTCATTCCAAACAGTACCACCATTGTTCAATCGCAATTTGTTTTAATCGTGCTATTAAGATTACGTGCTTGTATCTCGAGCGTGTGAATCGATTTCCATCGATACACCACGCATTGTTTTGTTGACTGCTGGATAAATGTCTACCCAAGCCGTCACCATCTCTCACGGCATCGCGATTCATCCAGTCCATGTCCATCTTAACCACTTTCGCGCGATACGATGCCATTGATCCATCCTTTTGGCTGCTGCTCCGTCAAAGTCTCGACCGCCGGAACTCGCCGTTCCATTGCCTTCGGATTTTAAATGTCACTTTTACTCACCAGGGGGCGCCCACTTTGAGCTCGGCTCACACATCGCGCCGACCCCAGACCACCGCGCCTCGCCCCAACGCTGGGGCAGGAGCAGAGAGTCGAGACCAAGCGTGCGTCTCGCATTCATAGCCGAAGATGTCCGGTTCCACAGAACCCGCCAAGGCCAATGTCTCCTACCCCATGAAGGTCCTCTACTGCGGAGGTACGTCGACTCAGGGCTACGGTGCAGTAGCGTAGTGTGATAAAAAATGTAAACATCGGCCATTTGTGTTTTAGTTTCTATTCTCCCAACTGTAGTCTTGTGCTTCTCCACGTTTATTTCCACGTTTTGGATTTTCTGGGGCAGAGCGGTGGCGCAGTGGTTTGTGTACTGCGCTATGAGCCCAGTGACCTGACTTGGATTCCCAACCACGGCTTAGGTCAGAGGCGAGTGGAATCTGAACCGACAACTCGTACCGGTTGACCAGCGTCGTAAAACGTGGTCATGGCATGAGGGAAGCCTTCATTCAGCATTGAATTTGCAAAAGGCGGCAGTTTAATTTATTAGGGGTGGTGCCATTGGCTGGCAGTAGTGGGTTCACCGCTTTGTTGCACAGAGTCACGTTTCGATTCTGACAGGCCGCCCTGGCTAATGCTGCTGGTATATTGACCGTGAAATAGCCATCCTCAGCTTCAGAGTGAATGTTAAAGATCCCCTGATGTCATTTAAAAAACGAGTAGGCCATTGTGTGCCGGCGTCGAAATTTGCCAAATTTTAACGACTCTAAAATGACTTAACTGGGAAGAACAGCAATCGTCACCTCGACTGCGTAAACTTTGCATGACCCTCCTGAGTCTTGAGACTCGGTGAGGTCTTTTTTCTGGGTAAACAAGCGTAATGAAAATAATCGCTTTACATCTGGGCGGGAGAGATTGTTGAACTGTGAGACTAGAACTGTGGAGCGTGCAGTTTATAGGAACTGACTTTTTGGAAACCCACATGGCTTAAACTCACACGTACGTATGTTGAACTCATTTCGCATTGTACGTAGCCAACCGTGCTACTCGGAGGTGCGCAGGCTGCAATTTTAAGTACACTCTTGTGTTTTTATTCATAAAAGTAAAGTGCTAATAGTAACAATTGATGTTTGGGTGTGATGTGATCACCTTTTCTCTTGCTCTAATCACATTTTGAATTTGTTCTCTTCGCAGAATGTTCCTTACCAATCGAGGTAAGCATTTGTTCGCTTTTCATGTTGTTGTAAATGTCACTGTAAACGTGTTGAACGCACTTTATAATTGGTTGGATTTTTTGTAAAATACTGTGAAAAGTAATGCCATAGCATAATTGTGTTGTCCCGTTTCGATTTGCAGTACTGCGAATACATGCCACAATATGCCAAATGTAAGCAGTGGTGGGAGAGAAATTTTCCAGATGAGTTTGCAAAGCTCAACCTGGGTGAGTTTCACACGGAGCTTTAATATCCAGTGGCACCACCAACATATCCCATGAGTGTCACTTTCAAACAAAACATGCTGCACGCTCGTCACATTTACAACATGATTGCACCTTACGTGTTTCTGATCTCTATTCATCATCAGTCACGATCAATCCACTGCTAGATGAATGCCCTCCACAAGCCGCCGCCATTTCTCACAATCATTTTATAATCCACCCAGCAACCTGCACACAAGCTGATTTTGATGTCGTTATTTTTGAGCGTCGTACAATACCCGTGTGCTCCGAATAAGTATCCATTCCATTTTTTACACATCCGTCAAAAGCAGCGTACCACCTGTAGTAATCGCTTTCACTACAATCTTTAAGTCCACCTGGATGAGTTGACCGATGCCACTTGCCAAATGAAATGAAAAACTGTTGGAAGAGATGCTGCCACGTCGCCTATGATACGGAGGTAACGGTGTCTTTCTGCACACGGGTGTTGTGGCGATCGGTAGGGTCCACTCCAATGACATATGAAGGTGGAAGTCGGGGAGGAGGAGGAGGAGGCGAAGGTGGGGAAGTGGGCGGAGGAGAGACACAGGAGGGTGTCATCGAGGAGGATGAGAAAAAGAGGCAAAAACGAGGTTTGTATTGATCGTACGAAATGCGGACTTCAAAATGTAACGTTGACACTGAATACTCTTCCCCAAAATATGCTGCAAAATGACCATTTGGGTTTCAACAGGTGGCAAAGGGCAGATTAAGCAGAAAAAGAAGACCGTCCCACAGAAAATAACAATTGCAAAAATCCCGCGCGCCAAAAAGAAGTACGTCACAAGAGTGTGCGGCCTTGCAACGTTCGGTGAGTGCCCACGTGCCTCTGTGTCACTACAGCAGCCTCTTGAAATTGTTTTTATGACTTTTATGTATTCCCGCTGCACTTTTGCTGCAACATTCGCAGCAATGTTCTGCTTTTAGGTGTCTCTTAAAAGCCCCACCTCTTCGCTTGGCCTTCGAGTGACAGTGAGCTTGGTTTTGCACCTCAGTCACGCGTCATTTGTGTCCGTGAAATATTGTGCACGTTATAAATTGCCTTGTAAATATTCTAACTCACAAGAATAAATATAGTGTCATTCAGAAAAGCGTGACTGAGTGTCAAAGTTTTTTTTTCAGAAGTGTTCAGCATTGGGGTGTTTAGCCGATTCCTTTTCAAAGTCACGGTTTAATGAATAATATTGTGTGGCCAACCGTTAACTTAGCAGGCATTATAGGACCTCCTTTGCCAGTACCAAAATATAAGAATACGTTTTTCCCCTTTTTTCTGGAAACAAAACTGAAACCTTTTTACAAGGCATCATGTCTGCATTAACCACAATACTTGTGGTCGGAATGCAAACAAAAAACACACTGATTATAATATATGCATTGTCCTTGAAACTGATTGTTCCACACCAGAGACATCTTTCTTTTGAGCCTCGTCTCAAACAGTACTAGACCAGAGGACGCCAAAAGGCATTGCCTGAGCTGCGTGATTTCTAGTATCGTATGAAGCTTCTGGGCGTGGTACGGTTTCCTCACTTGGTGACAGACATCGAGCTTAAGGAGGCGCAGAAGCTGTTTGCGCAACGCTTCTCGTGCGGCGCGTCCGTGACGGCCGAGGATGAGATCACCATCCAGGGCGACGTCACCGACAGCATCATGGACGTCATTCAAGAAAAGTGGTCCGAGGTGCGTCTCGTAACGCAGCGGTAGGGAAGAGGGGAAACCGTTCCCTTGCCGAAAGCCAGGCAGGACTGTGGGAACGCCTTTTGGCGGGGTGGGGGGGCTACAACATTGTCAGGCACATACTCTTTGGTTCTTTCGGTAAAGTCACGTAAGTATAAAATAAAATAAATCACGACGTTTCTGGCACAACACAAGCGTCCGGTGATGACGGACACTTTTGTTGCACCTGAAATTCGTGATTTATTTTATTTTCTACCTACGTGATTTTAACGAAAGAACCAAAGAGTATGGATTCCTGCAGTCACGAAAACTTCAAATCAAGATTGCCAGGCACGTTCGTGGTTGTCCAATAATGACGCGTGTAAGAATGCGTGTGTCAACTGGGCATAAAAAAAGGTGACCAGGAGTGACTGGTTGTGCTGGTATCAGAAAGTGTGTTGTTGGCAGGTGGGAGTTATTCCCTCCTAGTACTCGTTTAATGCAGCTAAGAAGGCAGTGAGTGTGGGGAGGCCTTCATCCAGCAAGTGGATAGAACATGGCTGCTGCGGATGATGATAGTAATGAGTGCCTTTTTATATTTGTCTTTTTACAAAAGAGAGAGAAAAGGACGGTTGCCATTTTTTGGTAAGTCTTCAATTCGTTACTTGCGAGGCGTGTTACGACCTTTAAGTAATGTTTCAACGGGGAAGCTTTGTAAGCATAAATAATAGGCGGGGACCGTGGTACGTTGCGAGTACAGGGACCTGAGAAACATTTTGCTTAATCGAACGGTCGCGCTTTGTCTCTATCTGCAGGTGGACGATGACAGCATAGAAGACCTGGGAGAGGTGAAGCGGTAACAGCGTTGGCATCCAGACCCGGACTAACCCCCTCCTTACATCGTAACCAACAAGAAATAAGACTGTACCCGTGCCCACACTACTGTCGAGGAGCGCGTAGCGGAGACCGCGTGGGTATGCACGGAACGCACGGGGCCGTACGTAAATTAGACGCAAAAGGGGTGTAAACCCGCATCGTTGTCAACGTGACTTTAGAGTTCAGTTTTCTGGAAATCTGTAACTATTGTCGAGCAACAAAAAAAATAAAGTAATAATGACACATCTGCTACGAGATAGGTTTCCTTTTCTGTGTTTGAAAAAAAAAGCACCCCAAACTTTGACTTATGTTGCCAATTTTATTTGACTCTGCATGTTTGTTTATTTTGCAAAAGTCCGTTTATGCTTTGGAATTGTGCAAAACAATAAATGACTTTCTCAACACGGGGTTTGATGTGGCCGTAGTATTTTTACATAATTAGCACGTTGCATCATTTTCATTGTACCTTTTATCGGTAAATATATATTATGTCCAAGTGAGAGCCTATTACGAGACCAGGGCTGAATTTTATCCAAGTCTGGGCTAGTCGCCCAAGAAATAATTCTATATTTAAGGATACCGCACCCAGTCCAGATCTGCAGTCAATACACCTCAACTGATGAAGGAGCTCCCTCACAGCAACACAGGCACTTAACACACCTGAGACCACGTGCGAGGAGATGCGGCGTGAGCGACTTGGACACCTTGGTGCTGACAACAGCATGGGCATCGAGGATAGTGAATGCCTCTCCACAGGGGCAATCCGCAGGCTTGGACCACATGGAAAAAACTCTAAACAGACTTCGCACCCAAGTCGGCAGATCAAGATCCAGCCTGGCCACATGGCACTACTCCACAAAATCAGAGATGTGACAAGAGGCAGACCATGCAGACGACATCTCTTGTTCTGTCCACTGCTCGAGGAAGCCCCCCCTGTACTTTGCAAAGACATTTTACTTTGATGGACAGACGAAAAGAACACGGTATTCGTCTCAGAATGGTTGTGGCTACTGGTCACGTGCCTCCTCTACCAGTGCCCCACAAAATATATATTTTATTTAGAACACGGAAAAAATTGTACCTTTGACTAAATACTACAGTTATAAAGGGTGACAATTATCTGTAAATCCCACATCTTAAAATTTCACTGACATGCCTCTACAGATCGCAAGGCACAAATAGCCAGAACCGCACGCAATAAATCATCAGTGAGACCTTGTAAAGAAAAGTGAAGATAATCGACGCAGCCGACGTCTAGGACGTGTCACATTGAGACACTGGAATTACGACACCCAATGTAGATTTCCTCTGCGTCGCGCGGTCCTATCTAGTGCCCACGGGAGAGCGAAACCCATGAAACCCATGAATTTTTTAAAGGCGACCGCAGCCACACAATCTAGCGATAGCCTTCCACCTTATCACTAATGCAGGAGGCTGGCTATAATGTGTCGCTCGTTACACGACTGGGAATCTGGGATCGGGATGTCATACAACAAGGAACGGCGCCGGCGCAGTAAACACGTCTCCCGCCCGCATGCGCGGAGGGTCTGGGCACCTTGGGGGACGACGCTCGGCTCCTCGCTGCCCGTTCGATGCTGTGCTCGGTGCTACTCGCTTCCCACGCAGAGGAGTTGCACTCAGATGGCCACCACTGCCTGGAGGTGAGGGGAGAGTGGTCGTCCTCGCTTTGGCTTCGCGCACGCACGGGCAACCGAGGTGTGAGGTAGGCAGGGAAATTCGTGGGAAAGGGACCCGGTCTTGGCTGCGCAGTCAGCTCGTATGAGTTCGACTCTCGAGGAGGGGGGTGCGTGAGGTGTTGACCGTTCGAGATGTCGCGCCTGTTTGCGAAGAGGTGGTTAAAGTAGTGATGTCAAGAGTGGAAAATAAAGTCACGGCTAATTTAGACGAGGTGGTCCCCTCGTGCAACGCGTTCTGCTGCAAGTCGCAAACATTAAAAAAAGGTGAGCCAATTCAAATATAAATGTTCATTTCTTTTTTGCGTGCCATTTAAAAAAAACTCTTTAAAAAAAAAGCAATGTTTACCACAGTGAGGACACTCCGATTTACAAAATCCTCAGCTCTTGACTCATGGGCCAGCTGAGGTTTACAAAGAAAAAAAAACCACCACCGCATACCTGTCCGCTGCTAATTTGGCAAATTGCAGACAAGGTGGGGGGGGGTCTCAATTTGAGCCAACACCCCTCTCGCCCATTGTGCCCCGCGCCCGCCGATGAGATCAACAGCGGAGCTGTCACGTCGGAACGTGACGCGCTGCAGGTCAAACAATGTGAAACACTCAATCGGTTCAATTCATCCGGTTGGTCTCTATGCGTCAATTGATCCCACGGTGTTTCTCGCCGAGCGTTCCTCGCTGACGGAGATCGCGTAACCTTCTCTCGTAATGGGATCGCCGAGAAAGATTTGACGTTCCCCTCTTAATCACCGAAAATGCACGTTCTGTGTGGCCTTTGACCGACAGCGTTTTGGGAAATGGTGATCGCGCTACACACATCGCTGACATGTTGTACACGCACGTATTTATACGTACGCAAGGTGAATTGTTGCTGGATTTGTTGAAATGTTTCATGGCTTTATTATGTTACGATTACCTGAGGTCAATAACAATGAAAGCAGCTGATAATGCTTTTGACCAGCTGATCTCTTTCATAACAAAAGCAGCCGGATTAAACAATTCATATCTTTGATTTCTGTCTCCACCAACAGAAAAAGAATCACACAGTTTTTTTTATTACATTTTACGCGAGACGCCTCTTTCATCATCATGTAATATATTTATTTAGGAAAACTTCCTTGAATCTCAATACTTTTTTTCAATCGTGTCCTGGACCAGCGGCTTCCTTATTAATGAGGGCCTTTGTGTGTAGGCAGGTAACGAGAGAGTGCCTGGAGCAATGTCTAGGCCTACAAGGGAATGACACTCGCAAAAGCTGTCTCTGCTCTATCGTCAAAAGTTCTAGCCGGTTCTATGTTTTTCAAATGGAACATACAACATTAAAAAAAATTTAGCCGCCCCCCAAAATAGGGGGGACATTTGCTTTGTTACCTAGACGCACGAAAGTCTGTATTTATGATAATGATAAAAAAAACCCATCAGATTTTAAAGTATTAAAATCTAAAGACCCCCCCCCAAACATTTTTTGTGGGGCAACAATGTTTTAATGTTTTTGAAAAATCTAAGCCCACGACGGAGGTTTAGAAGTGTACTTAAATCAAATATGGCATCAGGCCATCGATGTCTCATTGTTGCAGACACTCCGTGACACGAGCAGTTATAAAGGCAGCAGAGCGCACCACGAGCTCAAAGCGTAAACATGCTTTACAATTTCCCTACAATCCAATGGGCACAGCCCCACAAGATAATCTCTACGTGAAAATTTATCCGCATGTACGTTTGTATATTAATTGGGAGAGCCAAAGTAAATTAAGCGCGTTGCAGGGTGACTCGTCGTACGGAGTGACTGGTTGTATGGATTAACTTGTTGTACAGAGTGACTGGTTGTATGGATTAACTCGTTGCTACGCATGCTGCCCTGCTCCTCCGCAGCACCGGGTGATGCCACTGTAGCCCCCGCACCGCTGCCACCGCCACCGCCGTGCCCACCGTGCCCACCGTGCCATGGAGCCCCTCCTGACGCTGGCGCCGCTGCTGCTGGCCGCGATTGCCCCGGCGGTGCGTGGGTGCCCGCCGCACTGCTCCTGCTTCAGGAGGACCTCCGAGGTCTTCTGCGACAGTGCCAACCTCACGTCCGTGCCGTCGGCTCTGCCCGCGCACACCGTGCGTCTCTCCCTGGACCGCAACGCCATCGCCAGCCACAACCTCGACCTCAGGTGCTTCGCGTGGCTGCGGAGCCTCCATGTGGGCAGCAACGGGCTGACGGCCTTCCCGCGGGCCCTTCCGCCATCCCTGACCAGCGTCGACGTGAAAGGCAACAATCTGACTTCGCTCGGCAGGGACACCTTCGCCGGACTCAAGTCGCTGAGGACTCTGGACTTAGAGGGGAACCAGATTACGTTGGTGGACGACCGGGCGTTCTCGGACCTGCGGGGGCTGCAGGACTTGAACCTCCGCGGGAACCAGCTGAGAAGCGTCCCTGCCAATCTCCCGCCGTCGCTCGTCAAGATCGATCTGTCAAGGAACAATATTGTCCAGCTGACTGGTGCTGTCTTCTGGGGCTTACTCAACCTCGCGTCTCTTATCCTGAGTGACAATGCTGTCCAGCGACTCCCCGAGAGGACTTTTGACCATCTGACCAGCCTGTCCCGAATCTCGCTCGAGGGCAACCCCTGGGTGTGCGATTGTGCCATCGTCTACCTCTACCAGTGGCTGTGGGACACGAGAAAGAAGAATCGGGTTGTGTGCGACAGCCCTCAAAGGTTAAGGCTGAGGGCACTCCTCACACTGTCCCTGGGCGACATCTGTCCAGTAGACAGGCCGCCCGACGATCATGTCACGAGTACACTCTCCACGCACACCCCTGCGCTCTCTCCCACCAAAATCTCCGAGCGCTTCCACGTGGACGCAGTACGAGACTCGACCGGGCTCGTCGTGAATACTCCACCGTTGTCTACAACGATTTTCCAAAGCATCGAAGGTATTCCCGTGCACGGTTACTTGCCGCAAAACCGAGCCTCTGCAGAGACAGCCGCGCCGCAGTTGCACCAGTCGCGGTCGGGGCGAGAGTTTCCGCAGAATAGCCTGATGCCATCCATGGGGCTCTGTTCGCCAAGCCCTGCCGCCCAGCAATCCATGCAATGGTCACCCTCCCCGCCCTCCCCGCAGGAGGTGACCTCCACCTGGCACGGGTCGACCATGACGGCGAGGGGGCCTCCCTCCACGGACGTGGCCGACCCGCGTCACCACGTCCAGCCCGTGCCTTCCATCCCGGAGATGGGACGTGCGTGCGACGGCACCAAGAAGGGTGCCCGGTGCTTTTCTCTCAAGAGCAACCTCAGCGACGGGGAGGAGGATGAGCGGGATGACGGGTCCCGCTCCACGACCGCTGGGGCCCCAAGGCCCTCGCTGTTGCAGCAGCAGCAGCAGCAGCCGTGGAGCTCCGATTGCGGAGCAAGCTGCAGCAGCAGCAGCGGCGTCGTCTCGCAACCGCTTTCGTTTACGTGGGGAACTGCCGAGGGCCCCCTGGGGCCCACGCGGACGCCGCACGCGCTCGCCCACGGGGAGCCCAGCTCGGCCCCGGCAGGTGGAACGCAAGCGGCGGTGGCCGAGGCCACGCCGGCTTGGAGGGCCACGGGGACGCCCGGGGGAGGCCTCCCCCTCCAAGGCGGCCATTCGGCTCGGCAGAAGAGGACAATAGCCATCATGGTGCTGGTTGTGCTGCTGGTGGGCGCGCTGGCCGTGCTCTGCTGGAGGCTGGTGCTGTGGCCTTGCTTCGTGCGACCCGCTGCAGCTGCAGCAGGGAGGGGACCCCGAGGCCGAGTGTTCCCCATGGAAGCCTGGGTGGACAGATAGCGGCAGGCGCCATCTGGCCAACTGCCGTGTGCATCGCCCATTTAACATTGCGCAGTGTGATTTGACACATTCCATGCAGAGAGATGCGGTTCCGAATCATGTAAATATATTGGCTGCAAAGGAAATAAAATGTTTGTTGAAAGTGTTGGTTTTTTGTTCGTTGGCTCGCAGAACCCGAAGGTCAATGTTAACCTTTATGTAAATACAACGTAATCGTGATTAACAGCCATTTCGGAACGCGTCGTTGGATGATACCCAATAAACATGGAACGTTGGGTCAATGTTGATCCAACGGTTCCAACCACATGCCAACGTTGACGAAACGTTCGCATGTCGAGTTTTGTGAATGACGGATTTGAGGTGACCCCACAAGGAATAAATTATATATAAATAATGATAATAAACACAATATTAACTTAAAAACAATTAAAAGGTATTAATGCCAGTGTGAACATAAATAACCCTATCTGTCCTAACGTTTGGACCACCTTGGATATAAGTAGTCTATTAGACATAAGTTACTTATTTTCGAACGGATAACAAAATAGTGTCACTGGTCAAGAGGTCCCATAATCGTAAACAGGGAACTGGTGGTCCAACAGCTTCAAACCATCTCCGAACGTTGGGCCCACGTTGTCATGCGCACTGGGGTATTTGAGAGGATGTGAGACATTAGTGGGTTTGTTGCACACATGAGTGGGCTACAAAAAAAATAATGTTATCCGGTTTAGAGTGTGTTGGTTACTTCTGATGTTGTTGTTGTTGCCATTTCTCGTCGATGGCTGGCTTGGGTGGTGCTCTGTAAGGTTGAATGTGCGTGGAGCACAGAGTCCGTGAAGGTATGCGGGGAGGGCTGGGGTCAGCGCCGCACATCGGCCGCGCCCAGCCCTCTTGTCATGTCATTGTCCGAGTTTTCAATGGGATTGTCGCACGAGCAAGATTGAGCAAGCGTTGAAAAAGGGGTGAAACTTCACTCTGCTCAGCCACAAACTACTGCTGCCACGTGAGCTACGCAAGGGAGCCCTCGGAGCCAGCAAGGGACGCGTCCTGACATCTCGAGAGTGGTGAGTGAGTGCATGGGACCAGTGCGTGCGTGGATGAGTGGCTGGGTTAGTGAGCTGTTTCGTAAGTGGGACTAATGATTGGGTGAGTGGTACTGCAGTGAGAGGATGAATGTCTGGGTAAGTGAGCGGGTTAGTGGGACTAATGAGGTACCGGTGACAGGGTGGGTAGCTGGCTTCAGCAAGTGGGTGAAGTGGTATCAGTGAGAGGGTGATTCTCTGGGTTAGTGGGTGAGACCAATGAGTGGGTGAGTGGTACAACAGTGAGCCGGCGAGTGGCTGGGCTAAGTAGATTTGTGAGTGGGACCATCGGGTGGGTGAAAGCACACGTCACAGGGTGCAAGGTAGACACTGCACATCGTGCAGAGGCAATAGTGGACATCTATATTAAAAAAAAGCTTTTTCGCTCATTGGATTCCTCCAGTTTAAATACATCTTTTGATTCAAAAATAATTCAAGTGGCTTAAATATAAAAAAGTAAGAACGCGAAGAAAATAACATTGAAACCCTTGGCTATACTCTACCTAATATCACCTAAGCCTGTAATTAAAGTCATTTATCACCGCTACAATAGTAATCTTCAGCGATTGTGTGAATGAATGAAAACCTCCCCATTCGTGTCACTCGTTCGTACGTGCACATTTATATTTGCGTGGGACTCCCAGTTACACGGCAACGGAACACTTTACATACACACAGGTACACGACACTTGCACGCTTATCACCACACAGCACAGTGTACTGCATAGTACACTGAGAAACATCGAACGATGATTGTCTATTTGTCAGCTTGTAACGTTTTCTGCGGGGGTCGTCACCGTAGCGTGATCGCCGTATGGAGGTCGAAATCCACACGGTAATATGCGCTCCCGCTGATACCCCAGTAAACATGTCAACGTTGGGCAAACGTTGACATGCGGTTGGAATCGTTGGGCTAATGTTGGACCAATGTTCCTTGTTGACTGGGTACGTTGGTCTTAAAAAAAAGACAGGGGGGGGGGGGTCGTTCTAAAGCATGGCTCGTCATAATAAGGTAATACTGCGTGGATGGATCATCGTTGTTATTGACTACGAGAACATTTGCTGTCAAGTTTTACTCTGCCGAATCACTCGCACTTCCTCTCACTTGCCACCGGTGCGATGATCAAATCTCTGCTTCAGGAGGGAACGAAAGGACCCATGGCTCGATCCCTGCTTCTCCCTTGGTGCATCTTGCTGCTGCTGCTGCCAGACTCCGGCGCAGCTACTAAATGTGTCAGCACAAGTTTGTGGAAGCAGTGCGACTGCCTGGGCGCGACAGTGAACTGCGCCGGCCTCGGCATGAGACAGGCGCCGAGCGGCGTCGTGCCCAATGCGAGCGAGGTGCTGCTGCAGAACAACCTCCTGGTGAACGTCAGCAACGTGTTCGCCAACTGGAGCACCCTCCTGTCGCTCAACATGAGCACGAACCTCTTCGGCGGCTTCCCCGTGGGGCTGCCGCCAAGCCTCACATCGCTGGACCTGACCAGGAACGTGATCTTGAGCGTCGACCCATGGGCCTCGGGAAAGTTAAAATCTCTGAGCCGCTTGTACCTCAACAACAACCAGCTGTCCAGCGTGAAAGAGGGATTCTTCGAGTCTCTGCCAGCCCTCACGTTCGTGTCGCTGCACAGCAATCAGTGGACGTGTGACTCCTCCAACAGCTACCTGTGGAATTGGCTTAACAACACCAACGTCACGGTGCCGCAGGACGTCATCTGCATGTTGCCGCTCTCAATCCGTGGAACCAAGATGAAAGACCAGCCGGCCAGTTACTTCGCCCCCACGGTCGCCCCAACAACTCCTCCTACTACGCCAGCGGCGACATCTTCATCGTTACCATCTTCATCTCCAGGTCCGTCGTCGCCATCGTTGTCAACAACGCCATCATCGCCATTGTCTTCCGCCGCCACGTCAAGTCTCCCGTCCATATTAACGTCGACGAGTGCTGCCAGCTCCATCACCTCATCTCCAGTGTCCGCGTCATCTGTGGCTCTGGCTCAAGCGGCCAGCTCCGTGGGCATCACCTCAACGCTCTTGATGCCGACACCGACGCTTGCTACTTCTCCCAATCTCGCCACATCCCCTCTCCCCAGTGCCCTTCAGTCGAGGGTCTCCACGAGTCAAGCATCGAGCAGCCCGGCATTACCGTTGGGTTCTTCAAGCCTGCAGGCTTCATCATCGACCGACCCATCGCTCATCATCTCCTCTACCTCGTCTATTCCGCCAACAATGGTATCCTCAACACCACCGCTGGCTTTGACCTCATCCCAAAGTCCAGCGACTTCGGCGTCTTTGTCCACAGCGCCGATGGTGCCAACGCCATCTCAGTCGATCATCTCAGCTGTATTCACGTCAGTAGCGGGGTCGGCAAGTGCTCTTCTGCTCTCTCCCGTCTCCACAGTCAGCACGACCTCGACGTCCACCATTACTTCTCTGATGGCATCGAGCACCGTTGACCCAACGGCTGTGACCATTACGAGCTCCACGGCTATCACCAGCTCCATGGGTATTGCCACGCTGGGCACTGCTACACCACAGCTGTCCTCAATAACTTCTCCAACGGTGTCCACTACGGATATTTACAACAGCAATAGTTTAAACAGTGTCCTGGCATTCACATCCACGTCGTCCGTCCAAGTGACCGTTTACTCCTCTCCATCATCATCATCATTACCATCATCATCTCTGCTACAGACCTCATACCTTGGGATGCTGTCTTCATCGTCGTCATCAGCATCATATCCCACAGTCGTGACACCATCCATCGAAATGCTGAGTGGCATCTTTTACATTTCCACCCACACCTCAGGTCCCTCATCCTCCACCTCCAGCTTCAATTCTGCCTCTCCAATCTCCACCTCAGGTCCCACATCCTCCAGCTTCATTTCTGCCTCTTTAATCTCCATTCAGGTCCCTCATCCTCCACCTCCAGCTTCAATTCTGCCTCTCCAATCTCCACCTCAGGTCCCACATCCTCCAGCTTCATTTCTGCCTCTCCAATCTCCTCCTCGGGTCCCTCATCCTCCACCTCCAGCTTCATTTCTGCCTCTCCAATCTCCACCTCAGGTCCCACATCCTCCAGCTTAATTTCTGCCTCTCCAATCTCCTCCTCGGGTCCCTCATCCTCCACCTCCAGCTTAATTTCTGCCTCTACAATCTCCACCGTAGGTCCCTCCACCTCCAGCTTCATTTCTCCCTCTCCAATCTCCACCTCAGGTCCCTCATCCTCCACCTCCAGCTTCATTTCTGCCTCTCCAATCTCCACCTCAGGTCCCTCATCCTCCAGCTTCATTTCTGCCTCTCCAATCTCCACCTCAGGTCCCTCATCCTCCACCTCCAGCTTCATTTCTGCCTCTCCAATCTCCACCTCAGGTCCCTCATCCTCCAGCTTCATTTCTGCCTCTCCAATCTCCACCTCAGGTCCCTCATCCTCCACCTCCAGCTTCATTTCTGCCTCTCCAATCTCCACCTCAGGTCCCTCATCCTCCAGCTTCATTTCTGCCTCTCCAATCTCCACCTCAGGTCCCTCATCCTCCACCTCCAGCTTCATTTCTGCCTCTCCAATCTCCACCTCAGGTCCCACATCCTCCAGCTTAATTTCTGCCTCTCCAATCTCCTCCTCGGGTCCCTCATCCTCCACCTCCAGCTTAATTTCTGCCTCTACAATCTCCACCGTAGGTCCCTCCACCTCCAGCTTCATTTCTGCCTCTCCAATCTCCACCTCAGGTCCTTCATCCTCCACCTCCAGCTTCAATTCTCCTTCTCCAATCTCCACCTCAGGTCCCACATCCTCCAGCTTCATTTCTGCCTCTCCAATCTCCTCCTCAGGTCCCTCATCCTCCACCTCCAGCTTCATTTCTGCCTCTCCAATCTCCACCTCAGGTCCTTCATCCTCCACCTCCAGCTTCAATTCTCCTTCTCCAATCTCCACCTCAGGTCCCACATCCTCCAGCTTCATTTCTGCCTCTCCAATCTCCTCCTCAGGTCCCACATCCTCCAGCTTCAATTCTCCTTCTCCAATCTCCACCTCAGGTCCCTCATCACCCACCTCCATCTCAAGTCCCTCATCATCCACAACGTTCGTCACCACCCTTCCTCCACCCTCCTCCACGTTAACGTCCGTCGAGTCATCGCCATCATCATCACCATCGTCGTCGCCGCCATCCACTTTGTCGGACAGGAACTCGCCCCTCTCCCCTGCGCAGATTGCGGCCATTTCGATGGCCGTAGTGGCCGGGGTGACATTGGCTGTCATTGCAGGGCTGGTCTTGCTGTTGCTCGTCAACAGGGGCACTTTCGTCGTCAAAAATGCCTACGACCAGAAGATTTGATTGCTCAGCCGACTCGTGGGGCGTCCGTCACCGAACGAGTGTCCGACATAAAATGGGGACTGACTATAAAAAACGAAATGACGGAGTACGGGACGTGCGCCATAACTCTGCGAGTCATTTCGCAAACCTGTGGCTCTGGAGCTGCTCCGTGACGTTATTCACATTGTGGCTCTTGAAATATTGAGGGCTTTGTTTTCATGTCTGTCAACCCCCTATTCAGTGCCCTACCTGATTACCGACCAATTCGGACCTTATTGGTCACCCGTGCCCCTTATACATCTCAACGTTCATCCTACAAAGTCCCATCACAAGGGAAAAACGCACACAAATAGACATATTTTGCCCTTATTGAAACGACTGTGTACGCTCGTATGGACCTGAAAACTCAATTTCCCTTGTACAAGAATACGGGTAAACCGTATGGGTCGACAGGTATGTTTTTTAATACTCTTTGGGTCTTTCGGTAAAGTTACATAGATAGAATAAAAAAAAAATAACGTTTCAGGTACAAAAAATACAGCAGGTGAACTTCTGAGACAGGAGAAATATGACATATTTCTTCTTCTTCAGCAGTTCGCCTGCTGTATGAATTCCTGCAGTCACGAAAGCTTTAAGTCAATGTTTTTTTATATATCGAATTTCTAACATTTTTTTTTATTTTGGGTTTAGTCGATGCCCAGCAATGTTGGGCCAAACGTTGGCATGGTTACTGGGTATAGTCGTTCTGGTCCAAATAAAACCTCTCAAAAGTTAACATCAAGTGCTGCTCGCGAAACGTTCTCACTAGTTGGGAAGGGGGGGGGGGTCTCGGCGTCACATATGTCCCTGCAGGCGAATTACTTGGTCCACCGTATCGGGATTGTACATACTGCACTGCATTTTGGAGCAAGAGACTTTAAGCGGTCAACCCGGTATCCCTATTGTCAGGTTTGTTAGAATCGTTTTCTTTTTACATTAGCACAGCGAACAGCTAGGAATACAAAAAAATTAATCGGTTAAAACCGGTACAAAGCACGTTAAAACGTCTTAAGAAATGAACGTTGACATGTTAAACCTTTGGAACGAGACCCATGCGGAGAGATATATTAACACTGTGCCGCACGTGAGGCAATGGTTTGTTTGCAACGCGCGGCGTGTGCGATCCAGCGGTTCGCCGGTTTGATTCCATCTCCCGGCGCGGTGGGGCAAAGTGTGGGTACATCTTATAATCAAGGCACAATGACCGGCGTGGGAGGGTAGCCCGAATATCCCCTCTGTACAGTTCGTGCACTGTCTGTGGACTCCACGGCCGCCTCTTCCCGACTAAAATTCCACCGGAATCGATTACGGGCTCCCGAAATGGTTACCGGTTACCGTTTAAAACAACAACAACAACCATAATCTCTACGAGTGGAAGCAATCTCCCTCCCGGCTGTATTGGTTGGAGGGTGGGCGGGGGAGGTGTAATTTCGGAAATGTTTTCTTTTTGGATTTAAACTATTTAAAACGTATTTTACCAGGCTCACTAAGCCATATCGCTTTTTCAGAAACGACCTGGCAGCCACAAACGATAGCTCAACGAAGTGGCTTGTCATTATGTGGAAATGCATAGCAGCGAAATACTCTAAATGCGTGTTGATTCTAAATGTGGAGGGGAAAAACCAGAGGACCCGGAGAGAAATCCACGCGGCCACATGAGAGAGGCATGCAAACTCCAAATATACAGCAGCAGGCGTCAGGGTTGGGATCGAACCCACAACCTCCTTCATTCCAGGCAAAGTAGTTAACATCTCCTAGCCACCGTCGATTGGTGTAGGGAAAAGCATGAACCACTGCATGTGTGTGCCAAATGTTATACTCCAAGCCCCGTGCCGGATTAAGCTATTGTGGGGCCTGTATCATATTATGTTATAAAGGGCCCAACATAAAAAAAACCACAGAAATATTAAAACACAAATTTTTAGCTTGCATAGTAAAGTAATTGTATTTTTTCATTTGCTATACAGCCTAAAACGACAAATCGCTAACCTTAAACACCCAGTCGTTCATAAAAGTTCAAGGCGGTATAGTGCTATAGTAATAGAGCAAGTGCAGAATCGCTGAACCGGAATTGATAGCTTGAAAGCATTTAGCGCGGGGCCCTTGAAAGTGCGGGGCCCGTAGCTACTACAGTAGTAGCTACTTGTGCTACTGGGATAATCCGGCACTGTCCTAGCCCCGTTCGAAGAAGGCATCACTGCAAGTCCGAAATAAAGTCACGGTGGCCGATATTGTGGTCAGCAACCTGGACTCACGGACCACGCCGGTTCAATCTCGCGGGCACGGCAGTTGAACTCAAAATCCACACTCCCCCCCTCCCCCCCTTTGGTCATTTTTATTTGAATTGGCATAAATCAGGGTTACATTTTTTATGTTTATTCCAACCGCACATTTGAAATGTGTCCACGCGTCTTGTTCTCTTAAATCGTGCACTATGACCACCTTTATTTCTATGTAAACGCGACTATATAATATTAACAAAAAATGTTAACATTCGTATAATTTGCACTATATTTGTTTTCAGTTATCACCTATAGTTCAAGTTTACGTACCCGTGTAGTAAAAGTGTGTATATTTGACGTTCGTTTTTGAAACAGTGACATTGTAGGCTATTTATTGCGTCTCCTTGTTCTGGAACCTTCGTGCGTCGGTTGTGACAAAGTCTTCGTAGCAAGTCGAACATTGTACGCTTCGGCCAAATGTCAAAACAACCTAACAGCAGCTTTAGAAGAATACTGTAGTAGCAATCAAAATAAAACGACTCTGCCGTAATTTTAAATCAGTCTTTTTATTCCTTGTTGTCGTGTGATTGCTTTGCCTTCAGTTTTCCAATTTCTCGTCACTCGTCCATTCTGTCATTTGACTTCCTCCTCATCTCGATTTAAAGCTTTCGTGACTGCAGGGATTCATCTTCTTGGTTCTTTCGGTAAAGTCACGTAGAATTCTACGTGACTTTACCGAAAGAACCAAAAAGATTCCTCCTCATCGTCGAAGACCCTGGAGGTGGAACCGTCAATCGCACCAGAACATCCAACGGACCCGATGCGCGGTCACGTCTCCTTCATGAATGGAAAATCAAAGACACGGGCCACGGCGTTGCGACTGTGGCCATGAAACCCAAACTATGGACGCAATAGAGCGGTGGGTTCTTAACATTGACTGCAGCTTTGCATCCCGTTGGTTCTCAGTCGTAAACAACAATGAACAATCTTCTTGGTTCTTTCGGTAAAGTCACGTAGAAGGGAAATAATGAAATAATACAAATACAAATAAAACATAAGGATTATGTTTTATTTTTATTATTTTATTATTTCCCTTCTACGTGACTTTGAAATAATACAAATACAAATAAAACATAATGATTATGTTTTATTTTTATTATTTTATTATTTCCCTTCTACGTGACTTTACCGAAAGAACCAAGAAGATTAATCCCTGCAGTCACGAAAGCTTTGAATCGAAATAAAACAATGAACAATGTCAATACATACCACGGGGTTTGGTGAAACATAGTAGTTGTACTTAACGTGCCCGTGTTGAATTAGTGTTTTCGATCAATTACCTTTTGAAAAGATCTGTCCATGTCTCGCACCCCCGAAAGGACATCTTACACCCCCAGAGGGTGCGTGCACTCCAGCTTAGGAACCACTGGTATACAATAAACCACGGCTCTCTTTAACAGGAGGAACAGCAAAAATAACTCCTGAAGCCCTCTGTCTCCTGGCCAGCAACAAAAATCAACAATTGGAATGTAGCTTCTGAACGTATTTCTGCC